TCTCCAATGAACAATAAAAAAAGCTGGAACTAGAGCAGTGGTTCAAATGATAGAGTATGAGCTTTGAGGGGAAAAAAACAACTCAGGGACAATGCCCAGACCCTGAATTCAAGCCCTAGAACCAGCAAACACTAAAAAACAAAAAAACCTATGGGCTAGGAAGGTGGCTCAGTGGTAGAGCGTTTGCCTTGCATGCATGAGGCCCTGGGTTCGATTCCTCAGCACCACATAAGCAAAAAGAAAAAAGCCGGAAGTGGCACTGTGGCTCAAGTGGTAGAGTGCTCGCCTTGAGCTGAAGAGCTGAGGGACAGCGCCCAAGCCCAGAGTTCAGGCCCCACAACCGGATCCCCCCCCCAAAAAACCTAAGTTAGGAAATGAATAATAAAGATTTTTTAATTGATTTACTTTATTGTTATTATAGAGGTGATGTACAGAGGGATTACAATTTACATGTGTGTCTTCTAATCCCTCACTCTCTCCTAGCCCCTCCCTCCCATCTCCACCCACGAGTTGTATAGTACACTTTCACCAGTGTCCAGTGAGCTCCACTGCTGCACTTTTCACCATTTTCCCCTGGAGTTCTGTACCCTTCCTCCAACCCTCCTGAAGATACACACTTGAATACACCATACATAAGGAAAAGAACACAGAATCATCACAAAAATTAACATAAAAAGAGAGGTCTCTTGTTTCCATATCTTTAAGCATATATATATTTTTATGGAAATATGAAGAGGTACACAGGCATTGTACCTTTGTGTGTCTCTCTTAAGAGTATCCTCTTGGCTGAGGATGTAGCTTAGTGGTAGAGTGCTTGCCTAGCATGCATGAAGCCCTGGGTTTGATTCCTTAGTACCGTATCAACAGAAAAATAGCTGGCAGAGGTGTTGTGGCTCAAGAGGTAGAGTGCTAGCCTTGAGCAAAAGGAACTCAGGGACAGTGTCCAGGCCCCGAGTTCAAGCCCCAGGACTGGCAAAAAAAAAAAAAAAGAGTATCCTCTATTATTCTCACTGTGTGAGAGTTTTAAGAATCCTCTATAATTTATCATATCCCACTGTATTGTAAATCTGATTTCCACATATCAGAGAGAACATGTCGTTTGTTACAACCAATCTGGAGAGCAGTCTGGAGGTTCTCAAAAAACTAAACACAGACCTTCCCTATAAGCCAGCTATACTACTCCTGGGTATCTATCCTGAGCATCAAGAGCTAGGATATGATAAGGACACCTGCACATCCATGTTCATTGCTGCACTATTCACAATAGCCAAACCTAGAAACAGCCTAGAGGTCCCACAATCGATGAACGGATCCAAAAAATGTGGTACCTATACACAGAGCCATTAGAAAGAATAAAATAATTCATTTGTAGGGAAATGGATGGAACTAGAACAAATCATGTTAAGTGAGGTAAGATTTTTATTTTAAAAATTAAAATATTTTTTCACTTAGGTATTATATGAATTGACATTTTCCAGCATGTCCTACAAAATGTAGTTTGTAATTTGAATATATTTCAGTAAAAGGCCAGCAGTGTCTGTTGAAGACATTTCAGAGCAGGTAGCTTTCTAATTAACCGGCAAGGTTAACCTGCTGATAATTTCCTATTAGTCTACATTTATAATTTAGAGATCAAAATGATTACAGAAAATCTCTAAGACTCCCAGCACCTCCAGTCTAACACAGTGCTGCACTTGCCCACTTCATTCCTATCGTGTCCACTCAACTAGGAAAACTAGCCCTGTGATGCCTAGAATATTAGTGTTTAAATCCACACTAGTAATTAACACTTTAACCAAAATGAGCCTTTTGAATAATTAAGGTAATAATCACTTCATAATCCCCCAAATTCTCAAACATAATCCTTTCAGACCAGGGTAATTTAAAGTTGTCTACGGATTTTGGCTGCTGCTTTTTTTTTTTTTTTTTTGCCAGTCTTGGGGCTTAAACTCAGGGCTTGGGTGCTGTCCCTGAGCCTCTTTATCCTCAAGGCTAGTGCTCTAAGTCTTGAGCCACAGTGTCACTTTTGGCTTTTTTTTGGGGGGGGGGGGACTAGTCATGGGGGGGGCCTGAACTCTGGGCCTCGGTGCTGTCCCTCAACTCTTCAGCTCAAGGCTAGCACTCTACCACTTGAGCCATAGCTCCACTTACAGCTTTTTTTCTTTTTTTTTTTTGCTTATGTGGTGCTGGGGAATCGAACCCAGGGCCTCAGGCATGCAAGGCAAGCGCTCTACCACTGAGCCACCTTCCCAGCTCCACTTTTGGCTTTTTTGGTAATTTATTGGAGATAGGAGTCTGACAGAGTTTCCTGCCTGGGCTGGCTTTCAACCGTGATCCTCAGATCTCAGCCTTCTGAGTAGGCTAGGATTATAGGTGTGAACCACTGGCACCCGGCTTTTTTTTTTGGCCAGTCCTGAGGCTTGAACTGGGTGCTGTCCTTGAGCTCCTTTTGTTCAAGGCTAGCACTTTACCACTTCAGCCACAACACCTCTTCTGCTTGTTTTGTGATTTAATTGGCGATAAAAGTCTCACAGACTTTCCTGACTGGTCTGGCTATGAACTGTCATCCTCAGATCTCAGCCTCCTGAGAAGCTAAGATTACAGGGAAGAGCCACTGGCACTCAGCTTGGCTTCTACTTTATGATGCAGTTACATTTTCTTGGTGGAGCTAGTTTTTTAGAAGTACTGGTCATAAACACTTATTTTCCAAAATTCAGGTAGCTCTTTGTGTGTGTGTGTGTGTGTGTGTGTGTGTGTGTGTGTGCGTTTGTGTGTTGAAGCTTGAACTCAAGGCCTAGGCATTGTCCCTTAGCTTTTTTTGTTCAGGGCCAGCATTCTACCACTTGAAACACAGTTACATGTCCAGGTTTTTGGTCTCATACTTTCCTGCCTGGCTGGCTTTGAGCAGTGATCTTCAGATCTCAAGCCTCCTGAGTAGCTAGGATTACAGGCATGAGCCGCCCACACTGAGCTTCAGGTGTTGTTTTTTTTTAATTGAGTTTAATAGGTCACATCTTCCTCTAGTTCTCTATGTCGCCTGGTAAATAGACTAAAGGCAAAAAGACCCACTTTATCTTTGCAACTCTAATGCTGAAGTCATTTTTCTCTTTGAATTCTTTCAAAACTATGAAGCACATGCTGTGTCTCCAGGAAAGGAAACTCTTTCCGGGCTCTTCCCATGACCCTGCAGATAGATCCCCAAGTGCCCTTGGAGGCAGAGCTACAAAAAGAAAGCTGCAACAAAACCCAGGACATAGGACACGGATGCTATGCCAGTTCTATTTTCATGGCTTAGTACTCTTTTATTATTTTTCAAATTAGTATTCTTCATTAAAAAAATTCAAAATGCACATGTACATTTTTGTTGCACAAATTTCATAAGTACACAAAGAGTCAAATTCCTGCTTCAAACTCAAGGACCCCAATTCCTTTCAGACACAACAAAGCAAACAAGCTTAGGAAAAGAAAAAAAACTTTCCAGACCCGTTTTTATAAAATACACACTGACACTGTGCTATGCTTGGGTATACATTTCATTCTTCTATTTATTTTTGGTGATAGTGCTATGGATTTCAATCTCCTGAGTTGCTTGGATTACAGATGTAAGCCACTAGTGCCCGGCCTCCTCAGCTTTAATGTAATTAAATGCTACTAGTATACAGTTACCTTAGCAATACCTTTGGTTCATTATTAACAGTTAATAAATCTAGTAAGATGACAGCTCATATATCAGCATCTATATCATACAAATCCTTATATTTGCATCAATTTCATTGGCTGGCATATAGCTGACACTGATAAGTGCAAGTTGGGTAAAGAAAAACTACTTGTGCCGGGTGCTGGCTCATGCCTGTAATCCTAACTACCAGATAGGCTGAGGGCTAAGGATCATGGATCCTGAGGATCATGCCAGCCTGGGCAAGAAAGTCAGTGAGACTCTTATCTCTAATAAGCTACTCAGAAAAAGCTGGAAGTGGTGCTATGGCTCAAGTGGTAAAGTAACTAGCCTTGAATGCAAAGAGGCTCAGGGACAGTACGGAAGGAAAGAAGGAAGGAAGGAAGGAAGGAAGGAAGGAAGGAAGGAAGGAAGGAAGGAAGGAAGGAAGGAAGGAAGGAAGGAAGGAAGGAGGGAAGGAGGGAGGGAGGGAGGGAGGGAGGGAGGGAGAGAGGGCGGGAGGGAGGGAGGGAGGGAGGAGAGAAAGAGAAAGGGAGAGAGAGGAGAGAAAGGGAGAAAAAGAAAGAATGAGAGAAAGGAAGGAAGGAAGGGAGAGGGAGGGGGAGAGAAAGGGGAGGGAGGAGAGAAAGAAAGATTATTTGTGAGGCAGAGATAGGGGGATTGAGTTTTGAGGCCAATCAGAGTATAAAAAGTCTGTGAGACCCTTCTGGGTGCTGGTGGCTCACGCCTGTAATCCTACCTAATCAGGAGGCTGAGATCTGAAGGTCAAGGTTCAAAGTCAGCCTGGGCAAAAACTTCACATGAGACTTTTATCTCCAATTAACCCGCAAAAGACCAGCAGTGGAAGAGTGGCTCAAGTGGTCGAGTGCCAGCCTTGAGTGAAAAAGCCAAGTCAGAGCACAAGCCAAGTTCATGCCCTAGTATTGCCACACACACCAAAAAAGGTCGCAAGACTCCATCTCAGCCAATGGGCTGGGTGAGATGACACAATGGTTGAGCATAGTGGCATGTTCCCGTCATCTTCAGTGGCATAGGGAAGCACAAGTTAGGATCAAAGCCCAGGCTGGCCTGGACATAAAGTAAGCCCCTATGTTAAAGTAACCAACAGTCAAAGGGTCTGGAGGTGTGGCTCAAATAGCCGAGGGCTTGCTTAACAAGTGCAAGTTCAATTTCCACTATCAAAAATAGTCACAAGGGGCTGGGAAGGTGGCTCAGTGGTAGAGCACTTGCCTAACATGCAAGAAGCCCTGGGTTCAATTCCTTAGTACCACATAAACAAAAAAAGCCGGAAATGGTGCTGTGGCTCAAAGTGATAGTCTTGAACAAAAGAAGCTCACGGACAGTGCACAGGCCTTGAGTTCGAGTCCCAGGACTGGCAAAAAAAATAGTCACAAGCAGACTAAAGGAACACAACCAAATGGAAGACTAAACCACAAAGCTGTAGACCCATTTGCATCCGTCCTAGTTTCATAGAATTTTAAAAATACATTTTAATGTAAAAAATAGATGCCAGATACACCCCATCCCTCTTTCCAGACTGTCCAGAGTACATCCTTGATAGGCAGTTGAACAGGTGAAAGAGCACATCCATTTTTGCTCAGGCTTGGCATGGGGCATTTCCTCCAGGCAGAGTTCTGGGCACAGAATGTCCAAAGGCAAGCTGAGTCCATTTAGTGCCACTGGCCTTGGGAAGGAGATGGCGGAGAAGGTGGAAGTAAGGCTGGCTCCACATACCACCACAAAGAGTGTCTGCAAAGTTCAGGAACAAACAGGACAAACTGAGGAGTAGAAGACTTTGGGGTCAAAGGAGCTGAGGAAGTATGAAGGAATTTGTAAGTTTGCTTTATGTGTTTTGCATTTCCCCTAAGAGAGCTGCAATTTCCTAGTTTTTGGGGGTCAGTCATGGGACTTGAGCTCTTTTGGGTAAGGCTACCATTCTACACTCTGAGCCACACAGTGCCACTTCCAGTTTTTTAAGTAGTTACTTGGAGATAAGAGTTTGACAGACTTTTCTGCCAGGGCTGATTACAGATGTAAGCTACCAGCACCTGCCTAATTTCACAAATTTCATGAATGAAGGCCTAGGCTTTGTTCATAATAATGAATCAACCCCTTGACTAACAAATGAACCTTTAGTCAAACATTCACCTCAAGAGGGCCAGGCCTGCACTGGGAGAAAAGGGCACAAAACCAGCTGGGACAGTGGTGGAGTTTGCATCTTGTAAATGTGCTGGCACCCCGCTGCCTGCTGAGCAGTGCCACAGCAGCTGCTGTGGTGGCCTGAGCCCTCGCCCCGCCTGCGTCAAGTCTCTGCTCTCCAGCCCCCCACTAACCAGGCTAGCAGTCCCCTTGCTCTACTGCCTCAGGCTACTCAACTCTAGTAGTCACAGTTCTGTCCTAAGTGGAAAGGGCTAGAAAATGGCCTTCTAGTCAGATTTCCCTCTTGCTTTCTTTCCAAAGGAAGAGTTTCTTTTTGGATCCGGTCGTGGGCCTAAACTCTGGGCCTGGGCGCTGTCCCTCAGTTCTTCAGCTCAAGGCTAGGGCTCTACCACTTGAGCCACAGAGCCACTTCCGGCTTTTTTTTCTGCTTATGTGGTGCTGAGGAATCGAACCCAGGGCCTCATGCATGCAAGGCAAGCGCTGTACCACTGAGCCACCTTCCCAGCCCCCAAAGGAAGAGTTTCTATCTCAACATTTACATCCTAGCTCACCCTCAGGCATCCTCATAAGAATGACTTTCAGGCTGAGGTTATGGAGTACATGTGTGTGGGGGGGGGGCTCAGAGCACTCCATGGGAGCCCTTAGCACTGGCCTGACGCAAAGGCCTTCATCATGGTAAGCAGTTACAGTTCAGGGCCAGAAAAGACTCATCTTCGAAGTAGGAAAAAGTCCCTGGGTGGTAGCAAGGTGTGGTATGAGAATATTTAATACTTTCTGATTCATATACATATACAGCGTGTTTATGAATATGAAAAAAAAATCTCTGGAAAGCCAGAAGAATGTCAAGGACAATAAACACTCCTTTTTGCTTGGGCACAGTACTTTTTTTTTTTTCTTTCACATAGAAAAGGATACCTGAGCTGGAAGCCAGGGTGACCTTCACAGAACAGGTTTTTGCTGAAGGATAACCTAAAATGAAAGATGGCTGGGCACTAACGGCTCGTGCCTGTAATCCTAGCTACTCAGGAGGCTGAGATCTGAGGATTATGGCTTGAAGCCAGCCCAGCAGGAAAGTCTATGAGACTCTTATCTCCAATAAATTACAAAAAAAAAAAAATCCGGAAGTGACGCTGTGGCTCAAGTGGTAGACTGTTAGCCCTGAGCAAAAAGAAGCTCAGGTTCTGAGTTCAAGCCCCAGGACAAGAAGAAAGAAAAAGAAAGGAAGAAGGAAGGAAGGAAGGGAGGGAGGAAGGAAGGAAGGAAGAAAGAAAGAAAGAAAGAAAGAAAGAAAGAAAGAAAGAAAGAAAGAAAGAAAGAAAGAAAGAAAGAAAAAGAAAGAAAGAAAGAAAAGGGAGGAAGAGAGGGAGGGAGGGAGGGGGAGGAGGAAGGAAGGAAGGAAGGAAGGAAGAAAGAAAGGAGGGAAGGAGGGAGGGAGGGGGGAGGAAGGATGGAAGGAAGGAAGGAAGGAAGGAAAAGAAAGAAAGAAAGAAAGGGAAGGAAGGAAGGAAGGAAGGAAGGAAGGGAGGAAGGAAGGAAGGAAGGAAGGGGGCTGGGAAGGTGGCTCAGTGGTAGAGTGCTTGCCTTGCATTCATGAGGCTCTGGGTTCAATTCCTCAGCACCACATATGCAGATAAAGCCGGAAGTGGTGCTCTAGCTCAAGTGTAGAGTGTTAGCCTTGAGATGAATTGCTGAGGGACAGTGCCCAGGCCCAGAGTTCAGGCCCCATGACTGGCAAAACAAAAAAGAGAGAGGGGGGGGAGAGAAGGGGGAGGGAAGGAATGTACTCATTTTCTCTGAGAAAAGAACAAGTAAAATCCTGAAGATGGTTACTTGGGTTAACCAGTATTCCTTATGAAAACCACCCGAATGCTATTAATCCCACAGTAAGAGCTGGGCATAGCTGGCACTATTTGGTGGCAGAAATACTTCAGATTTTATATTTTTAAAGTTGATTCACCTAAGGCCAGACTAGTGGCTTCAGGTCCATCTAGCTAAGAAAGCTGGCAGAGTTGACGTTCAACGCCTTCACAAATGTAAGAGCCATTAATTAGAGAAAGAGCACAAAGCTCAGTGGCCTTCCTTTGAAATAATGAGGGCGTAGGGGAACCAGGTTAGACTGCTGTATTCAGTATGGCTTCACATAAGAGAACAGACATCAAAGAGGCAAGGCTATTGTGTCCTTATTTAAACATCCTATGCCTAAACCTCACCTCACGCCTTCCTTTCAGGTGTCTGGCTCTCAGCTTCCTTTGAATCTGGTTTTTGATGCTGTAGATAGAGGCTGTCTAGCTTCTCTATATCGTCTGTAAGACCCTTTCTAAGATCTTCATTGTTTCTCAGAAATTCCTTTACCATTTCCAGTTGAGTTGAGATCTGCAAGAGAAGATCATACGAAGCACAGCTTAGGATAATTTTTTTTTATAGCAGACTTATAATTCAAATGACAAACTTTAGCAGCTTCAAGACTAGCACGTGGGGCTGGGGAACAACCAAGTGGCAGAGGGCATGCTGAGCATGCGTGAAGCATTAGGTTTCATCCCCAGCATGTGCCTGCCCTCTGCAACCTGAAGACCTATTGCTGCCCCTTTCCATCAAGAAACCCTGGCTACTAGAATATGTATAGATAGCTGGGCCCTGGTGGGTCATGGCTGTAATTCTAGCTACTCAGGAGGCTGACATCTGTGGATCACAGTTTGAAGTCAGCCTTGGCAGGTAAGTCTGTGAGACTCATCTCCAATAAACATCTATATAAGAACAAAACAAAAAAGTCAATAAGCGGAGCTGTGGGTCAAGTGGTAGACCATTAGCCTTGAGCAAAAGAAGCACAGAGATAGCACCCAGGCCCTAAGTTCAAGACCTAGGATCAGCATGGGCACGTACACGCACATACACACAGAGAACCTGTCTACATAGAAAATCAGGAACAAAACACATTTTAAAAACAACACTACAACTGATGTGGTGTCGGCTTGTTTCCTTGTGTTTCTGCTGCATTTACATGAAAAGGCTTTGTCTAACACACTCATATCTGCAAGCATGTATGTGTATATGATATAGAATGATACCTTTTCCTTTTGAGTTTTTATGTGTATATTTAGTGGTTATATATACACACAAAATTCACAGTAATAAATGTAAAAGTATAAAATTCAAAATCTACACAGTAGATGCTAAAAAGTCAGTTATCTTCCAAACTCTTTTCCCTAGTTATCTAGGCACCTCTCCCTAGAGGTGACATAATGAACCACCTCTTCCTCAGACATCCCATGCATTTACATGGGAGTGTGTGTGCGGACTTCATTTTTTTTGCTCTCTCAGCTTGCTTGTTCAGCTGCTAGCACTATTCCTTAAGTTAGCTTGGTTTTGTGTATGTGGTTGTGTGTGTGCCCAAATTGTGGCTTGAACTCAGAGCCCGAGTACTGTCCCTTAGGTTTCTTTGCTTAAGGTTGGAGCTCTACCACTTGAGCCATAGTTCAAGTTAACTAGAGATAAAGGACTCTCATAGAAGCCGAGGGCCAGTGGCTCACGCCTGTAATCCTAGCTACTCAGGAGGCTGAGATCTGAGGATCACGGTTGTAAGCCCAATAAACCACTAGAAAACTGGAAGTGGCGCTGTGGCTCAAGTCTTAGAGCACTTGCCTTGATCTGAAGAGTACAGGGATAGCACCCAAGCCCAGAGTTTATGCCCTATGACCGACAAAAAAAAGGGAGGGGGGCTCTCATAGACTTTCTTGATGAGGCTGGCTTCAAACTAAGAACTTAGACCTCAGCTTCCCAAGTAGCAGAGATTACAGTGTAAGCCACTGGCACTTGGCAGCCCAGATTTTTGCTGGTCATTTTGGAGATGGAGCTTTGTGGACTTTTCTGCCTTAAATTGTATTTTTACCAGTCTCCATATCCCAAGTAACTGGGATTATAGGCATGAAACACTCCGCCCAGCCAATCTCATTGTTTTGTGTCTTTTTATTTTTTTATTTTTTGGGTCCAGTCGTGGGGCCTGAACTCTGGGCCTGGGCGCTGTCCCTCAGCTCTTCAGCTCAAGACTAGTGCTCTACCACTTGAGCCATAGCGCCACTTCCGGCTTTTTTCTTATGTGGTGTTGGGGAATCAAACCCAGGGCCTCAGGCATGCAAGGCAAGCGCTCTACTACTGAGCCACCTTCCCAGCCCTGTTTTGTGTCTTTTTAAAAATTAGTATAAATTAATTGCACAAAGGGGTTTCGTTGTGATATTTATATACTTGCACATGTGTATGTATGTCAGCCTCGTTCTTTTTAGTAGTTTGAATAGTACTCCAACTATGGATGAGTCATATTCTTATGTATTTTGAACCTGCTCAGAAAAGTAATGCTGCAATAATTAACTGATATATGTGTTATTTTGCATAAGTGACATGTCAGCTTATAGGATCCAAGTCACATTGAGGTTTCTACTTTACTTTGCATAGATTTTGGTCAAAACTACCATGTGTAGAGGTTGTACCAATTTAAATTCCTCTGAGCAACCTACTTCTTTTTTTTGGTCAGTAGTGGGGCTTGAACTCTGGGCCTGGGCGCTGTCCCTCAGTTCTTCAGCTCAAGGCGAGCGCTCTACCACTTGAGCTACAGCGCCACTTCCGGTTTTCTGGTGGTTTATTGGAGATGGGAGTCTCATGGTCTCTCCTGCCTGGGCTGGCTTTGAACCGCGATCCTCAGATCTCAGCCTCCTGAGTAGCTAGGATTACAGGCGTGAAGCCACCAGCGCCCGGCTGAGCAACCTACTTCTAAAAACTACAGCTAGTACAAGAAGGTACTCATGTCTGGGGCAATTCTTTTAGCTTCAGAGCAATACAAAATCAAATGGAAGCTTTAAAAAAATTTCCGGGGGGCTGAGAAGGTGGCTCAGTGGCAGAGTGCTTGTCTTGCATGCATGAGGCCCTTGGGTTCAATCACATAAGCAGCACATAAGCAGAAAAGGCAGAAGTGGCACTGTGGCTCAAGTGGTAGGGTGCTAGCCTTGAGCTGAAGAGCTGAGGGACAGTGCCCAGACCCAGAGTTCAGCCCCCATGACCAACAAAACAAACAAACAAACAAATAAAATAAATAAAATTTACTGGGACTGGGGCTGTGGCACAGTACTGGGGAGCAGTTTAGCATGCACAAGGTCCTGATTTGATCCTTACACCACATAGTAAACTATAAATGATTAAGAATGGAGAAGGCGGGGCTGGGAAGGTGGCTCAGTGGTAGAGTGCTTGCCTTGCATGCATGAGGCCCTGGGTTCGATTCCTCAGCACCACATAAGCAAAAAGAAAAAAGCCGGAAGTGGCGCTGTGGCTCAAGTGGTAGAGCGCTAGCCTTGAGCTGAAATGCTAAGGGACAGCACCCAGGCCCAGAGTTCAGGCCCCACGACTGGACCCAAAAAAAAAAAAAAAAAAAAAAAAAAGAATGGAGAAGGCCAGGATATGATAAATTATACAGGTATTCACACACAGTGAGACCAAAGGAGGATACTCTTAGGAGAGGATCACAAAGACACAATGCTTACATATATCTGATTATACAAAATAATATTTATTGAAATGAACTCTAGGAAATGGACACAAGAGCTTTTTTTCTTTTTGCTACTTTTGTTTTCTTTTCAAAATTTTAGTCTTGCTTGTTCATTTAAATGTCTTTGGGAGTGTAAGGGAAGGAAGAGAAATGGAAGGACAAAGGGTGAACAAAAGCAGCAGTGGTACTCACTGGACACTATGTTGAAAATGAACTATACAATTTGTGGGTGGGAATGGGAGGGAAAAACTGGGAGAGAATGAGGGAAGGGGTGACACTCTCCAAAAAGAAATGACTCTACCTGACTTATATAACTCTAACCTCTCTGTACGTCACCTTTATAACAACAATAAAAAATAGAAATAAAAAATAAACCAGCAGCATTTGTCCTCTTTCTTAAAAGCAACTGAAACAATGGTACGTTTTGCAATTGACAGTCTTTTACATTCACTGAAATGTGGCCTTATTGAGTCCTCTGACTTTGAAGACTAACTCCAAAGAACCTAGATAATCTATGGTACTTACCTCCCAGAATATATCATGTCCCAAACATGTGGAAAGTCAGCCTTCAACTTATTTGAGATAACACGCTAATCAATCCCAATACATATTATTTTAGTACCAGTACTGGTACTTGAACTTAGGGCCTCGTGTTCTCACTCAGCTTCTTTTCATTCATGGCTGTTATTCTATCACTTGAGTAACTCCTCTAGTCTAGCATTTTGATGGTTAATTGGAATTTGCAGGCTTTTCTGCCCAGCTGTCTTGAAGTCCCAATTCTCCAGGTTTTAGTCTCCTGAGTAGCTAGGACTACAGGTGTGAGCTACTGGTGACAGGCTCTAACATACATTCTGATTAACTGCAATAAGAGGAGAAATACTGTGGTCTGCTGAAGAAAAAGCATGAAAAGCGGGAATTTATCAACTCTAGACAGATTCTGTGATCTGAAGGACAGTCATTTAACCCCTTTGTCTTCCTTGTAAACCAGATCCTGAGGGTTGGAAATGTAGTTGCCAGAGCCTCAGAGAGTCTAGATCTATAGCACAGCACAGGCAAAGCCACAGGACCAGAACAAGGAGACTGAGCCAACTGAACACCCCAGTGCCAGTTTCTTGGGGCTCTGGTTTCACCTGTATAGCAGGGGAGATGTTCAGATGATTGTAAGACTCCCTTCCAGCTCTCAAAGGAGACACTTCTGGCTTAGGTTGGTTGCTGTATGTATTTTGCTCCTTATCACAGAGAGAAGTGAAACTCACTTGAGAGAGAAAAGCAAGCAGTTAATGACATGGGGGAACTTAGTCTTGTTCCTCACTTGTCTTCCCTTTCTCTACCATGCTTCTAAAAGAAGTAGGAGGAAGGAAGGGTCTAATGATATTTTAAAACAAAGTACATACAACATGTAGACTTAGAAAAGAGATGATTTAATATGCTAAGGTCATTATTTAAATTTTTAAAAAAACGAACAGTAGAAGCTGGGCATTGGTAGTTCATGCCTGTAATCATAACTACTCAAGAGGCTGAGATCTAAGGATCATGGTTTGAAGCTAGCCTGGACAAGAAAGTCTGTGAGACTCCTATCTCCAATTAACTACCAAAATAAAGCTGAAAGTGGAGCTATGGTTTAGTGGCAGAGCACTAGTATCGAGCAAAAAAGCTCAGTGGCAGTTACCCAGGCCCTGAGTTCAAACCCCAGGACCAACACATAATGAAACAAAAAAACAACAAAAAACTGGGTAGGTGCCAGGTGCTGGTGGCTCAGCCTGTAGTCCTAGCTACTCAGGAGGCTGAGATCTGAGGATCCCAGTTCAAAGCCAGCCTGGGCAGAAAAGTCCGTGAAACTCTTTTTTTTTTTTTTGAGTCCGGTCATGGGGCCTGAACTCTGGGCCTGGGCGCTGTCCCTCAGCTCTTCAGCTCAAGACTAGCGCTCTACCACTTGAGCCACAGCACCTCTTCCGGGTTTTTTCTTTTTGCTTATGTGGTGCTGAGGAATCGAACCCAGGGCCTCGAGCATGCAAGGCAAGCGCTCTACCACTGAGCCACCTTTCCAGCCCTCCGTGAAACTCTTATCCCCAATAAACCACCAGAAAACTGGAAATGGCACTGTGGCTAAAGAGGTAGAGCGCTTGCCTTGAGCTCAAGAGCCAAGGGACAGCACCCATGCCCAGAGTTCAAGCCCCACGACCAACAAAAAAACAAAAACAAAACAAATTGGGTAGGCATACCCAAACACATGAAGACAGAAGCATCAGATTAAAGTCAAAATGGTTAATATTAGGCTTATTTACCAGGAAGGAGTGGGATGTAATGAATAAAACATACACTTTGTATTAAATACTCTGTGTTAAACAAGGAAATAGGCAAATCTATTTGCTTTAGACAAGCAGATGGTAAAGGATAAGTCCTGGATTTCCTGGTGACTGAAAATTCTAACTCAGCCAGCTCTGGAATCTAAGTCTTACTAAAACAGAATTCTACAACTGTCCATTTCTTTTTTTCTTTTTTTGTTTTTTGTGCTGGTCTTAGGGCTTGAACTCAGGGCCTGGCTGCTATTCCTGAGTTTTGTGCTTAAAGCTAGTGCTCTACCACTTAACCACAGCTCCATTTCTGGAGCTAAATGGAGTTCACTGAAGATAAAAGAATCTCCTGAGTAGCCAGGATTACATGCATGAGTAACAGGCGCCTGGCAACTGTCAGTTTAATGCCTTGCTTGTAATAAAGAGGACTTAAGCCTTCACTATGCCTTTTCAGGTCTGAGACGATTACTAGCTTGCAGGTCCTAAGAGAGAAACCTTAATGATCTTCTAGTCCCTCTCTCCTCCTTCCAGTCTCATGCCATATCCAAGTTTTGTATCAGGCCACTAAGATCCATCAGGCTCTACAAAGTCTCTAGAATCTGGCTCTGCCTCCATAGCCCACCTTCCCTTACACAACCACAAGAGCCTTCCAGTTCTTTGTCCCTTGGCTATTCATCTAACTCCCAATTGTGACAAAAGTTTACTTCCTAAAAGCTACATGTGATGTGATGGATCTTTCTTGCTTAAGAACATATGAGTCCCTCCTGCTTTTAGGAATAAGCTTTCGGTGTGGTGCAGAAAATCTTCCTACTTGACCATATGTCCTGAACTCACCTGGTTATTGTCCAGGGCAACACTGGTCTTCATACTATTCCAAGGGTTGTTCCCTCTGCCAAAAGTGCCCTTTTCCCCTGCTAATTTGCCGAACCCTTACTGAATATGAGTTTCAGCTCATATTCTCCTTTTTTTTTTATTCAGCCCTTCTTTTTTTTTTTTTTTTTGGCAATTCCTCTGAGATACCCAGGATCCTCCTCCTTGTTCAGAATCTTGTAATAGTCGTTACCTCATTATTCTACTTTACACACACTTTAGACCCTCAAGGGCTAAAGTGAAAATGTCTGTCACAATATCCACCTGTGTCAAAAGCATATTCACTTTTGGAAACAACTTCACTTTTAGATCAGAAACCTAATTGGCTCTGGGTCTAAACTGGCTCCTCCTCCTCCTCCTGGTACCTTTCTTTCCGCAATCCATACCCTTACCTCTGTGGGCCATACCTCTTGTTCTTCTGCTTGAAGACGCATCTCTTGCAGTTTTTCCTTTAGTAATTCCATTTCGATTTCATTGATTTGGCTCACACTCAGGTAACTTCCTAGTTCACATTCACACCCGTCTCGCTGGTCTTCCTCAGGAACGTAAACAGCCCAATCTGAGGTCAACAGCTATGGGAGGATCAGAGATACATGTACGGATATATTCATTCTTTAAATGTATTATTATTTTTATTGCTGAGGGTGGCACAGAAGACCTTGCACATGCTGGGCAAGTGCTCTACCACTGAGCTACATCCTCAGCCCACTGAACTGCCTTCAAAGTCAAGACATTCCAGTTGATTACTCATCGCATTGTTAAACTAAACACTATCAACTGGATCTATGTTAGCCATTACTACAGAAAAGCTCATTAGCTCAGCAGAATTCCAGACCTCCTATGGCATTCTTTCCCTTGCTTACGTTCTAAACTTTGGTGTAGACTTGGGGAATGTGGCTCAGTGGAATATCATGTGCCTAGCATGTGTAAAGCCCTGGGTTTCATCCCCAGCACCACAAGATAATAATACAGTCTTTCATGTGGCTCAGTGGTAGAGTGGTTGCCTAGACTGGGTTCTAGACATGGGTTCCATCTCAATAATGTGACATAAATAATAATTTAGTTTAAGCTGGGTGCTGGTGACTCACACCTGTAATCCTAGTTACTTAGAAGGCTGAGATTTGAGGATCACGGTTTGAAGCCAGTCGGAGCAGAAAAGTCCTTGTGAGACTCTTATCTCCAATTAACCACTCAAAAACTAGAAGTGGCACTGTGGCCCAAGTGGTAGAGAGATAGCTTTGATGACAAAGAATTCAAGCCCCATAACTGAACTTTTAAGTTTAAATCTAGTATCACATTTTAAACCATTGACTGCTTGTTTATGAGCCCTAGTTCTGAATGCCAGGACTGTTAAATATGATTTTTTCACCTGTTCTATTCTGGAGTATACTGCCACAATCTCCGGGATAGTCTTAAATTCACTCAGAAAATTTTGAATCTTCAGCTGAAAATCTGTAAGCCACATAGATGACACTTTCATCTCTGAAGAGTGCATGATCTCATTACGACATTTAATCACCTATAGAAAGACAAAAAGATAAAGCCTTCAAAATGGAGATCTTGCGACTTCAAAGAAAAACCACAAAGCCAGGCTCTGGCTGATCCTAACTACTCAGGAGGCTGTGATCTGAGGATCACAGTTCAAAATCAGCCTGGGCAGGAAAGTCTATGAGACTCTTATCTCAAATTAAACACCAAAGAAACTGGAAGTGGGGCTTTGGCTCAAAGTGATAGAGCGCTTGCCTTGAGCAAAAAAGCTGAGGAACCACTGTCCCTGAGTTCAATCCCAATGACAAACAACACAAAAGGAAAAATATAGAAGGGCTTTGGTAAATATAAAGCCGCCAAGCATGGTCTCCAGGTGAGAAGGGCTGCCCTTTTCTTGAGTCCACTGTATAATCTGGCATAGAGAACAGTACAGCTTGTAGAATCCAGCCCCCAAGTCACACTTCTATTTCATTTCATCCTGTCCACAAAAGTAAAGTCCTCCCTGGGTCACAAACCAAAATGCTTTCAAGAGAAATTTGACACTGGCCACATGCAACAGCCTGGACAAAAGAAGAGATAGAACAGAGACAACTGGAGACTCTCTCTGTTAAAGGGGCAGCTTTTTATGGGAGCTAGGTGAGTCTAGAGTGTTCTGCTATGTGTTACAGAGCCTTCAGCTTTCTCAAGAAAAGTTAGAAATTCCGATTTTTATGACAATTAAAAAAAAAAAAGAAACACCAGGCAGTACAAATAAAACATGACTGTAAGTCCGATTTTGTCCATAGAATAAAGTACCATAAAGGCTTTGAAGGTATGTTTAATCCAGTGCCATATGAATAAGAAATTAACCAGGGTAGGAAATGTCAATAAATCAGCTGGATGTTGTGGCACCCACCTGTAATCCTAGCACTTGACAAGCTGAGGCAAGAGAATTACGAGTTTTACACCAGCCTGGGCAACATTTTTTGTTTGTTTCAAAAAAAAACATTAAAAAGAAAGAAAACAAACTCAAAATAAGTTTACAACTACCCTTTATCCTTGAAATGTTATATCTGGTTAGATATTTTACATTCCCCCAAATCTCTTAACTTAAAACAGCCTGCCAAAGATGACATATTTTGGCTCCGGATATACTATCTATAGACTGAAGTAGACAAAGTGAAAAAAAATTATTTACTGTGTGTGTGTGTGCACATGCACATGTGGCTTCTGCCAGTTCTGGAGCTTTGAACTCAAGGCCTGAGCATTGTCCCTGAGCTTTTTTTGCTCAAGGCTAGGACTCTACCACTTGAGCCATGGTTCCACTAGTCCTTTTTGGTGGTTAATTAGAGATAAGAGTCTTGTGGATTTTACTGGCTTCAAATTGTGATCCTTAAATCTCAGCCTTCTGGCTAGATTCCAATGACTCACACCTGTAATCCTAGCTAATCAGGAGGCTGAGATCTGAGGATCACAGTTCAAAACTAGCCCAGAGCTGGGCGCTGGTGGCTCACGCCTGTAATCCTAGCTACTCAGGAGGCTGAGATCTGAGGATCGCGGTTCAAAGCCAGCCCGGGCAGGAGAGACCGTGAGACTCCTATCTCCAATAAACCACCAGAAAACCGGAAGTGGCGCTGTAGCTCAAGTGGTAGAGCGCTCGCCTTGAGCTGAAGAGCTAAGGGACAGCGCCCAGGCCCAGAGTTCAAGCCCCACGACCGACAAAAAAAAAAAAAAAAAAACTAGCCCAGAGACTCTTATCCTCAACTAACCACCAAAAAATCAGAAGTGGCGCTGCGGCTCAAGTGGTAGAGCGCTTGCCTTATGCTAAAGAGCTCAAGGACAGCGTCCAGGCCCCATGACCAAGAAAAAAAATCTCATCCTCCTGAGTAGCTAGGATAACAGGCATGAGTCACTGGTGCCTGGCAAAAATATAATTTTTTAAAAAAATAAATATTTATAAACAAATAACATGGAGTTCCAAGAAATCAAATCAAAGAAGTTTCCTGGTATGGAAAACAGTGACAAAAAAAATCAACTTTTGCTTATGTTTTATGAAAAATAGTGCTAAAGCACAACTCACATAGTCTTCCACATTCAAAGGGAAAGCACTGTTATACGTCTGTCTCTGTGAGGTCACAAAAGATCTTCAATCTTTCCACCTGCTGTCATGCTGGCAAAATATGTCATTTTCTCTACATATTATAAATAATCCAAGGATTCTATAGGTGCTTTTTAGTGCTTCTCAGAGTAATAAATGTGGTAAATTTTCCTATGGTGAACTAGTGAAAAATCTCACTCTCCCAGAGGCAAGCTGAGAAGCATAGTGATCTATTCTGACAGTGTTCTGCATTCCTGCCCATATTTTCTTCAGTTCTACATCATTTGGTCTTGTAACTTTGTAGCCAATGAAATTCTGAAGGGCAGGACTCAAACGCTGGCACACACACAACAGACAGAATGATGCTCTGGCTGTCTGGTTATTAGTAGTACTGGGGATGGAACCCAGGGCCTTTTAATACAGAAAATTACTTTGTTTCTGTTTGTGGAAGAACCAACAAGTGGGCTACTAACAAGTTGCCAGGAAACCTGCATTATGAAGCGTAGGTTCTTCCTTAGTTCTTGGCTGAGTTCATACTGTGTTTCTTGGGCATCACAGCAGGTGCACACAATATGAGCCCCATGAGCCTGCTTAATAATGCCAACTTTGGCCTGAGATCTCTCTCTCTGACTCTGTCTCTGTCTCTTTCTCTCTCTGCATACCACCATTCCGGGGGGAAACTGTGCTAGGCCTGCAGGGCTGGCTTAACTCACAGGGTATCTCACCACTGGCCCTCCTTGTAACCAACCTAACTGACTCAGTGCATGGCTTTCCATCTGACAGCTCTTACCTCTGTGACTTTCTTCCGATCAACCACAAAGTGATCGCAGGAATTGATGAGACTCAAAAGAGCAACAGCATCACACTCCTCAGGTCCTCGTTTGTCTGCCAGTCCTCGGGGCATGAAGGCCTATAGAAAGGGAGGCATGAGGGGCACCTCATTCTCCTCCAACTCTAGGAGCTGGAGAGACAGTGACTCATCCATTCCCCAAAGTATGATGGAAAGTCACTTACCCACCAAAGGCTACATGGTAGAGTAGCATGTGTTCAAAATGTAAGTGGGGAAAATAGAGTCATGGTTAAGCTTTGTCCAAGAGCTATTAGATACAGCCACTGTAACTTTTCTTATCCTGTCTTAGGGGCGTAAAAGTTATCTTATTTGTTCCTGACTGAAATCTCAGGAGCCAAATTATTAAAGGAAGACTTGCAAATTACTAATCCTCAGACGTATTAATGTCAATAAATGAGGGATGACTGCCATCATCTATCTCAAAGGATGCAGTGAGAATGAACTAAGGTATTGGCAGGTAGAGCACTAGCAGTAACTGGCACATGGTAATGAAGGGACCAGCTGGGTGCCAGTGGCTCATACTTATAATACTGGCTACTCAAGAGGTTGGGATCTAGAGGACTGCTGATTGAAGCCAACCTGGGCAGTAAAGTCCTAGAGACTCTATCCAAAACAAAACAAAAGCAAACAGCAAACAGCAAAAACAGGCAGGGCTGGAGGTATGGCTCAAGTGGTAGAGCAACAGTCAAGCAAGTTCAAAGTGCTGAACTGTAACTCTAGCATCATTAAACACACACATATAATGGCAATCATCATGTTGGCAGTGCAAAGTGAGTAGGACCTACACAAGTATTACAAAGGGAATCCTAGGATCTGCGATGCCAGAGACACCAGAAGGCTTCATTTCATAAATGAAATGAAATCTGTACCAAGATTTTATGACAAGGACTACAACAATGATGTGGTATAGCAAAGCTTGGTGCTCTTCCACCTGATCCACGCTTTCAACCCTCATTTCTCTTGAGTATTTGTCAGTCATATGGTAACTGTTTAATCTTTTTTTTTTAATTAAATAAGGGCTGGGAAGGTGGCTTAGTGGTAGAGCGCTGGCCTTGCATGCATGAAGTCCTGGGTTTGATTCCTCAGTACCACATAAACAGAAAAAGTCAGAAGTGGTGCTGTGGCTCACATGGTAGAGTGCTAGCCTTGAGCAAAAAGCAGTTCAGGGACAGTGCCTAAGCCCTGAGTTCAAGCCTCGGGACTGGTTAAAAAAATTATATAAACTGAAATAATAGTAAAGTTATTTGAGTAGTGATGGGAATAGCTGGGAAGAATATGGACAGCTGAAGACTCAAGAGTCCTTGGACAACTAGAAGAGAATAACACCAGCACACATGTGGAGGGGACAGGGCAAGTAAAGGAAGAAGATGGTGCATATGAAAAGTGAGCTAGTACATTTGACAAAAACATGAGGATGTTTGTATTTGGGGGTAAGAGTAGGGGGAACAGGAGGAAGGGCTTGGTGAGGATAGCGTCAGGAACAGTTGGCTTCAGGAACCTGAAGGCAGAGGCAGGGTTGTAGATCAAGAATGAAAGTGCACCCAGTCAGTCAGCTTCCTCAGCAGAAGCAGAGGATGGTGTCTTTAAGGTTGGTGGTCATAGGCCAGGCAAGTTCAAAGAAAGGAGAGAAGAATGTAAGATAGCTGTACCTTTGCAGCTAATTGCTAATGGATGGTAGAAATTCAGCCAGCTGAAATGTGAAAGGCAAGCAGGAAGGCAGGGGTTGCTGGGTATTGAGAAGCAGCGGAAGCATCACAGAGGTGACAGTAAATGGACAATGGGTCAAGGAGAGGAGTGTCTGAATAAGTGTGGCAAAGTCAAGCAGGGATGTCGGACACCAACTACCTGTGTCAACAAGGCTGGAGTGTGAATATGCAAGGGGGAGGTGAGAGGATCAAGGATGCTAGAATAGGAAGTTCAAGAAAGACGAGGATAGGATTGAAAGGACAATGTAAACCTGGTTTGGGACTAACTTTACATGTGACCAGCAACAAGAGGAGGAAAGACTGGCAGAATCAGGTAGCATGGGTTGTTAAGAGGACTGGGAGAAGCAAGGGAGACCAAATAAGAGAAGCCATAGTCAATGAGGAACGAACACAAGTGGGGAGGAGGGTATAATTGAGGTCAGTGAGTCTGGGAACTATAGACAGTCCAATTCTCTCATTTTCCAGGTTAGGAAAGAGGAGCTGGCTTGTTACACCAGCAGCTGAACTGATTTGCTTTAGGAAGTCACTTTTGGCTGCCATCTCCACGCACTACTGGGCTTCTGACAAACATCAAAAAGTCCAGAGACTGGGAATGTGGCTTAGTGGTAGAGTGTGTGCCTAATATTCATGAAGCCTTGGGTTTGATTCCTAAGTGCCACATAAACAGAAAAAGCCAGAAGTGGTGCTGTAGTTCAAGTGGTAGCATACCTAGCGTTCATCACAGAGGGGCTCAGGGACAGCTCCCAGGCCCTAAGTTCAAGCCCCCAGGAATGGCAAAAAAAAGAAAATTCCTAAATCAGCCTAGGTGTATATCAACCACCTGGTCAAGATGTGAGGACAGGCCTAATTAATAAGTTTTTATCTAGCTGCTTACCTCATTTACACCTTCCAATGTTTTATTCCGTAGCCGGGGGGGGGGGGGGGGGGGGGGGGGGAGGAGGGCAGGAGGTTATTTAGGGTCCTTTCTATTTTATCTAAACTTCCCTTAACTTGCTCTGCCATCTTCATGGTAGCTGTATTGTCCAAATGAGCCATTCAGTAAAGCCTTTTCTCCAACACTCCTTCCCCTGGTTCCTTGCCTGTGCTCACGATGTCCGGGTCTGCATCTTCCCTAAAGCTCAGCTAGCACGGGCAGCGCAGACTGGTAGAAGAAACTTTCTACCTCACTGAACTGTGTCGGGTGCACTAAATGCTATGTAACCAACCAATCAACTTGCATTATGGCTCTAGAAGGCGCAGAGACCCACCCACCAGTTGCCCCCTCACATCCCAGTCGCAGCCCCTTACCTTGGCTACTTCCCAAGCGTCGAGGGGCCATAGGCCCGGACGGCAGTTTCCCCAGTACACGTCTCCATTTCTGTGAACATGATGTCTCAGAATCTCCTGTTTCCACTCGGCACACACCTGACACTGAGGCTGAAACTACAGAGGGCGGTGGTGAGGAGGGGCACAGGAAGAGGCGGCGGCTCCTGGATCGCAGTCTGCCCCGCCTCAGGGAGGGAAGGGAACGCTGCACCTCCGGAACTGGGACAGGGAAGGGGAATGGGGGGTTGGAGTCGTGGTCAAGGCCCCGAGTGCTCACCTGGCGAGCGCGGGGGTGGCACCGTGAGCCGCCGCTGCAAGTGGAACGTCCCAGGCCGGAGGCTGTGGCGAGTAGGTCGCGATGAAAGGAGAGCATCTCGCGACCGACGAAGCCCTGCAGGCAGCTGCGCAGCAGCAGCAGGCAGTGTCCTGCCTTCACCCAGTTCTTGTACTCCGTGCAGTTAAGACGCGCGGATAGCTCCGACAGCACCATGTTTCACCCAGAGCCCCAGGGGATGTGGGGGCGGGGAGGCTAGTGGGTTGAGGGCAACAGTGCGCATGCGCTAGCTCCTAGGCAGTGTCTAAGGCGCAGGCGCGATCCCACCAGGGACCGCCCCCACGAGCTGTGGCCGTGGAGCTCGCGTCATTGGTCTCAGGGGCGGGGACTTTCCGTTTTCCTGGAAGGGCCAACTCCACCCCTTAAGTGAGCCGCTGACGTTTGCCCTGGCAAACACTAACACCCCATCAAAATCCCTGGTTGCCTTGCCACCTCTAGTTGAAACTCACAGGCTATCTTCTCCCCCTACTGAATCCTTCCAGGCCCCTCCCCTGATGTGCAGCTCCTGTGGTCACTCCTTTATTGTAGAGATGTAAAGTGCTCAGGGGATCTTTCTTGAATTCTTTGTATTCCTTGCATTATGCAATTCTATTAAATTAGCTCTTTCGTAGGCCCACAGACTAACTCAACCACTGGCTGCCCACACTGCACACCTACTGTGCTCCACCTGTGTGCCAGGCTGACACAAAGCTCCACGACTAGGCTACCTGGCAGGAACGAACAGGATACCATATTGATCGGATTCTGAAGGGTAGCACAGCCCCAAGCATCCTGAAGCATTGGCAAAGGCCAATGATTACTTAAAAGACTTTTCAGTCTGATTTAAGTTCCAAGTAAGTGCCACAGAGGTCAGAAATCATTATCCTGTCAATTTCAACTGACCAATCATGTTTTGGTTTCTTTCTTTCCTTTTTTTGCTGTTGGTCCTGGGACTCAAATTCAGGGCTTGGGCACTGTCCCCGACACTTTTTTGCTCAAGGTTAGTGCCCTAGCACTTGAGCCACAGGTCCACTTACAGCTTTCTCTGATATTATTGGTGAGAAGAGTGTTAGGGACCTTCCTGCCCTGGCTGGCTTCAAACTTGTGATCATCAGATCTTAGCTCAGATCTTAGCCTCTGGACTAGCTAGGATTACAGGCGTGAGCCACTGACTCTCAGCTATGTTTTGGTTTCTTTCTTTCCTTTTCCTTCTTTTCTATTCTTTTTCTTTTCTTTTTTTCTTTTGTCAGTCCTGGGACTTGTCAGGGGCTGGGTGCTGTCCCTGCGCCTCTTTGTGCTCAAGGCTAGCGCTCTACTAATTGAGCCACAGAGCCACTTCTGGCTTTTTTAAGTAGTTTATTGGAGATAAATCTCACAGGGACTTTTCTGCCTGGGGTGGCTTCGAACCTTGATCTTCAGATCTTAGCCTCCTTAGATCTTGGCCTCCTGAGTAGCCAGGATAACAGGCGTGAGCCACCAGCGCCCAGCTTGTTTTTTGTTTCTTTTAGTGCATTTCTTGAGCTTGGTAAATGTGTCAAAATTGTATGTATTCAAGTTTCCCCTTACTGCCAGGCTCCTATGTAGAGGCATAGGGTTTAGGAGCACTAGCTCTGGACCCAAATAGCCTCTTCTTAGTGGTTTGCCCTTTAGGGATAATTTCATCACAAGAAAATTACTTCATTTTTTGTGGTCTCTTTATCATCTGTAAAAGGAGGATACTGACACCTCATAGGGTAACTGGGAAATTAAATACACATGCCAGGGACACAGTAAGCTCTCAGCAAATATTAGCCACCATTTGTTCTTGACCTAAATATACACATTAAACAGTCAGTTACATTCTTAGATGAGGTAAATAACAACTCACTGGCCACTTGGATGTGAAGGCTAGAAAACTAAGCAGGTCATAGCTTTCCTGGAGATAAACTGCACAGTGTGGGCTGGCCTCATCCTAAGGGAACTTATATACCTTCGATCACCCTGGCCATTCCCACCAAGCCAAATGAAAAAGAAAACCCCACTAGAAACACTGAAACCTACATTAACATTTGTTCTTTGTGTTCCTTGAGTGTAAGTTCTCTTAAAATATTCTGGGAGTGAAGAATATTTGAAAGTGTAGTGGTGCATACCTTTAATCCCAGCACTCTGGAGGCAGAGGCAAGAGGACTGCTTAAAGCCTAGGAATTGGAGGCAACCTGGGCAACATAGAGAGACCCTGTCTCTTTAGAAAACAAAAAGTGATCGTGTATTTCTTTTAGAGAAAGAAAACACAAAAGAACTTTTATGTTGAAAACCAACTACAGTCCAAAGAGTGACTTAGAATCCTGTAACTGGACAAGTTACTGTGTTAACTGCAACAAAGTGAAGTTATTAGTGGCATTCAGATTCAAAATTAGGTATGCTTTCTTTCATGTTTTCACTTAGCTCACTCGATTTTCAAATATAAGGTCAGCTTTTGCTATTAAGAACTGTGTATTCTGTCGAAGGCTTCGCTTTCCTCTTAATTCTCAAAGTACTTCTGGACATTTTGAAATGGAGGGAAAAAAGGCAGGGGGCAAATCAGAACCAATTTCTTCTTTAAAGGTTAAACTGATTCTAAACCAGGCTACAATCCAAAACATCTTCACCAAAATTAACTAGAGAGAGTTGGCAGTTCTCTGAAACTTGTATAAATTTTATTTATTACTGCAAATACTAAAGTTACATGGAATACACCTTAAAATTAAGTCCTAAACCATCTACTAAGGGAAATCACTATGAATATCAAGTCCCTTTGATCAAACCTGGGTAACAAAAGAGGCAAAAGACATGGTTCGAGATGAAACTTATGATTCCAATGCTAAATGTTTTCCAAGCTTTAATAAAGCATATACCAATTCCAAGTACCAAGCATATTATCAAAATTCAATTTCATTGATTTAATAAGCATCAAAAGAAAATTCTGTTTGCTGATTCCTATTCTTACTTTTGATTTGCACAATGCATTCATAATTAAGAAAAGTTCATTGAATGCATCATGTATAAAATGCAATTAACATTTCGAAATCACACTCAAAAAGGAAAATACCTGAAAAGTTAATTCTATTAATAAAATGTGACACAATATCATCCTGCAGATAAAAATACATTTCTTATATATACATGTAGATTTCTACATGAAAGAAAGAATTCAGCTCCAAATAGAAAAGGGCTGACGCTTGATAAAAGACATCTTAGATTGCCAAACTGATGTGATAATCACTATAAGGAGAACTGAAAACAGAAGGATAAAAAGGTAAGTTAAAGGAAGGATAAAAGTTTAGTCACCTACTCTGGAACAGTGGCAGAGTTGGGTGAGAAGCAGGAGATGAAAGCAGAAATAAGACACAGAAGACAAAGGTCTCACCGTTGACCGGAAATGAATGGAAAATTAAGCAAAGTTAAGAACAGATATGATACAGTTGGCAGTGAGATGCTTGAAACTAGAAGTTGGAGATTACAGTTATAAAAGCGCAATTAAATCATCTTAAAGTGGAATTAGACAAAGCATCTAAAATTTAATCAAGAACCAGTATTACAGTGACTAAATAACTTAGCATGGTATTATCTTAAAATTTTTCCCCAAACAACATTAAGTCACTAGAACACAGTCACTTCAGATTATGTTCTTTGAAGCTTAAAAAGTCCCTGACTAGGAGAGACAGTTCAGCATTCCAAAAAGAAACTCTGCTGAGATATGCATCAGAAACTTCACTGGACCCTGCCTGCATAGGCCCTGAGTCTTGAGGACTCTTACAATGTCTAGACTAAGTTTCTTGCAAGTAAAACATCTATTATTTTGTTGACAATGAATTCATATGAGATTGTTCAGAACAACACCAATTTTGGTGGGGAAGGCAAGAAGTGAAGGTAAAGAAATATCACAGAAAATTCACGCAAAGGTCGAGCATTAAATTTCCTTGTTTCCTAATTAATGCTGTATGCATAAGTATCCTGTAAATAAAACTTGCCTAACAAAAAAAGCTCCCATATCCTCAACAGATGAGAAAGACTGTCTAAGGATAAAGCACTGTCTCTTCTCAAAAAACTCCGTTCTTTCTTAATTAATTTCTACACTGAAAGGTAACTGAGGGGCTAAATGTTACCACTACTCAACTTAGGAATGTCTGAAGAAAAAAATTAACCTTGAAACTCATGTTCTGGGTCAAATCTCAGACATTATTAGAAAATCACTTGCCCCACCAGGTTAAGGATGAAGTGAGGCCCTATAAAAATCCTAGAGAATCCGGGTGCTGGTAGCTCACTCCTGTAATCCTAGCTACACAGGAGGCTGAGATCTGAGGAACGAGGTTCAAAGCCAGCCCGGACAGGAAATTCCCCATGATACTCTTATCTATAATTAACCACCGGAAAACCGGAAGTGGCACTGTGGCTCAAGTAGTAGAGCTCTAGCCTTGAGCTGAAGAGCTCAGGGACAGTGCCCAGGCCCAGAGTTCAATCCCCACGACCGACCAAAAAAAAAAATCCTAGAGAGCTTATTATACACACACAAGTGAGTGTCACTTTTTTCACCTAGCTTTATTAAATATTGCTTCTTTGGGATGTGTTTATAATGACTCCCAGAACATTTTTGTGTAAGGATTCAAAGCGGTCATATTAAAATACAGCTCCAATATAAAGTTTGTCACAGTTTTACAGTATTCAAAAATGACAGACCTGCCTTAAAAAACAAAAATAAAAATAAAAAAGGACTATTACACCCAAAACATAAGGAGACAATTAAATAAACAAGTTTGGCATTTTCATATCTTTATAGTATAAAACAGAATATTAAATCTATTACTGGCAAGCGGACACTGATGTATTACCCTAGTTTGAAATGTGTCCCATTTAACCACACTATACAAGTTCACTATACAAAAAAATTGATGATCTTTTTTGATGAAAGAAGTGCACCCTGAAAAAGTTTGCCAGTTTAGAATATTTAGCTCTTAAAGTTAAAAAAAAAGTCCTTTTCCTTTTTAAAAGTGAAGGCTGAATTCATTTTTTTTTTTTGTTGTTTTGTCACATTTGTCAGCCTTCTGGGTTTAAAAACAATAGTGTCTACGGACGCCCACCAGGGGGCAGTGTAAGATTAGCCATTAAATCACGAACAGCTGCAAATATTGTGCATTCACCTGCAACAGAGAAAAATGGTCATTAGCTATTCGCAATACAGGAAAGATGATGTTAACACACCGGTGGAGGGAAGGGGAAATTAAATCTGAAATTAGTTAGAACTTTAAAGATTATAGAAGATTAAATTCTGGTGTGATATAAAAAGGTTATATTTGATTTGGGTTGTTTTTCCTCAGAAGGACATATTGGTTAAGTTCCAGTTGGGTTCAAATTTGGATATGCCTACAGTTATATAGAAATAATGTTGTAGTGGATAAGCTTTAAAAGTTGCTCATCCTCTCCTTTCCCCCATTCCTGAGGCTTGAACTCTGGGCCTGGGCTCTGTCATTAAGCTTCTTTGTGCTCGAGGCTAGCAGTCTACCACTTGAGCCACAACACCACTTCCGGCTTTTTTCTGAGTAATTTACTGGGGATAAGAGTCTCACAGATTTTCCTGCCCATGCTGGCTTTGAACCATGATCCTCAGATCTCAGCCTCCTGAGTAGCTAGGATTACAGGTGTGAGCCACCAGCGCCCTGCAAAAGTTGGACTTTATGTTAAACGTTTAAGGTTACTTATATATTTTGAATCTAATGAAAAGATCTAATTTATCTTCATGTATTATTAATTACAACTTTGTGTGGTATCCTTCTAATATTGCATTACCAACCAGATTAAAATGTTTCATATAGCACCATCCAGTAGAATTCTCTGTGATGATGGAAATGTGTATGTATGTATACTGTGGCTATTGAGCACTTGTAACACATCTAGTCTAACTATGAAATGGAATTTAAAATTAAATTAAAAACTTGTGTTTACTTTAATTGACTTAAATAGCCACATGTGGCTACTGGCAGTTCTACAAGACAGTATATACTGACATCTACTGGAGATTTCTTCTAAATTTTAAGGAAATGGTCAAATTCTGTAATTCAACATTAAAACTAAATTAAAACCAACTGAGTACAAAATTAGAACTCGAGCCAGGTGCTGGTAGGTAGCTCATGCCTGTAATCCTAGCTACTGAGAAGGCTGGGATCTGAGGACTGCTGTTCAAAGCCAGAATGGACAGGAATATTCGTGAGACTCTTATCTCTAATTAGCCACCCAAAAACAAAGTGGTAGAGTGCTAGCCTTGAGTGAAAAAGCTCAGGGACAGCACCCAGGCCTGGAGTTCAAGTCCCAGGATTGGCGCACTCTCTCTCTTCTCTCCTCTCTCTCTCTCTCTCTCTCTCTCTCTCTCTCTCTCTCTCTCTCTCTCTCTCTCTCTCTCTCTCTCTCTCACACACACACACACACACACACACACACACACACACAAACTTGAGATTCTCCTATCTCAGCCTCCCAAGTGCTGGGATTACAGGTGTGTGATAACATGCCTGTGTTGGTTTTTGCTCCTTAAAAGTACTTTACTGGGGGAGAAGTGACAGGTGTGAGGGGGGGAAGCTGAAGTATGACATTATCAACAACCCCAAAATACAATGTGTTGAGGGGACTGATGATTCATCCTTCTCAACTTCCCCTTTGCTTTGTAAATACTACAAAGATTTCAATATTATAAACCAAAAGCTGGATCTCTTGTACTAGAGCATAGACAGTATAGTAGCTAAAAGTGGGAGAACTAAAGACCTCATGTGTCTCATGGCTTACTAGAAAAGGGCAGGATGTGCAGGGATGCTGTACAAATTACTGACAAACTTCTCACCAACCACTAGAAAAATAAGGCACAGAATGGAAAGGAATTCCAAAGGTTTGCCCAGCCAAAGGGGGTGGGGGTGAGGATAAAGGAAAAAGAAAACACTCCCAAAATATTTCACCAATTTCTTAAATGAAAGATATATATATGTATATAACACATATACATACATATATATTTAACACTTTCACTGATAAGTAGAAAAGCTTGCTTGATCCCAATAGGATCAAAACATTTTTCTTTTAATTTTAAATTCCACAAGACATAATACATAAAAACATATAAGATAATGATAAGTCACTTGTTTGTGAAGGAATGGTCATTTATTATCAAAGTTCTACTGGACTGCTACCTTGAGAATTGTGATAGTTTTAGACTTTGATTCTTGAGGACCTATTTTTAGCTGAAAGAAGAGAAAAGTCAAAGGATGAAAGCAGGAAATTGTAAGAAGTAGAAGTATTACAACAAAAGATGCATACTCTTCTCTACTGCCCAGTGGATTCCTTAGACACTGAGAACTCCTCTACATACAATACAGGGGAACAAACAGCTAAAAAGATCATTCTCTCATGATTATTCTCCTAACACTTTTTAACACTGTGGTACCTACAAACGTTTCAGAGAACAACTTTCCATCATTAACCATAATTCGGTTATCAAGCTATTCTATAGAGGTAAAGAGGACTTTCTTAGCATTAGAAATAAGCAACATTAAAAATTAAAATGGCTTCAATTAGAAACAAGCAAAATGGAAGAAAAGTTCTCTTTGCCAAGCTTTACTGTGTTGTAACCCCAAATTTAGCACTGCCGGGAGTTACGTTTCATGTAGCAAGTACAGCATGGAAAGGACTTTGTTGTTCTACCTAGAAACACGCTGGTTTCCTTATGTGTTCAGTTTGAGAGCTTCCTTGTGCACTTGGTGAAAAGGTTCACTTGCACCCGCCTGATACTTATATAAGAAGCCCAAAAAGCAGTGGTGCCATTTGTATCAGCTTTTATTCTTCACAAAACATTTAGAAGATACAGAACTTTTCATGACAATATTTTAGTCATGATTGAACCATGAAATATGAGAAACCAACATGCATTTCAAGTTTGTGATGTACAGAGTGGCAGGTATTGATGGCAGGGCAGGAATTCACAGCCATGGAAAAGTCTATCATCCTAACCTAGGGCTTTTGTGGCAATGTGTGCTATAAATACAAGCTTCTGGCATTAGCAACTGGGTCAGTCCCAATAATAAATCACCAAGGAAAATAAAAAGTCCAGGCAGCAGAGAAATGGACGAAAATAAAAAAAAAAAAATCAGTGAGAAAGGAAGAAAGCGACAGGCAGACATTAGGAGGGCCACAGCAACAAGCTAGTACTGGGGTCAAGGGGTAGAGTGGCTGGAAGGGGGAAGTAGGAGAGGAGGAGAGAAGGAGGTGTCTCTCGAAAGAATTTTTTTATAACATATGCAATAAAATACCGTCTACTGGTCATGTACCTTGTCGTGGTGGGTTCATCTCTGCAAACCTCTTTAGAATGTTGCTGACCATCATGGGAGCAGCAACAGAAGAGTTCTGCTGTCTGGGAATGTCTGCCTGCTGGGTTGTACCTGAAGCCATGTCATAAATGATTGGAACTATAATACTAACAGGTTCTTGGGGAGGGACTGATGTTTTCTGAGTTAGTTGAAGCTGCAGACACACAAAGAGAATAAAAAAAACAAAATAAAACATTTGTCTAAATTTGTCAAAGGTACTATATCATTTACTATAAGACACATCAAGCAAAAGGAAATGAAATGTGACAAACAACTGAATATAATGGTTAGTTATTCACTAGGTCAATACACTTCTATGAATACTTTGGAAAGCAATGAGGACTCCATAAAGTCTCAACTGCTACTTTAGAAGCCTGGGCCTATCATGGCAGCAATGGGCAATGTATCCAGTTATCCAAAGTGGCTCCATTACCCCCACATGGCTTCTTCCTTGGAAGCTCTGCACACACACAGATGGCTGGTGATACTTACAAAGAACAGCATTTTGGATTTCAGCACTACAGCAGGTGTCCCAGGAGGTGCAATTGGCGGTGCGCTGGGAGGGATCGTCAGGCAAAACTGAACATTCCATTTTAGCTGTGTTGCCTGGTCAGGAAACTGTTTTGGAAAAAAAAAAAAGAGAAAGAAAAATCACAACAAGGTCATATATCAATGTTTCAAATCATATGCTAGTAGAGGAGTTTAAAAAAGTTAGCATTTCATTTTAGGTCCAATTTTTCATAGAACATAGAGTTGGTAACCTGGATTTATTCAAAAGAAATATTTTTGTGAGTAAATATATATATATATATATATATATATATATATAGTATTTGCAGGGGTAAAGTAATAAATAATTTATGAAAATGCCCTCGTAGCAACTCAAAAATTCAAACACTGATCCTCTGACCAACTTCTTCCATTTTATTTTAGAAAAGGGCAGGCCATTTCTCGCTCTTCTTAATTCCATTAATACTGGAAATTATACATGGGAGCCAAATTGAAATGCTCACTGGTTTTACCTTTATAAAATTTAAAACAATATTAACTTTTGTTTTAGGTGTGCATACACATTCAAAGTTAGCTCTGTAACCAGGATGAAAATGTGCTAGAAAATACTTTATATCAGTTATAGAAAGTAATATTCATTTCATGTACCCACAAATGAACTTTCTGCTGCAGACAGGAAGAGTTGAGTATGTCTACCTATTTCTAAAGCTGCCAGATTTTTTAAAAAATAAGTTCATTTATCTTCAAAGTCAGAACCTAAACAAAACTTTTGCTGTTGTTGTTAAAAATGCATGTATAAAATACCTTACCTACAACTCTATTACAGCCTGAAAAATCTCTGTTGGGAGGTTCAGTAGTAACTACAGGCATTTATCCTCAAAACAATCTTTCTTATTTTTCAGGTTTGGAAACAGTATCATGTCAAGCATGGAAAAAAAAAAAACTTTCCCTACTTTAAGAATACATGTCTTCACTTGGGACGTGTGTCCTCGAATTCAGTGAATCGCTTATCTTCAGCAACTTTGTCAGGTCTCCATGTCAATCTCAATCACTACATTCTTGCCTAAAAGTGTCTTCTTTTACATTTTCAACATCTACCAGATTTGGTAGATGATTCCTCCAGTAGCAGTATGTGTTATGCTGCCAAATTCTTCATTGTGCTGCACTGCCACCATCCCCCACCTACTCCTCCTCCAGCCCACAGAACAGTTTAACTTCAAGGGCTCCCCTAAGTCCAGGCCTTGACCCTCATACTCCTTGCTGCCTAAGTCTCTGCCTTGTTGCATTTGCTGGATAAAGGTGAAGGCTCTCCCAGGGCCCCTGTCATTTGTGGGCTGGCCTGAAGTGCTTGGCCCAGACAGCAGGATCCAGGGTGGCAATAACTCCTTCATGAAGTCACACAGCAGAAGCTGCTTTCAAGGCACATAGAATGACAGTGCCTGTCTTCATGGCTCTTGGCCATGGGCTGGGAGGATGGAGGCTGGCTGCAAATCAAGGCCCTTCTTGACTGGTTATCCATTTAAAGTTTTATTTCTAACTCATTCCCTAAACAAACTAGCCCAAACAATGTTTATGATTTTTAATTATAGTCACTGGTATTTTTTTTATAGGAGTACTTCTATTTTTTTCTTAAAAAAGAAAAACAGGGGGCTGGGAAGGTTACTCAGTTTTAGAGTGCTTGCCTTGCATGCATGAGGCCCTAGGTTTGATTCCTCAGCACCACATAAGCAGAAAAAGCCGGAAGTGGCACTGTGGCTCAAGTTGCTCAAGTGGTAAAGCACTAGCCTTGAGCTGAAGAGCTCAGGGACAACGTCCAGGCCCAGAGTTCATGCCCCACAACTGACCAAAAAATAAAGAAAGAAAAACAGGCCAGGCACCAGTGGCTCGCATCTGTAATCCCAACTACTCAGGAGGCTGAGATCTGAGGATCACTGTTCAAAGCCAGCCCGGGCAGTAAAGTCCATGAGACTCTTATCTCCAATTAATCACCAGAAAACCAGAAGTGGCACTGTGGCTCAAGCGGTAGAGCGTTCACCTTGAGCTGAAGAGCTCAGGGACAGCACCCAGGCCCAGAGTTCAAGTCCAACGACCAACAAAAAGAAAGAAAAAAAAAAGAAATTTGTGAACTGGAATCCTCAGATCTCAGCCTGAGTATCTAGGATTATAGGTGTGAGCCACTGGTACCCAGCTAAAAACAGATTTCTTTCAGACATAAATGTTTGCTAATAGCCTATCAGATCAAAAGCCAAATGTTGAGATAATTAGCAAAAAAAAACACTGCTTCCCCAATACTAGTAGTAAAGCACCAATGAAAAGATTGAGCAATCACAATCAATAATAGAAATATTATTAAAATGAAAGGACTATTGTCAGATTGAAAATAATTCAATCAGCTATTATCTGGATTATTTCTATATAATTATAAGGAATATCTAGTGCAGTAAAAATGTACAACTAGGAAAAAATAGTTCAAAAGTGGGCTTGGGATATAGCGTGGTGGTAGAGCACTTGCCTAGCATGCACAAGGCCCTGGGTTCCATTCCCAGAACTGCCAATAAATAAATAAACTTCCAAGGGGCTAACTTCTCTAGTATACAGAGTACTTATAAATTAGTAAAAGAAAGACTGATAAAGCTATTGACAAGGGCTGGGAAGGTGGCTTAGTGGTAGAGTGCTTTCCTAGCATGCATGAAGCCTTCAGTTTGATTCTTCAGTACCACATAAACAGAAAAGGCCAGAAGTGGTGCTGTGGCCCAGGTGGTAGAATGCTAGCCTTGAGCAAAAGAAGCTCAGGGACAGTGCCCAGGCCCTGAGTTTAAGCCCCAGGAATGGCAGATACTGTCACAAATTGCTAATGGGATACAAACCAGAGTCTATGGAGAACAATATATCTATTGAATAACTATATCTACATATCTATATCTATATATCCATATAGCTGTATCTTTGGATGGTGTTTTGATATATCAAGTCATTCTAGAATTGGATCCTACAGATAAATTGGCACATCCATAAAAGGCTCTTTCCTATGGCTCTTTATAATATCAAATATGGCTACTGACCTATGTAAGAGGAAAAGACTGGGAGGCACAGATTGGAATGATGGGCATACATGCCAAGAGACACCAAGGTTTGTTGGCACAATCAGCAGAGAAGATAAAGACATTGAACATACTGTCCCCACTAGATCCTTCAGAGAGGCCATGACCCTACCAACACCTTGACTTAGAACTACTATCCTCCAGAGTGCTGGGAGAAGAAACTACTATTGTTTTAAACCACTTTGTGTTCATTTGTTCTGGCACTAGAAAACAAATGCAAATGCAGATGGAGCTCTAGAAAAAAGAACAAAAATCCTTGAAAAACAAATTTAAGAGGAAGTATAGCTATGGCTCAAGTATTACAGCACCAGCCTTGAGCAAAAAAGCTAAGTGCCTAGGCCCTGAGTTCTGAGTTCAAGCCCTAGTACTGGCACAAAAATATCAAATCTTTTTAAAAGATGCTTTAAAAAATAAAGCCCATCGAGAGGAGGTATCTAGTGTACTAAAAGCAGCATCTGTGGTGTCTCAACACTTTAGTCTTCACAGCTCTTAGGGGATATGGCTTCATGAACCATGAAGGTGGGGAACCAGAAAAACTTTTGTAACACACAAATTTGTACAGATGCACAGGCAAATTTCAAAACAGAAACAGGAGGAATAAAGTACAAAATACGATGCTTAGTGTTATTATTTCACTTAAAGACTGTAGGAGAGAGATGAATTGGCTTTTTTAAGTAGACTACCTCTGCAAAGACAGGCAAACCACTGTGGACTCAGCTTACAGTATGGCTGGACAGGAATGTATGGTGAATTCCTCACTGTATTGTCTTGTTTTGATATGTCGACACAACAACTTAATGCGTCAACTGTGTCAAAACTAAATACAATTTAAGTTAACTAAGAATTTGGAAAATGAACTATACAACTTGTGGGTGGGACAGGAGGGAAAAACTGGGAGAGTGAAAGAAAGGGTGACATAGTCCAAAAATAAATGTTCTCTTTACCTGACTTATGTCTGTAACCCCTCTGTACATCACCTTTATAACAATAAAAAAGGAAACTAAAAAAAAATTAAGAATTTTAAAGAAAAATGAAAGAACGTATATAAATAAATGAAAACTAACAAGCACTTCCCCCTTCTTAAATAGACCTCGCTAGACAAGTTCTGTCACTTACCAGTTCTAGCTTCATAATATGTACACAGTCTCTGAGGATGTGTGTAGGTGCTCCTAATAGCTTGGTGAAGGCTATTAATGTATTGGCTTTAAATGGTGGTCCGGCAACCTATGGGGATAAATAAAGGAAGTTACTTTTCATTCTATCTTGACTTTGTTGCCTTATTAATCATAGTAAAATTGTGCATTATTTAAACACATACTCTTGTTTCGAAGAATTTCTCTAAAACTTGAAGTTCATCAGGTTTCCACTGTCCTGCATTTTCAGGTGTCACTTTTAGCTGAAGGGTCTGGTTGGTTTTGGGACTAAGGGCTACTCTGCATTTCAGCGCATCAGTCTTAAACATAATTACTCCAGGTTCATTGGAATTTATCAACTGCAGCTGAAAATTAAGAAAGATGCCTCAAATTAGTGTTTTAGACAGAAAGAAAATGAAATACTAATGAGAAAACAAAAACAACTAAGCGTATACAGATGACAAAATGAGGTTCAAAGGGCTGAACACATACATGGACTGAGTAGCAGAGCTCAAACTACATCATAGGTCTGACGATTTACCAAGTTTGAATGCTAATTTATTCAACTTATTTTAAAACTTAATTTTTTTGAGGAGGGCAAAAGAGGGTAAAGAAGAAGTAATGTGATCAAATTATATATACTATAATATACCATAATGAAACACATTACTTTGTATAACACATGCTAAGACAATTTTTAAAAACTTTTATATATTTTTCACATCTGGATATAAAGGTTGCAAAATGGCTTCAGGCCAATGATAAAATGGATATTATAAACATTCACCATTTTGATCACCTCATTAATATATAGAGAGATACTAATAATAACAATAGTTTTTTTGTCTTATAATACTTTATTTCTCTAAGGTTGAAAGAAGTTTTCACTAGGAATGACTTCTGGGTTAACAGTTTACTTTTTTTTTTAAAATTTTTTATTGTAAAGATACTATACAGAGGGTTATAGTTACATGAGTAAGGTAATGAGTACACTTCCTAATAACTATAGTTTTAAGTAATGAACATGTATTGAATGCCAAAACATTATGGTAAAGACTTTACATAAAATATTTCAAATTCCCACAATTGTTATCAGTTGGGTAGATATTATTACTACTATATCAAAATATTATTACTACTATAATCAAAAAGGTACAGAGCCAGGCGCCGGTGGCTCACTCCTATAATCCTAGCTACTCAGGAGGCTGAGATCTGAGAATCGTGGTTCAAAGCCAGCCCGGGCAGGAAAGTCCATGAGACTCTCTTTTTTTAAAAATTTTAATTTTTATTTATTTATTTTTATTTATTTTATTTTTTATTGTGAAAATACTGTACAGAGGGGTTACAATTACATGGGCAAGATAATGAGTACATTTCTTATCAAGCATTGTAGCCTCCTCCTTTGTTTCCCCTTCCCATCCCTTCCCACCCTCCCCCCGCCCTCCCCCCAATCCTACCCGCCTCCCCCCCCCCCCAAAGTTGTAAAGTTCGTTAGGAAAGTCTGTGAGATTCTTATCTCCAATAAGCCACCAGAAACCCGGCAGTGGCACTGTAGCTCAAGTGGTAGAGCGCTTGCCTTGAGCTGAAGAGCTGAGGGACAGCACCCAGGCCCAGAGTTTAAGCCCCAGGACCGACCAAAAAAAAAAAAAAGGAAGGTGCAGAAATTTGCCCAAGCACATAGATTATTGGGAAGTATGGGCTGGGACAAACATAGGCAGCCAGACTCTGGAACTGGGTACTTTCAATGATTAACTATCTCCTAAGACTATCACCACTAGAGTGGTAGATGTATTTTTCTTCTTTTTTTTTCTTGCGGGGGGGGGGGGGGGGTGTCCGGTCGTGGGCCTGAACTCTGGGCCTAGGCGCTGTCCCTCAGCTCTTCAGCTAGGCTAGTGCTCTAGCACTTGAGCCACAATGCCACTTCCGGCTTTTTTTTTTCTGCTTATGTGGTGCTGAGGAATCGAACCCAGGACCTCAGGTATGCAAGACAAGCGCTCTACCACTGAGCCACCTTCCTAGTCCCTTTTCTTCTTTTTTTTTTTTTTAAATTATTTGTAAGCAGTTGAACATAAGAGTTCTAAATAAAATCAGTTGTTCATGTATTTTAGAAGGATCATTTTAATCATCAACAATTTTATTGCAATGGAAATTCAGCTACAAAGTTGACCTGCCCACCAGCGTGCACTAGAAAGCAAAGAGCAAAGTATTCTCTGCAAGGTCAGATCTTATGATTCCAGTCCCATAAAATGAGACACATTTCTGGGTCCATGTTAGCTATAAGACATAGAAATCACAGCACAGAAACTACAAAATGCAGAAGTATGCTAACAAGAATGGGGAAAAATAGTGAGGTTCCATTTTAATGCTAAGGCAGGATGAAAAGCTGCTTAAGAAGGTAGGACATGAGCTACAATCAAACTCAGTGTTCTGCTTTTGACCACTGCCACTTAGAAGGTTGCTAAGTACCCATACCGTTTCCTGTTGAATAATTCTTTGAAGGTGTCTTCTCATGATGACGGATCCAAGAAACCTCTCAAGTGGAGAACAAAGGTAACTACCTGCCAGGCCAGGAACGAGGCCTGGTGTTGGAGAGGGCAGTAGTAAAATGTTCAAGGCACTGTGAGTGAGGATGGTAGGTATGGATGCTGCCCAAGAGCGCTGAGGTAGTTTACGAGGTGGAGGCATGTTTGTTGGCATTGTTTGGGAACCTTTGGGGAAGAAAAACGTACGGTTTCAATACATACTATCTCATTGTTTACTCTTTTGTTTTCATCCTAAATCACTGCTATTCTAAATCAGTCTATACTGTATTAATTACAACAATACATGAATTCCTTATTAGCAAGAACAGCCATAATTACTCTCTTTTCTGTAGCCAGGCCCTTTTGCAATGTAACTCTGCAGGAATTCCTTCAAGGCATGAGGCCCATTTCCCTATCTGGAATCTGGCTGGCCTGATTTGCTTCTGGTCAAATGGGGAAGTGACACTGGGCTACTTGCAATAGGCTTCTAACTCCTGGGAACCTGGTCCAGCCACCATGTGAACAAGGTCATATTCAACCATGAGACCACAAACAGCAGGAAGCCATGCCAGTGGAGGCTACCTAGGCCAGCCAGTCCCTGGTCAACCTAGTAACAAACTAGACATATTCATGCGCTCAAGTAGGGTCTACCAAACTGCAGAACTGTGAGCCAATGTTTGATTCTTGTTTTACACACTGAACATGCAAAAAAAACCTAACAAATACATTCAAACAGTTCTTCTCTGGTGTTAATTTGCATAACTTTGTCAGTTAATTAAGGTATTTCTTATTAATGTGACAGCTAAAAGTCATAAGCAGGGCTCATGCCTATAATCCTAACTATTCAGGAGGCTAAGAGTTGAGGATCAAGGTTCAAAGCCAGCCTGGCAGGATAGTCCATGAGATTATTATCTCCAATTAACTACCAAAAAGCTAGAAGTGGAGCTGGGGCTCAAGTGGTAAGAGCAAAAAAGCTCAAGGATGGCATGTCCTAAAATCAAGCCCCAGGACCAGCACACACACACACCAAGTTATGACAGCAAGACTGGGACTCCATAAGACTTCTGGAGGAAATGACACATTTCTTCTTGTCCATTCCACTTTGCAAATTAGTTATTGTGTAGTGACTTGACAAATGGATAAAAGTTTGTTTTTAGAAAACCCTATTTAAGAAATGTTAAAATTTTCAAATATGAGAATAGAATGAAATAGGCCACTTCTTGGTGATACTAGAAAAGAACATAAAAATGTTGATGACTGCCAGGCACCAGAGGCCCATGCCTATAATCTCAGCTACTCAGGAGCCTGGGATTTGAGGATCGCAGTTCAAAGCCAGCCCAGGCAAAAAAGTCTGTGCAACTTTTACCTCCAAAAAATCACCAAAAAAGCCAGAAGTAGAGCGGTGGCTCAAGTGGTAGAGCGCTAACCTTGATGACAAAAGCTCAGGGACAGCACCCAGGCCCCAAATTCAAGCTCCAGGACCAGCATCTCCCTTCCCCGCCCCTGCAAATGTTGATGATACTCACTTGTTCCAGCTCGAGGAGAGTGAGAAGCATCTGTAACTGGAGAATGTAGTGATGGGTTGGCTGGTGACATTCCAGGTAAACGGGTAGCTGGTGAGGGGCCAGACACTTGAGGAGATCCTGGCCAGTTCCCTGCTCGACTACTTGGTGACACCATAGTATATGGGGAACTAGGGTCAAGAGTTCCTGAGAAAAGTAAACAACAGTCCTCAAAAATCTGCATTTTAATAAGCAAAAATTATTTGGTAGCATTCAAATCCTTAAATGATGATTAATATTTTTCTTTCAAGAAGATATTTCACTTAAGATTGATGTCTCAACATTATTATCTTAATATATAAACTTAAAAATATTTTTATTAAAAACAAATTAATTTTATATAATATGTAAATATATAAACGACATCAATTTTTATTTTGTGTCATTGATGTACTTTGTAACTAGATACAAGAAGTAGGAAAATAAAAGGACTAACAAAGGATAAAATCTAGACAAGCTTCCACATATCTAATATGTAACAATTTATGCTATCATCCATCTGAGAATATTTAATAATCTCAAAGCTCCTTTTAGGGGTAGAGGTAGAAATATTATTTATTTAGTTAGTTATTTTTGCCAATCCTGGGCTTGAACTCAAGGCCCCGGTGCTGTCCCTGAGCTTCTTTTGCTCAAGGCGAGTGCTCTACCACTTGAGCCACACAGCGCCACTTCCAGCTTTTTTGAGTAGTTTTTGGAGATAGGAGTCTCATGGAATTTTCTGCCTGGGCTGGCTTCAAACCACGGTCCTCAGATCTCAGCCTCCTGAGTAGTTAGAACTACAGGTGTGAGCCACCAGTGTCCAGTGAACTATTATATTACAACTACTTCTGATAAGTTATGCTTCATTCTACTGAGAGACATGTGAGAAGAGGAAAGAGTTTATTTTCTTTATTTAATAAAAGTTATATTGACTAAAAAAATGGAAGCAAGAATTAAGTTGTAAAGCAGCAACTTCATTAACAAGTTGATATTTAAATTTCATCCTGCCAATATTTTTTTTTCCCTTGGTCAGTCATGGGTCTTGGTCTTGAACTCTGGGCCTGGGCACTGTCCCTGAGCTCTTCAGCTCAAGGCTAGTGCTCTACCACTTGAGCCATAACACCACTTCCAGTTTTCTAGTGGTTAATTGAGATAAGAGTCTCACAGATGTTCCTGCCAGGGCTGGCTTTGAACTGCAATCCTCAGATCTCGGCCTCCGAGTAGCTAGGATTACAGGCTTGAGCCACCAGCACCCGGCCTGCAAATACCTTTTGACATATTATGTATAGCCCTTTGTCACCGAATTACAGTGAGGGAATATTTCTACTATATATATCAGAAAGTAAATGGTCCTTACTTATAAAAATAAGTCAAACAAATTAATAAGAAAAGGGCACCACAAGAAAGTAGACAAAGTATACAAACTGTCAGACACCAAATAAGAATTACTAAAATCAATGAACATTTAAATAGAGTCAACTTCACTACTAATCAAAAAAACACATTAAACAATATGATACCATTTTCATCTATTAAGATAGACAAGATTTTTTTGAAGTTATAACACCCCAACATAAGCAATGATGAAGGATACCAGACATTTCCCTGTGCTGCTATAAGAAATTGGTACAGATTTTCAGGTGAGCAATTTGCAATATGTTTTAAAAGCTTCAGAATTTCTTAAACCCCATTGAGACTATAATTCTACTTTTAGCGACTTATCTAATGATCATGGATATGAGCGCAGATGGCACAATTTTTATTTTTTATCTTTTCTTGTTGGCTGTGGAGCTTCAAACTCAGGGCCTAGGCGCTGTCCCTGAGCCTCTTTGTGCTCAAAGCTAGAGCTCTACCACTTGAGCCACAGCACCACTTCTAGTTTAGGGATAAGAATCTCACGGGAACTTTTCTGCCCAGGCTGATTTTGAACTGCGATCCTCAGCTCTCATTCTCCTGAGTAGCTAGGATTACAGGTGTGAACCACCGGTGCCCGGCTGGCACAATAACTGTAAAGCAAAGGTAACATTTTAAATGTATAATACAGGACAAGTGTTAAATTATGGTATGCCCATACAAGGCAATACTAGAAATCCATGTACTGTGATGATGTACAGTTTTTAAATGACAAATATTCCCACAAATATTAATAAAAATTAAATCATAGATATAAACAGTTGAGGAAACCATATTCTGCTGTAACATTATTCATAATATATTAAGTGAACTCTGTGTACAGTACAGTGCTATGTGTATGGGGGGGTACATACATTTGCTCTGCAAGAGTAATATCATGTATTACTAATGTAATACCACATGCCTCTGGAAAGAGGAATTAGGTGAATAGGAAAAGGAACACAATTTACTGACTGCCACCTTTATTCTTTTATCTATCTGAATGTATTTAAAACAGAACATTTGAGTAAAAAATTTCAAGTTGCAAAATAATTCATGTGGTAAGGTGGACCCATCCTGGAGGATGTTATCTTAGGGTACAGACAAGCCAAGGCGTAGAGAGGCAGTAGAGCAAGGGAGTTGTGAGAGAGCGGGCAAGCAGAGAGCAAAGGGAAGTGTGAGGATGACAGGAAAGGGATATAATAGAGGGAGAGAGAGTTAAAGTAGACAGACCATCTGGTCATTAACCTGTGTGGTACGATTAGGAGAAAATAATTTTCTTTCTATTCGAGATTTTTTTTCTTTCACTATTTCTCAATAAACAAGTGATAATTTTCATAACAATCTAATACATTTATTGAACAAAAATTACTTTCATGTCAAGCTCTTCAGCTATAGCAACTTCCATGTATGGACTCACCATGTGGACTAGCAAAACTGGCCCCTGGTCCTATTGAGATTCCATGCGAGGATGGGGGAGGAGTTGGAACAAATGACGCTGGTGATGGGGCTCTCAAAGCCCCACTGGGGGAGCTGGCAGCATGCAGATTTCCTAATAAAGGAAAATAATTATAGATGATCTTGCAGGACACTTATTATGTCCTGCCCAAGGACCCCAAGTTAAAAATCTCACTAGAGACTACAGAAATCGGTAGTAAAGCTCCCATAAACTGCACAATGGAAAACTTTCATTAGTGAAAAAGACAGCATTCAACTCCATGGGCCCAATTCTATCTCGCACATTGACCAATAGGGAAAAAAAAAAATATCTGGGTGCTGGTGGCTCAAGCCTAGCTATTCAGGAGGTTGAGATCTTAAGATCATGGTTCAGAACCAGCCCAGGCTGGAAAATCCAGTGAAACTTTTATCTCCAATTAACCACCAAAAAAACATAGTAGTGCTGTGCTCAAAGTGGCAAAACACTAGCCTTGAGCGAAAGAGCTCAGGGACAGCGCCAAGGCTCTGAGTTCAAGCCCCACAACCGACAAAACAAAAAATCCAGTTTATTTTTGTATTCTTATTCACTCATTCAACAAGTAGGCATGATTACCCGTTTCTAAACATTGAGGATGAAGCAATTAACAAAAGAAAATTCCTGTACTCATGGAGCTTATATTTTCATAAAGTAAGAAAAGGCTATGCAAGCCAGGCAGAAAAAAAAAGTTCTGGCTGGCCACAGCTGAAGGTATCTAGGGGATACAATATTCCAGGCAAACCAGAGAAACCAGTCAGAAGTAACTACAACTATTCAAGTGAGAGAGGACCAGTGGCTTGGACAAGGGAGACTGAAGGCTGAGGTAGTACAAGCTAGATAGATTCTGGGTAAAAAGGTATAGCTGACAGTGTCTGATAAATGACTGGATGTAGGTAACAAAGAAAATGGAGTCTAGCATAACTCTAACAGCCATGAAGCCAGGTAGCAGGAAGGAAGGGACTCCAATTACTGGAGTGTCTGTGGGAGCAGCAGGACTGAGAGGGGGGTTACAGAGCTTAATATCAATCATGCCAAGTTTCAGAGAGCTACTAGACACGTAGAAATGCTGAATGGATAGGTAGAAAATATAGGCCTAGCATTTTAAGGCAAGCTCTAGAATAGATTTTTTTAAAAAAATAGAAGACATTAACTTAATGATGTCACTCAAAGCCATTGGTCTAGTTCTAAGATTATGAAAGAGGAAACTCTTGACTACAATATCTATGAATGAATGCAACATTAAAGCACTTGCTACATTTCCATTACTATCTTCAATAATAGTGGGTTATATGTTTTACACTAGTTTGTAGGATAATTTCCTATTTTTGTGTTCTGTAATAACCTGATTAATATCTTACACCAGTAAGTATGTTGATCAACTTTTAACCTTTAAGTGTTATATGTACTTATTTAGCTGTATGGCTCGACAAGTGACTTAGCTTTTTATGCCTCAATTTTTCTCCATAAAATGGGGCTAATAGCAGAACCTACACCACAAGTTTGCTGTGAGGATTTAAATGAGTGAAGTATGGAGAATAAGGCTTGGTGTATTCATAGCAAGCACTATATATCTGTCTGCTACTATAATCATTTCAAAATTGTTGTTCTCCCTTCTTCAATGTAACAACAATCTCAATTCACATCAGAGAATCACTCTCTTGGAGTTCCATTTCTCTGAGTGTCCTCCTATTCCCCAGCTGGTCCTAGTAGCTGAACTGGCCCAGTTATGTGGACTTACACATGCTTTAGCATCTTGTGAACCACAGGCCTTAAAAACAGCCAATTGCATGTCTTAACTTAGAAATCTCTGACGACTGTTAAGCACTGGTGGCTCATGCCTATAATCTTAGCTACTCAGGAAATTTGACATCTGAGGATCATGGTTTGAAACCAGGCTCTTATCTCCAATTAACCACTAAAAAGCTGAAAGTAGAGCTGTGGCTCAGGTGGTAGAGTGCTAGCCTTGAGCAAAAATGCTCAGGGACCCTCCCAGGCCCTGAGTTCAGGCCAGGACTGGCACAAAACAAAAAAGAAATTTCTAAGGACTATACAATCAAAAAGGTGAAGAGAACACCCTCCTTAGCTGTGCTTGCATCCCATAGTGAGGCCAATAAAGCCCCACTGGGACACTATTAAAATCCAACAATGGCTCACCTCCACAATAAAAGCTGAAATCTCTAACCGGCCCTTAAATCTCTAACAGGACCAGGTCTACTATCCTCTGGGATCACTGGCGCCACATACCCCATGTGCTCTGTCTGGAATACCTTCTTTATCTGTGCCTTCTTTATACCTAGTCATCTATCTATGACCTGTCCTTCAAGTCTGGGCTTAACCAGTGTCAGAGACAACAGGAAAGGCAAAACATCTCCACCAAAGAAATGGTCAAGCCCTACCAAATAGGCTTTCAAATCTCTGGATGATCTCTTTATAACATTCATCACTCCTGGCATTATAGATGAAAGCTCTTTCACAATCTAAATGGAGAAACCATATTCTATCTCCAAACAATAAGAATTGAAAGATTTTTTTTTTTTTTTGGGTCCGGTCGTGGGGCCTGAACTCTGGGCCTGGGCGCTGTCCCTCAGCTCTTCAGCTCAAGGCTAGCGCTCTACCACTTGAGCCACAGCACCACTTCCGGCTTTTTTCTTTTTGCTTATATGGTGCTGAGAAATCGAACCCAGGGCCTCAGGCATGCAAGGCAAGCGCTCTACCACTGAGCCACCTTCCCAGCCCCAAGAATTGAAAGATTTTTTAAATGAGGATATTTCTTTCTTTTTCGAAAACTCTGCTACTATATAGTAAGAGCAATCTGAATGACTGAGAGCCATGCCCTGGGGGTGGGATCTACAGAGCATCTGAAGCCTGACTAATGCTGGAAACCCATCTGGGCAACAAGGCTGGTCAAAGACGCATGTGCCATGGGACATATGCCAGGTCCCCAGACTAAACACTTAATGTGATTTATTTCATTGAATTCTCCTATCTCTAAGCAAAGGATTTTATATTATTCTCATTTTACAAACAAAATAAGTAGCTGACAAGTGATATCCCTAACACTTCTCATCTGTAGACTACTAGGTTCTGCTGACTCATATAAATCTCTCTTTCTTTCACACACGGACACTTATACATACAATCTAAAAGGATTTTTTTGTATTTTACAAAATAAAAAAGTACATACTTCAAATTTTGCTTTACAATGTGAAAACATAAATGAGTTTGTTGGGTTCGTTACTAAAAAAATAATCAGGGTTTGGGCTGGGTAAATATAGTTCAGTGAAAGAAGATTTGCCTAGCACAGCTCAAGTTCCCAGGTTTCTTTCCCAGAACTGTACAAAAAGAAGAAAAAGGTTATTATGCATGTTTTTTCCTAATAAGCTAGAATATCCTCCAATGATGATAATACATTCTTCAGTTGCTGAACTGATAAATTTTTTCTTGTGATGGTCCTACGACTTGAATTTAGGGCCTGGTGGCTGTACTTGAGCTTTTCCTTGCTTAAGACTAGTGCTTTACCATGTGAGCCACAGCTCTACTTCTAGATTTTGGTGGTTAATTGGAGATAAGAGTCTCACGGACTTTCTTGATGAGCTGGCTTTGAACTGTGATCTTCAAATCTCAGCATCCTGAGTAGATAGGATTATTTATATTAGGATATATTAGTTATACAAGGGGGAGGAGTTGTAACATGAACACACATGTATACAATGTATACTGATGAACCCACATTCCATATGTAGCCATATGCTAGAAAGAGAATTCTCTCTGAAGCAGGAGGCTGCATAGTGCTTCGTAATGAGCGTGTGAGCCATAGTGTGAGGGAGTGTGCACTGAAGATGAAAGCTGAATAGGACAAGAGAATAAGTAAAACATTACCTGGAGACTGTGTGTGCATCATAGAGGGAGACTGATTGACTGTGCTATGATAAGACGTAGGAGGGGAAGTAAGAGGATAAGCGCCTGATGTTCCTGGTTGCTTTGGAAATGGCTGAGAAAAAAAAAAGATAATTAAATGTTGGTAAATAGACAGCCACAGTGAGTGTATGGTTTTCCCTGGTTATAGCTACAATATTAATTTGCATACTTCATTGGTCACCAAATAGGAAATGTGAAACATGAAAAAATTCAAAAGCACATACTAAGTGCTTGAAAATTCTGATTCTCAAAAATGTTCTTTAAGCTGGGCACCGATGGCTCACACCTGTAATCCTAGCTACTCAGGAGGCTGAGATCTGAAGATCACAGTTCAAAGAGAGCTCATCAAGAAAGTCCGTGAGACTCTTATCTCCAATTAACCACCAGAAAACCAGAAGTGGCACTGTAGGTCAAGTGGTAGAGTGCTAGACCTTACACTGAAGACCTGAGGGACAGCGCCCAGACCCAGAGTTCAAGCCTCACCACTGGCAAAAAATAAAAAAAGTTTTTAGACACTAAGAACATCCTCATTCCTTACTTTGCAACATCATTGCTTCTATGCCTCAGGGTATACTTTGCTCATTTTATCTAACATCTCAGGAATTATCTGTATTGTTTAGCTACCATCTCACTGATTCTAAGGCATTTACTCACACACTTTCACATCTCTGAAACCAGTGAATCTTTCGATTCCTGGCATGTTAATTTAAATAACTTGAATCGTTTTGTTTTGCCAGTGCTGAGGCTTAACCTCAGCGCCTGGGTACAGTCCCTGAGCCTCTTTGTACTGAAGGCTTATGCTCTACCACTTGAGCCACAGTGCCACTTTTGGCTCTTTCTTGTTGGAGATAAGAGTCTCCTGGACTTTCCTGCCCAGGCTGGCTTTCAAATCTTGATCCTCAAATCTCAGCCTCCTGAGTAGCTAGGATTACAGGCATGGTATACCCAGCTATTGTTTGGTTTTTGGAGCAGGATATAAAACAAAAGTGGTGCATCTTACACTTGGTAGACTATAAAACCATTTGACCTATGTTCATTCACTTTGATCTTTACCTCTAGTACCTTTTTTTTTTTGTCGGTTGTGGGGCTTGAACTCTGGGCTTGGGTGCTGTCCCTGTGCTCTTCAGCTTAAGGCAAGCACTCTACCACTTGAGCCACAGCACTAGTGCCGGTTTTCTAGTGGTTTATTGGAGATAAGAGTCTCACAGACTTTCCTGCCCCAGCTGGCTTTGATCTCAGCCTCCTGAGTAGCTAGGATTACAGGCGTGAGCCACCAGAGCCCGGCACCTCTAGTACTTTTTAATCTGCATGAGCCACCAGTGCTTGGCTGGACATCTTCTTTTATGAAATGTTTTAAATCTTTTGTCCCTCATCTGTTTGAGACAAGATCTTCTCTATTTATCCCAAGCCAGCCCTGAACTTGTAACCCTTCTGTCTTAGCGTCCAGAGTGCTGGGATTACAGGTGTGCCCCATCATATTTGGCTTCTTTTGCCCCTCTTAAAACCAAAGTTGTAGCTGGGGAATGGTGGGCTCACACCTGTAATCCTAGCTACTCGGAAGGCTGAGATCTGAAGATCAAATTTGAAACTAGCCTAGGAAAATCTGTGAGGCTCTTATCTCCTTAATTGGAGATCAAAAAAGCCAGAAGTGGAGCTGTGGCTCAAGTGGTAGAGCGCTAGTCTTGGGCAAATAAAGCTCAGGGACAGTGCCCAGGCCCTCAGTTCAAGTCCCAAGACCAACACACACACACACACACACACACACACACACACTCTATCAAAATTGTCTATCTTGTTTCTTATTCTTCTTAAGCCATTTTAGATTTCATTCTAAATCACAAATTACAAAACCATGCATTTTACTTTGTTTTATCCAAAAATGTAAATTTTTTAAATATTTAAAGCTGTGGTACCAAAACTACGATATTCTTAAGACTCTGTATATTCTTCCTTTTCCATAGGTTACCAGACAGCAGTGGCTCCTGCGTGTAATCCTAGCTACTCAGGAGGTAGAGATTTGAAAACCAATGTTTGAAGCCAGCTCCAGCAGAAAAGTCTGACTTTTATCTCTCTACTAACCAGCAAAAAGCCAGACGTAGAGGTGTGGGTCAAGCGTCAGCTCTGAGTGAAAAAGCTAAGAAAGGGCACCCAGGCCCTGAGTTCAATAATGCCGACACAAAAAATAACAACAAAACTGTGCATTCTATATAAAATACTTAGTAAGGAAATTTTTTTTTTTGGTCCGGTCGTGGGGCCTGAACTCTGGGCCTGGGCGCTGTCCCTTAGCTCTTCAGCTCAAGGCTAGTGCTCTACCATTTGAGCCACAGCACCACTTCCAGCTTTTTTTGTTTTTGCTTATCATGCAAGGCAAGCGCTCTACCACTGAGCCACTTTCCCAGCCCTTAGTAAGGAAATTTTACCAAGGACTTCTTCAGATCCTGTAGATGTTTCCATCCTTGGAATTACATTACTTTAAGCACCAATGTGATGTGTCTGAGGTTAATGTTTTTCCCCCAAACTATCACTTCCCATCATGTCCCATCCTCCTCATATCCCTGTCAATATTTTTTCTTAAGGATTTCCTGGGCATCTTGGGCTCATGATGGACCTGACACCTATACAATCTGTGAAGTTATAAAAATCAACCAACCCTGATAAGAAATGTACTCATTATCTTGCCCATGCAATTGTAACCCCTCTGTACAGTATTTTCACAATAAAAAAAAAAAACACTAAAAAAAAAAAATCAACCAACCCTGTTTGGAATTTTATTGAGACATTACCTGTTGCTGGGGTGGTGGCTGGAGTTGTGATATTAAGGAGTCCATCATATCTCCTCCTATAGGAGAAGGAGGATTATCATCCTCATTCACAGACCTTCTTCGAGCATCCTGATTGCTGTCAACAAACATATTCAGGAATGTCTACGGATATAAACAGGCAAAATTTAGATTACCTAATTTTAGTAGGATATTTCAGTAATTTAGAATGTTTTAGTAGAAATGAAGTTTACATCCACTGGTGAAAATTAGTAGGACAATCTAAAAGAGATATTACTAATTTTGAAGAAAGGGGTAAGACTGAGCAAAGTGATTAGCAAAACTGAATATCAAAACAACTTTTGGCTTTATAATTATGACTATTAATCATAATTGGCTGTCAATCACAGCCATGGAGATGGCCATAAAATATATATTTACTAATGATTTAATCTTAAACCATCAAGAGTAAGACAATCTGTTTTATAGGATGTGTCATCAAAAAAATTGAGCAAGGCTATTAAGAGTTTGTCTCAAGCATAATTTCCTACTTTTATACACCCACTTTCCCATTCTTCAAAAATATGTAATCACAAGCTTCTCAGAAGCATTAAAGGGTTATTAAAAACATATAGTCTGACTTTTAAAGATAATGGATTTACAACACATATTTTATCTTCTCTCAATATCTTACTAAAACTACTAGGAAAAAATAGTAAGTCATAAAGACCAAAAAAAAAAAAAAGAAGAGAAAAAGTAGCTATACATTCTGAAAGCTGTGAAGCTGTGAAGCAGATGGTTGAACCACACTAGATGCGAGAGTCATACCCTAAGCAAGACATAGGGAAAGCCAAGAAACAAGGCTATTTCTATCCAAATCCCCAAGACATTTTGGAACTGGCAGAACCAGATACCTCTGGAAATGAGGGTGGAGGTGGGACTAAAAACTGAATACTGGGTGAAAGTCTCTTTCTCTCTCTCTTTTTAAAATCTCTCTAAAAGACAGTTAAACTCTCCTAGATTCTCAGTTGCTTTCACCTGAGCTCAGCTGACTCCGACCCCTTGAAGGAAGAGCTGGCTTGGGTGGGGGGGAGACTCCAAGATATAATGGAGAGAAAATGGAAGATTAAAGTCTATGTAGTTCAAGTTGAGAATATTGACCTCCTCTCATTTGACTTCCCTCAAATTGGAAGTCAGTTGCATACTATTTATTTAGGATTCTTGGATCTTCTTCTCTTGGTACTCACAGCAGACCAAGAATTAAAGACCTAAAGCTACTGACATTGAAAGTATGGCCCAAGCAGATCCTCCTGCAATAAAAACCATAGTCAATACATCTGTAAGGTATGTAACTCTTAGCTTTACATAAGAGAAGACATCAAAGAATTGCTTGATATTTGAAGAAAGACACTAACATGAAAGAAATCAATGCACCCCACAATGAACAAGAATGGAGATTATGTAGGAAGAAAAGAGGTAAGAGATGTTAATGTAGCCATATAAGAACATGATGTCATAAAATGAACATTTATAGATACAAAAAAAGAGTTTTTGAAAATTAAAAAAAAATCCTGGGAGGAAAAATAAAGAAGGGGGGAGGATAAGGAGAAAGAGGGGGAAAAAGAAGAGGAGAAGGAGGGAAGAAGAAACCTTCCAGAAGAAATGAGACAAAAACAAAACATAGAAAAAAAGGTGAGCAAATGTAGCCATGGTGCTCACTAGACACTGTTGAAAATGAACTATACAACTTTATGGATAGGATGGGAGGGAAAAACTGGAAGAGAGTGAGTGAGGGAAGGGGTGATACTGTCAAAAAAGGAAATGTCCAATTAACTACCAGAAGAACATAAGTGGCAGTATGGCTCAACATGGTAGAGTGCCAGCTTTGAGCAAAAGAGCTCAGGGAGTTGCCCAGGCCCTGAGTTCAAACCATAGAACCAAAAACAACTACAACAAACAGAAAAGATAAAGCCAGATGTCAGTGGCTTACATGTCCAATCCTAGCTACTCAGAAGGCTGAGATCTAAGGATCATGGTTCAAATCCAGCCCAGGCAGGAAAGTCAATGAGACTCTTATTTATCTCCAATTAACCACCAGAAAACCAGAAGTGGTGCTGTGGCTCAAAGTAGTAGAGTGCTAGCTTTGAGCAGAAAGGCTCAGGGACAGCACCCAGGCACTGAGTTCAAGCCTCATGACCAACAACAACAACAAAAGAGAAAAAAATAAAGAAGTACAAATGGCCAAAAAATACATAAAGAAATGATTAATATCTCTGACATGTCAGAAATATAAATCAAAATGACATTGAGATTTCATCTCACCCCAGTCAAAATGGCCATCATCTAGAATACTGGCAAGGATATGGGGGAAAAAAGGAACTCTAACATACTGTTGGGACAGCAAAATAGTTAATCTACTATGGAAATCAATACGGAGTTTCCTCAAAAAACTAAACATATGATCCAATGAACCACTCTTGGCCAAGGGAATCTAAGTTAGGCTACAACAGAGATATTTGCACATTCAAGTTGTAGCACTATTCATAATAGCCAAGCTATGAAACAGTCCAGATGATCCACAACTGATGAGTGAATCCAGAAAAGGTGGAGTCTGTGCATGTGTGTATACCACAGAGTATTGTTCAATCATAAAGAATTAAATTGTTACTTCCAGGGAAATGGATGAACAGAACATCATGTTAAGGGGAAGTCAGGTTCAGAAGAACAAAAGTCAAATGTTTTCCCTCATACGCAGATGTTAGACATAAAATATAGAGCGACAGATATATAAAATTGTGGGACCATTTGAGGAGACTGGGGGTGGGGAAGGGGAGTGAAGGGGGTAAATTCATTGCCTCTGAAAAGGAAACTTGGTGGAAACTATTAAATAAGAGGATAGTAGAGATGAGGACAGTGCGAGTAAACAAGGGGATCAATCTGATTAAAATATTGTGTCATGTACATGTCAAATACCATGGTGAAATCTCTTTGAGAAATTAGCATACATTTAAAGAAAAGAACAGAAATGTAGAACAGGTCCGGTTTGAGACAAGGCAACTAGTGGAAAGGGAGAAGGCTAATGGGAAGAGAGGAGAGTGAATATGGTAAAAATATTTTATGTACATGTGTGAAAATGAAACAATTAAGCTTGTTGAGATTGATCTGGGAAGAGAGAGGGATAAGAGAGACTGACAGATGGGTAGTGAGACTGATCATTGTACTATGTTCATATATGGACATGTCAAAATGAATCCCCCCTACACACACACACTGTAAAACTAATTGATGTCAACAAAAAAATGTAAAAGAGGTATGGATGGGATAGGAAAAGAGGGAGAGAATGATGGAAGGAGTATACTCATAATCTGACTTGTTTAAAAACCTCTTTGTATAACTACTTCAAGATAATAGCTAGGAGTGGAGCTGTAGCTCAAGTAGCACAGCATTAGCCTTTAGCAAAAAGGCTCAGGGACAGTACCCAGGCCCTGAATTCAAATCCCAGGACCAATGGCTGTGTGTGCATGCACACACACACACACAGACACACACACACAAAGCTAAAAGTTGCCAGGCCCCGCTTGCTCATACCTACAATCCTAGCTACTCAAGCAGCAAAGTCTGTGAGACTCTTATGTCCAATTAACCACCAAAAAGCTGAAAGTGGAGCTGTGGTCAAGTGGTAGAGCACAAGCCTTGAGCAAAAAAGCTCAGGGACAGTGCTCAAGTCCTCAGAACACCAAGCCCAGCCCAAAACAACCTAGCTAAAACCAAAGAGGACTGAAGGTATGGCTCAAGAGGTACAGTGCTTGCCTAACAAACACAAGGCCCTGAATTGAAACAGATAAGAAACCAATATTTTTCAATGTATTGAAAGGAGAGTTACATAATGAATTTTTTTGGCCAGTCCTGGGCTTGTCCTGGGCACTGTCCCTGTGCTTCTTTTGCTCAAGGCTAGCACTCTACTACTTGAGCCACAGTGCCACTTCCGGTTTTTCTGTGTATGTGGTGCTGAGGAATCTAACCCAGGGCTTCATGCATGTGAGGCAAGCACTCTACCACTAAGCCACATTCCCAGCCCCACATAATGGATTTTTTAAGATGAAATTAGTAGTAAGTACAGTGAAAAGCTAAACCCTCTCCACAAACAAAGAGCCAATTAATAATTTCAGGAAATAAGAATTACAATTCCAGGAAAATAAATGGTGAACAAGAAAGGAAAAGCAATCATAGTAAGCTTGGTGAAATAATGTTTACACGTTTATAATGTTAACACCAAAATGATTCATCTAACCATATTACAAAGACAGGAAGAAAGAAGAACATGCTGACCTCATAGGAACAGGCTAGAAGGGAGAAAGAGTATATAAAGAAGAATTTAAAAAATTAAATCCCTCCATTTTCACAGTGAGTTCACATTTTGCTTAATGTCTTAAGCAAAAGGTCAACAAATAACACTAAGCATGCTCTTTCGTGATATGGATATAAACATCAAGAGAATCAACCATAGAAGAACTGAAACTCGGTGTCTCTGAGGGGCGGAAAATGGCAGGAGTGGGTTGCAGTTTTTATTTTTTCAAAACAAGTCTTTTAGAACTATCTAACTCTACACTGGAGACACAAATAACTGAGCCATAACATAAGAAGTTGTAGGGGCTGGGAAGGTGGCTCAGTGGTAGAGCGCTTGCCTTGCATGCCTGAGGCCCTGGGTTCAATTCCTCAGCACCACATAGCAAAAAGAAAAAAGCCGGAAGTGCGCTGTGGCTCAAGTGGTAGAGCGCTAGCCTTGAGCTGAAGAGCTGAGGGACAGCGCCCAGGCCCAGAGTTCAGGCCTCACGACCGGACCCAAAAAAAAAAAAAAAAAAAAAGAAGTTGTAGTTATAATACAGGTCATCACATTTTTAGAAAGCATCATAGTTGAACTGATAAACATTTTAAATAATTAATGTTAAACACTACACTTAAAGTTTTAAAAAGCAAATACGATGTTCTTTAGTATATTCTATCTTATTCATCACAGGGTAAGGAAATAAAGGACTTACTATAATCTGGTTCACACAGGCACAGCACTTCATCAGAACTTCTAGCTCCTTCAGAATTAAGTTGTAGAGATGAGTTATTAACTCATTATCTGATTAATTGCTACTTACTCAATTTCAAACAAGACTTGTGTTGTTTTGGCCCATTTCTCCCTCAGAGGAATTGTTTGAGAGATCATGGTTATGTTTACTGTGTCATGCTATATAGTAAAGTCTGTTACCTTCAATCCTGGTGCAGGATAAAAACCTTCCACTAACTTGCTGTTATCAAAAAGACTATAGGCACCATCCCGTATAGCCACAACGCCTCGACTCCGGCAGTATATGTCAATGCAGTACATGTTCCTGAAGGCCAGCCTGATGTGCGTGGATGATTGTGGCAGAATAGAGAAGCACTGGTAAGCGGTGTTGGTTCTCTGGGTTAAGCCCAACATCGGCACAGTGGGGAGTTTGTTGATGGCATTTAATGGCGCCTGAGTATCAAACAGTACCTATAAAGAACAAGCACGATGAAGGTAGCCAGTTTCTACACAAATGCCAATTCCTCAGAATTTTCAATGTATAAATTTCACAAATGAAATAATTATCATTCTGGAACATTCTCTAAAACATTCCCTTGTGGAAAATGCAAAGAAGATCGCTGAGGTCTAATAAAATTATCAACGCAACATTCAAGATATAAAAGACAAAGGCATCTACTTACCTTGTCATTAAAGAAAGGTGTTTACATGATTTTTTTGAACTTTGCATGGGGTACAACTACCAATAAGGTCTTAGTTTTAGATGGAAAATAAAGTTCATTACCTGTAATAACTGAACCACATTTGGTGTCTTGTTGAACATTTCTTGAAGTTGATGGAGAATGGTATTGTGACAGTTACTGCAACCTGAGTTAGGACCAACTGTTCCCAAAGAAATGTGAAATTTCTGATGGATAGAATTCCACTGGATACTAATCTAAATTGAACAGATTGTACATCTTAGAAACCAAGAAAGTAACATTCAAGCAGAAGAAAAAACTGTTAAAAGGCAAAATGTAGAAGATTAATGAGGTCTTTTTTTTCTTTTTGGCTGGTCCTGGAGCTTGAACTCAGGACCTGAGCACTGTTCTGAGCTTCTTTGCTCAAGGCTTGTGCTCTACCACTTGAGCCACAGCTCCACTTTCAGCTTTTTGCTGTTTATGTGGTGCTGAAGTATCGAACCCGGGGCTTCATGCATGCTAGGCAAGCACTCTACCACTAAGCCACATTTTTAAATTTTCTCAATAAAGTAAAAGCCACATCTGGTTCCTCACAACTGTAATCCTAGCTACTCAGGAGGCTGAGATCTGAGGATCACAGTTGAAAGCAGTAAAGTCCATATAATTCTTATTTCCAATCAACAGCAAAAAAGTCAGAAGTGAAACTGTTGCTCAAGTGATAGAGAGCCAGTCTTTAGTGGAAAAAGCTAAGGGACAGCATCCAGATTCTGAGTTTAAGCACTTGTACTGACAGAAAAACAAACAAAACAAAAACATAAAACTGTGGATAGGGCTGGGAATGTGGCTTAGTGGTAGAATGCTTACCTAACATACATGAAGCCCTGGGTTTGCTTCCTCAGTACCATACAAACAGAAAATGTCAGAAGTGGTGCTGTAGCTCAAGTGGTAGAGTGCTAGTCTTGAGCAAAAGAAGCTCAGGGACAGCTCTCAGGCCCTGAGTTCAAGCCCCAGGATTGACAAAAAACAAAACAAAACAAAACAAAAACCTGTGGATAAACTCTTTAAAAACTGTAAACTCTAAAGTTTTCAATTTTAGAGAGTTGAGCATTATAATACTCAAGCATTTTAAATATGTTATTTTATCCCTAGGTTTCACTTGATCCCTTATTTTAAAGTAATTTTAATATTTTTTGAGCTCTTGATTTTTAAAACATTTATAGAAAAGGATCTTTTAAGTTTTAATTCATAGACCTACCGAGCTTCCCTTGGTGGTTCCATAACATAGAATAAGTTTTCGGTAATTATAAACACGAACTTCTGAGAAAATATTTAGGTGAGCAGGTATGTCTAAGAGAAAGAAAACAAAAAGATTACTGGTACAAAATCTGAGGACTGGAGGTATAGCTCAAGTGGTAGAGCTCCTCTTTAGCAAATGTGAAGCTCTGTTAAACCCAACTACTGCCAAAAAAAATTGGGATTAAAATATAAATTTAAAAAGGATGCCACTTTACCAAAACTATGTAAGCAGGGTGTCTAATAAATAATTTAGTTTATAAAACCACCATAGGCAGTATGCTCCCATTACTACAAAAGGGGCTAAATGGAAAGACTTGGAAAAAATTATATTAAGTGAAGTAAGCCAGGCCCAAAGAAACATAGGTCCCATGGTTTCCCTTATTTGCAATAACTAGTATATGTCTGAGTCAAGCAGAAAAGGTCAGATAAGTTGATGTTAGGGAAATGAACCCTAAGATATGTATTCAAATGTTTTTTTTCTTTCATGCGATTGTTTCTAACACATTTTTAAGATTATTTCTTTGTTGCTTTGTATGTCCTTCCCCTAGGGTATAACCCCTGCTTTCACTGTATTTGATGTTGGTATAATTTGTGGAGGGGAAGGGAAAAAACAAATTGTTTAAATAGGGATACAGGTGGACCCATTGCAACAATGAGATGTACAAGTCATTATGTTGAAAACAAACTTTACAACTTTGGTGGGGGCGAGGGGGGAGGAGGATTTGGTGGGGGGGGAGGATGGGAAGGGAGGGGAAAGGGAAACAAAGGAGGAGGCTACAATGCTTGATAAGAAATGTACTCATTATCTTGCCCATGTAATTGTAACCCCTCTGTACAGTATTTTCACAATTAAAAAAAGAGAGCTAGAACAAGGAAGCATATGGCTAGAGGATTTCAGTAACTTCTTAATGGTGTGACTTGTTTTCTTTTAAAAAATGAAGATTGTCTACTTCTAGCTGATTGTCAATTGAGTTTACATGAACAAAAGTTTATTATAGTTTATAGCATATAGTGAATAAGTACTACATTATTATAACAAACACATCAATGTATTATTCACAGGTATACTTGTGGAAACTTAACAGTGGTTGTCTTGGAGGGAGGGGAGAAAATTGACCTGAGATGAAAAAAAACACAATTTTCATTAGACATACTTTTTTGGGGGGGGTCCGGTCATGGGGCCTGAACTCAGAGCCTGGACGCTGTCCCTCAGCTCTTCAGCTCAAGGCTAGTGCTCTACCCCTTGAGCCACAGCGCCACTTCCGGCTTTTTTAAGTTTTTGCTTATGTGGTGCTGAGGAATCGAACCCAGGGCCTCATGCATGCAAGGCAAGCACTCTACCACTGAGTCACCTTCCCAGCCCCAGTATGTTTTACTTTTTCAGGTAAAAATGGGGCATTAGTGTTTTAATTTAGGAAAAAAAAAAGATTATACAAGCACAAGAAAGAATTCAATCCCCCTTAACACCAAGAGCAAACACAAAAAGAAAATTATTACATGTACCTGGTAAAGAACGTGCAAATTCCAACACGCACTCATATAATCGTGCAATGCTATTCCAGTCATTAAGGAACATTTCAACCACTTTTCTACCACCAACAGGTTCAGACAACAGATTTTCATATGTCAGGTAAACATGCCGGGATGGTCCTACAGGATTAAAAGAGATTATCAGTAATCAGTACTTTAAAAAATCCAGAATTATGCAAAGACTAAGTGTGTGAAAGATCTCACCTTGTTCCCTGGTAGAAGTGCCATTAAGTGGACAATTTGCAAACACTAACTCTGCCACCCATGTGCGGTTATTTCGACCCTGTAATCGGAAAGTGCAATCGAGAAGACAGCGGTCCAGAGCCTTTTGGGTTTCTTCATTTACACCCTTACAGGGAGGGATTCTGGTGATAAAAGAGTATATGAAGCAGATTATACACAGCATGACAAAGCACAATGTAAATAATATCAGTCAGGGCACAACAGAGCTTCACAGTCTGCTTCGAGATATCTTCTGCAAAGGAAGGAAGCAATTAACCACAGCAAGTTGCAATTTTGGGTTTTGTTTTGTTTTTTGTTTTTTGGCCAGTCATGGGGCTTGAACTCGGTCTGGGTGCTGTCTCTGAGCTCTTCAGCTCAGGGACACTACCACTTGAGCCACAGAGTAACTTCCAGTTTTCTGAGTAGTTTATTGGAGATAAGAGTCTCGTGGGGGCTGGGAAAGTGGCTCAGTGGTAGAGCACTTGCCTTGCATGCATGAGGCCCTGGGTTCGATTCTCCAGCACCACATAAGCAAAAAGAAAAAAAGCCGGAAGTGGCTTTGTGGCTCAAGTGGTAGAGCTCTAGCCTTGAGCTGAAGAGCTGAGGGAAAGTGCCCAGGCCTAGAGTTCAGGCCCCACGACCGCACCCCCCCCCTCAATAAAAAGGTGTCTCGTGGACTTTTGTGCCTGGGCTGGCTTTGAACCGCTATCCTCAGATCTCAGCCTCCTGAGTAGCTAGGATTCCAGGCATGTGCCACCAGTGGCCCAGCTTAAGTGGCAGTTTTTAAACCCATTTTCATTATCAACAACCTACATTAGAACTCTTGCTTTACCTAAGTGACATCTGTTGTTATCCATAATCTTATTCAAAAAGATCACAATTCTACATGATGAAAAATTAAGAATACTGATTCTACGAAATCTATCTAGAACACTTTCAAGAAAAAGCTAACAGGCTAGCTGGGCTCACACCTGTAATCTTACCTATTGAGGAGGCTGAGATCTGAGAATGATGGCTCAATGCCAGCCGGGGCAAAAAAGTGAGACTCTTCAAATAACTACCAAAACAAGCCAGAAGTGGAGCTGTAGGTCAAGTGGTAGGGTGCTAGCCTTGAGCAAAAATGCTCAGCAACAGTGCCCAGGCCTAGATTTCAAGCTCTAGGACTGGCATGCGCACACACACAACATGAGAAACAAAACACATGTAAAACTATTCTTCGAATACAGGACAATTTAGTATATAAAGAATAAGGGCTCTGGAGTCAGAGCCCTAAGTCTACTTCTTACTTAGTCACGTTTAACCTCTCTGAATTTCAGTTTCCCAGCATAAAGAATTATTTTATAAGGCACTGAGGAGAACAAGACAAAACAATAGAGAAAATACTTATTATTAATTATCCCAGGAAAACCAAATACCTCCCTAAATATTTTTCTTCTACAGCTTTATGGACTATTCATTTTCTCAACAACCATTATGACATTAAGATATATTAGCTGTTAGTGAGTTATTTCAACAGTGGATGAAATGATGGAGTAATATGTTAATTATGCATTATCCCTTAATTCAGAGGGTTGTAAATTCTCAGACTGGGTATAGTGATTATCTATAACAAGGCAAAGAAAACAAATATTTAATTGGAAATACGGGAATCTCTTATTCAAGATGTAACACCTAGAACAGGGTTTCTCAGTCTTGGCAAAACTATCATTTGGGGCTGGGGAATTCTTTGGTGTGGGAGCTGCCCTATGCCACCCTTCTCTCGACCTACTAGATGCCAATAGCATCTCCCACACCTCTTCCAGTTAATGACAATCAAAAATATGTCTACACATTGCCAAATATCCCTTGAAGGGTAAAATGGCCTGGGGATCAAGAACCACTAATCTAGAATAAACAATTTAAAAAAACAAGAGTTAGGTGTGCCAAAAACATTATGGGCAGCAAGATTTATGCAATCTAGATAGCATAAAAATAAAATTTAGTACCAAATCTTTCTCAATTGAAACTATCATATTGCCTGCCCCTTTTTAAAGTTTTTCAAAAGTTAGACACTGAAATCCTACTTGGAAGACTAAGGCAAGATGATCTTTTTTTTTTTTTTTTTTTCCGGTTGTGGGGCCTGAACTCTGGGCCTGGGCGCTGTCCCTCAGCTCTTCAGCTCAAGGCTAGCGCTCTACCACTTGAGCCACAGCGCCACTTCTGGCTTTTTTCTTTTTGCTTATGTGGTGCTGAGGAATCAAACCCAGGGCCTTGAGCATGCAAGGCAAGCGCTCTACCACTGAGCCACCTTCCCAGCCCAGGCAAGATGATCTTGCATTCAAAGGCAACATAGGCCACAAAGTAAGACTTCATCTTAAAAATTAATTTTTTACACTACATTCTTTTATCACTACCAGAAAAATACTGTCCGACTATATTTTCAGTTGTTATAGAAACTGTGTATGTTGTATGTTCATTCTTGAACTTGATAGGTAGATCATGGGTTTGTCTGCCTTACCCTTACATTTTATGAATCTTGTCAAAGAAGTTATAAAGCAGAGCCAATTTAAATAGACATCTCATCTTGAGTTTGAAAACATAAATGCAATATATTGTCTTCCTTCCATACTTAGGCTAATTTTATATGAAATCTGTTTGCTTAGAAGATGAATGCACAGAAGTTAACATGTTTTCAAGAGAGAAAAATTTATGCTGTAGGCATAGCAGGACCCTGAAAGTGCATTTTATGTCACGTTCTTAATTTGTGCTACAGATATAATTGGCTCCATTTTCCAGCACCTATAAACTATTTACTCAGTTTTTTCCCCTTTAGTACTGGGGATGGAATCAAGTGCTTTGTGCATGTTAGGCAAGCACCCTACCACTAATCTATAATCCCAGCCCTTTTTTCTTCTTCTCACTTTTAAGGCTACAAACATAATAGGAAATCTCCTCAGCATGATTGAATAAGGTGGGGATAATGACTAGGTCCTCCCAAAAGAAACCAAGCTTCTACAAAATATATTAGCCAGAGAAAGAACTGAGGAAAATGTATTTTCAAAAATGGATTCATCTTATCTGGAAATTTCTATCAATTAAAATTTTTATTTATTTTTTTTGGGGGGGTGGGTCAGTCGTGGGGCTTGAACTCTGGGCCTGAGCACTGTCCCTCAGCTCTTCAGCTCAAAGCTAGCACTCTACCACTTGAGCCACAGCGCCACTTCCAGTTTTCTGGTGGTTTATTGGAGATAAGTGTTTCACAGACTTTCCTGCCCGGGCTGGCTTTGAACCGCAATTCAGATCTCAGCCTCCTGAGTAGCTAGGATTATAGGCGTGAGCCACTGGTGCCCAGCAAATTTTTATTTTTAAATAGTTATTTTTAAATAGCTGCTCGGATTTTCCTCCATAACTTCAGAGAGAACAAACTGAGGGACAAGGCTACAGTCTTTTAAGGCAGATGAGTCAGTTGTTTGGAGGAGCCTTACAAACATCAGAAAGTACATGATGGCCTGGTAGTGCAAAAGCAGAGAGGTCACTGCAAGTGCTAGTAAAAGAAGTATAAGTGTGCCTAAAGGCACAGAGAGGAATGGGCTTTATAAAGGTTATAGACACACACACATACACACACAAGGATTAGCAGAGTTCTGTGACTTGCAAAAAAAGATCTGTGCTTGTATGTTAGTGGTATAAGTTACAGGAAGTAAAGAAACAATAAAGACAAAAACAAAACAATAAACAATGAAGGGTGGCCAGAGTATAGGGACAATGCCTGGAACTGTAATGTGAGTTTACAAGATGAAAAGACTATAGCTGGGCGCTGGTGGCTCACGCCTGTAATCCTAGCTACTCAGGAGGCTGAGATCTGAGGATAGCGGTTCAAAGCCAGCCCGGGCAGGAGAGACCGTGAGACTCCTATCTCCAATAAACCACCAGAAAACCGGAAGTGGCACTGTAGCTCAAGTGGTAGAGCGCTCGCCTTGAGCTGAAGAGCTGAAGGACAGCACCCAGGCCCAGAGTTCAAGCCCCACGGCCGACCAAAAAAAAAAGATGGAAAGACTGCCCAAGAGCTCAAAACTAGTCAACACAAGCATGTGGTTCTCAGGGTAGTAGACCATAGCAATTAGAATTTACCAAGATACATCTGATACATTGATTTAAGAGATGCATGATATGAGGTCTGCTCAGCTGATATTTGGAAAAGTTCAATAAGAACACATATTTTCACCAAGAAAGGAGCAAAATGTGTAAAAGAATAACTTAGACTCCTAGTTAATATTAACATACTTAGAACTAAAAGTTTAACAGGAGAGTTTCTCAAGGTTAAATGCATTAGAACAATTGGGTACTAGTTATATCTGTACAGGATTTTTATTTTAAAAAATCAGATATTTATCATTTATACTTTCTTTCTTCACTTGCATACCACCTGACCATGATAATGGGCATTTGCTAGACAAACATATCTTTAATTTATCCATTTCTTTTTTTTTTTTTGCCGGTCATGGGGCCTGAACTCTGGGTCTGGGCACTGTCCCTCAGCTCTTCAGCTCAAGGCTAGTGCTCTACCACTGGAGCCACAGTGCCACTTCTGGCTTTTTCTGTTTATGTGGTGCTGAGGAATCGAACCCAGGGCCTCATGCTTGCAAGGCATGCACTCTACCGCTGAGCCACCTTCCCAGCCCTAATTTATCCATTTCTGTATTTTTCCTTTAAATGCTAAATAAAGAAACAAAAGCTAAAATTAAAGACTTTTTTTAAAAATTACGGTGTAGGACTGGAGACATGGTTTAAATGGTAGAATTTGTCTAGAAAGCATGAGAAGCTATTATGAAATGAACTTAAAAATATGAAGTGCTGGCTAAAAAGAATAGAACACAAGTGTTAACATCTTCTTATCTGTGGTTGCCAAGAATACTTATTGTTGTTGTTTTTGTCAGTTGTGGAGCCTGAACTCTGGGCCTGGGCACTGTCCCTCAGCTCTTCAGCTCAAGGCTAGTGCTCTACCACTTGAGCCACAGCACCACTTCTGGTTTTCTGGTGGGTTACTGGAGATAACTTTCCTACCCAGGTTGGCTTTGAACTATGATCCTCAGATCTCAGCCTCCTGAGTAGCTAGGATTACAGGCGTGAGCCACCTGCTTGGCTGCACTTTTTTTTTGGTAGTTAATTGGTGATAAAAGTTCACAAACTTTCCTGCCCAGCCTGGCTTTGAATTGTGATCCTCATATCTCAAACTCCTAAGTATATAGTATTACAGGTGTAAGCCAACACCACGAGGCTAACAATCATCCTTAACTACTTGTAGAACCCACTTTAGACTAAGCTACTAACAAATCTGTCATGAACCAGTTCAGCAACTGGTTTTGCTACTTTGGTCTTGTTATCCTCCAATTTATTCTCTATACTGCAATCAGGTTGAACTTTCAGAAGCATCTAATGATGTCAGTGTCTGTTTAAAATAATCTATGGTTTTTTCATTGTGGTTTTTATTTATTTTATTTTTAAATTTAGATGAAATCTACACTACCTAGGCTGTTCTACTTGTGGGCTCACGTGACCCTCTGGCTTTGGCCTTCTAGTAAGCTTAGGCTACAAGCACATGCTACAGCACCTAGCTTGTAAGTGCTTCTTAGTGTTATTAACACTAAGTCTAAATTGTTGGAAGACACTTAGAAAAACCCTGCAGGATCTAATCCATCCTGCTTACATCGATAGTCCTTCCCTTTAACCTCCAGTTACGATAAACTCCTTTTAGATCCATCTAAGACACTACACTTTTGCATTAACAGCTACTCACTGGCTAGGACACTGAACTAACCCCACTTCCCTTCCCTCTGGCTAATTCTTACTTTCAGCCTGACTACAACTGGTACTTCCTCAGGGATACCCTTCCTGACTTCTCAAGTAGCCCACATCCCTCTGCTATGTGAACCCAAAGCACTCTGAAGGGCTTTATGAGTATTCAAGTCCAACACCCAGTTGTATTCAGAAAATACCTGTTGAATGAATGAGAAGCAGAGGAAAGACATCCTAAAAAACAGTGGTGCCAGACTGCCACTCTTTAAGTTTAGGGGACTGGACCCATTTCCACCTGGGACATTGGTAATTCTGTGCAGAAATCTGTAACATTCATAGGTTTTGGTTTTTCGCTGTTGTATGGAAAGAGAGGAACAACTCTGGGAGTATAACAGTAATCTGTGATATCAAGTGAGACACGTGAAAAGGGCTTACTTTAATAAGCGAATTGCATGGCTGAAGCCATCACCTTCTACTTGCACCCCTTGATGTGGAATCTCCAGATTGGATAACTAGAAAGAGAAAAGCACAGTAATACCAGACCATTAAGTTTACAGAAAAAATTACTTTTTCTATGTACTACTGTCTTGATTTTCATGACATCTATTCTAGAACCAGTAATTTCCCAAAGTTACAACATTATCAGTTATGAACATTATCTTTGCCATTAAGATTTTCTAGGAAGCTACTGAGTCAACTGAAACTCAAAGCATCCCAGATATTTATGAGATTCACCTAATTTTATCAGTGAGCAAAAAGCAATCCAGAATCAATTCTAGTGGCTTCCAAAGAGGTACCTGAAAAAATAAGGTGTATTCTTGTATAATTCTATTGTTGCCTCAAAACAAGGTTTGACTCATAGTCATATCTCTTTATTTATCATAAACAGTATTTTTAAAGTTTGTAACTGCTGAAATACATTTTTTGGGGGGGTCCGGTTGTGGGGCCTGAACTCTGGGCCTGGGCACTGTCCCTCAGCTCTTCAGCTCACGGCTAGTGCTCTACCACTTTAGCCACAGCGCCACTTCCGGCTTTTTCCTTTTTGCTTATGTGGTGCTGAGGAATCGAACCCAGGGCCTCAGGCATGCAAGGCAAGTGCTCTACCACTGAGCCACCTTCCCAGCCCCTGAAATACATTTTTGTATTTAATGAGTTATTTCTTGTATGAGGCAAATGATTATCCAGTGAGAACGTCTTCCAATTGGAGGACTCAGAAAGTGAGTTAAGAAGAAAGTAGAGTAATACTTGAAATACTTCCCATGAAACTACAAGTTATTGAAGAATGGCAGAAAGTCTTCTGATCTTTTGAAGATATTCTTGTCTTTGGCAGGTCTTCTATTACAGGTATCTATACATACCTTCTTCCAAAAAGGAAACTCTAATTATTTGAATGAGTCCTTCTCTGTGGCCTGGGGAGGGCAGAGGTTTAGAAAACTAGCTGCTAACCAAGTAGGGAGTAGGGGTTCAAATTCAAAAGGAAGTAAAGGCTGGGATGGTTGAAAACATGCTGCCACTGTATTATTTACCATAGCTAAGAGATGGAACCAACCCAGATGCCCCTCATTAGATGAATGGATCAAGAAAATGTGGTGCGCATATGTGTGTGTGTGTGTGTGTGCGCTACACACACACATATACACACACAATGGAATTCTATGTCTCCATCAGAAAGAATGACACCACCCTATTTGTTAGGAAATGGAAAGACTTGAAAAAAAATATATTAAGTGAAGTTAGCCAGACCCAAAGAAACATAGGTCCCATGATTTCCCTTATTTGCAATAACTAGTATATGTCTAGGACAAGCAGAAAAGGTCAAAAGCTATGTACATATGACCAGATAAGATGATGCTAAGTGAAATGAACCCCAAGATAAGGACACAAGTGGTTTTATCTTTCTTGCTATTGTTTTTAATGTATTTATAAGGTACTATGTGATTTTTTTGTTTCTTTTGTGTGTTCTTCTCCCATGGTATAACCCTTGTTTTCACTATATTTGATTCCGGTGCCCTGTATCTTGTATATAGAATTTTCTAATTTGGGGAGGGGAAGGGAAATAATAAAATGCTGAAACAAGGATACAGATTGACCCATTGTAACAATGAGATGTACACGACACTATGTTGAAAATGAACTTTACAACTTTGGGGTGGTGGGGAGAGAGGAGTTGGGGAGGTGGGGAGGGAAGGGATGGTAGGGGAAAAACAAAGGTGGAGGTAACAATGCTCAATAAGAAATGTACTCATTACCTTACTCATGTAACTGTAACCCCTGTGTACAGTATTTTTACAATAAAAATATGTATTTTTTAAAATGCTACCACTATTCTATCAGAGAGATAAACATCTATGGTACAGTTGGGTCTGGTTATTCACATCAGTATAAATTATTTTAAGCAGAGAATTTACTTCCTTTCATTCTTAACTTGGATACAAGTTTCTGCCAGATTCGAATATGTAGGTAAGGTGTTTTTTGGTCTGTAGTGGGACTTGAACTCAGGGCCTGGGTACTGTCCCTGAGCTCTTTTGCACAAGGCTAGTGCTCTACCACTTTGAGTCACAGTGTCATTGCTGGTTTTCTGGTGATTAAAGACAACAGTCTCATGAACTTTCCTGCCCAAGCTGGATTTGAATTGTGATCTTCAGTTTTCCACCTCCTGAGCAGCTAGGATTACAGGCATGAGCCACCAGTGACCAACTTGTAGGTAAGTCTTTAAGAGCTTGACTGAGTTCAAATACTGGAAAATGTTCTCACATGTCATAAGCATGCAACAGTGTGGGAATACAGAGAAGATATTTCGACAGTTGAAATAGACATAATTATATATCACTGTCTCAACACCATGTATCATTCTTCTCCACTGTAAAAGAAGTAACTGAATGACACTCAAGACAATTAATGCAAATGACAAGATGAAAGAATCCAAAAACACAGTAAGTAGAAAGAAAACACAGATACTCCCTGTTCAGTTTAGGAGCTTTAGCACTGACCTCACTCAGAGTTCTAGAAATGGGTATATCAAGGACATGAGCATCTATTTTAGCTGTCTATTATTTCTGGGCTTGGGTTTCTCTCTATTACTATTCTTCACAATTTCATACCTTATCTTCTGCCTACATATTCCACAAAATTCTAAAGGACAGGTCAGTAAACTACACATGATTCGCAGGCTGAATCTGGCCCACTTCCTGCTTTATTTTGTAAAATAAAGTTTTACTGGGACACACCAATGCTTATTTGTTTAAAGGCAACTCTGGCTGGTTTGCACTACTTGAGTAGTTGTAACAGAGACCATACAAACCACAAACTCTGAAATGTTTACTATCTGACCCTTTACAGTAAAGGCTTGCCAACTCATAAGCCATCTTCATCAGCCCAACTGAGAAAGTTCACCTTCCCACTTTCACTTCCCTCCTTTATTTATAACTTACCACGATCTGAGGATCGCGGTTCAAAGCCAGCCTGGGCAGGAAAGTCCATGAAACTCTTATCTCCAATAACCACTAGAAGACCAGAAGTGCACTGTGACTCAATGTGGTAGAGCACTTACTTGCCTTGCGTGAAAAAAAGCTCAGAGACAGCACCCAGGCCTTGAGTTCCAACCCCACAACTGACAAAAAAAAAAAAATACCCATGGAACTAGAGGGAAATAATTTAGTTTCAATATATCAGTATTGAAAGGTTATCAATCTTTGGCCAACTTTTGGAAATATAAAAATTACAGGCCATTACCTTCCTTTTCCTCTATGTTTGAGGACCATGCTGGACCATTATTCTTGAAAGTCACTGATTCTGCATTAGACTATTGCTTCTTCCATATGACAAAAGTAAATTTTTTATTTACTTTCTGACTGACTTCTCAGAGAGGAGTCCAGTTTTATTATGCATGGCTTCACCAACTCAAAAGAACTACCCCTTTATGAATTAACCATCTCAGTTAGGCTTAAACAATATTCCTACTAGGGCTGGGAAGGTGGCTCAGTGGTAGAGTGCTTGCCTTGCATGCATGAGGCCCTGGGTTTGATTCCTCAGCACCACAGAAGCAGAAAAAGCCACAAGTAGCGTTGTGGCTCAAGTAGTAGAGCACTAGCCTTGAGCTGAAGAGCTGAGGGACAGTGCCCAGACCCAGAGTTCAAGCTCCATGACCAAAAAAGAAAACAAACAAACAAAAAAAAACCAATATTCATACTAGAAGATTTAAAAAATGTTAATTCTTAAAAGTTGTTCATTTTTACTTCAGAAGAATTTAACTTCCCTTTATACATATAGAAGGCCAGAAGCTAGAACAAGAGGTGAAGTAATTTAAGTCATGTTTTACATATATACCATTAGATGCTATTATTACAGCCCACCCTTCCCCAAATGAATAGGTTCTCCTAGTTGAACCTGTATAGCTTGAGCAACACATGCTAAAATGACTCTTATTTACAGTAGCCAGAAGTGTTCTAAAAGTTACCTCTAACCGAAGTCCTACAAATGGCATGTTTGTGTCACACATAGCGACAAAGTGAGCTAGAACTTTATTGAAGGCACACATTTCTCCTGATCGTTTGGTCTTCTTGGATTCCACTGGGCATGAATCATCAGACAACTACAAAACAAGTAAAAAAAAAAACACAAGTAGGTAAAAAAAAGTGTGATATAAATCATTAAGAGTGTTTAACTACTGTAATGAAGTTCAAGGTTAACCAAAACAAAGGTGGCCTTCTTGCCACAAATATTTATTGAGCAAAGAACTAACTAAAACACTGGTAATTTAATTGTAAATACTGTGCATTTAACAAATTCTCTTGTGGAAAATAACATGTAATAATCAATTAAAATAGGAGGATTTAGCTGGGCGCTGGTGGCTCACGCCTGTAATCCTAGCTACTCAGGAGGCTGAGATCTGAGGATCGCGGTTCAAAGCCAGCCCGGGCAGGAGAGACCGTGAGACTCCTATCTCCAATAAACCACCACAAAACCGGAAGTGGCGCTGTAGCTCAAGTGGTAGAGCGCTCGCCTTGAGCTGAAGAGCTGAGGGACAGCGCCCAGGCCCAGAGTTCAAGCCCCACGACCGACAAAAAAAAAAAAAAAAATAGGAGGATTTACCAGGTATGGCAGTATACACCTGCAATCTCAGCATTTAGGGGGCTGAGGTAAGAAGATCTCGAGTTCAAAGCCAGGCTGGGCTACACAGCAAAACCCTGTCTCAAAAATCCAAGGGCTGGAGAGTTCTCAAGATGGCGACGGGGCAGTAGGGAAACGCCACAGCTCTCTCCAACCAAAAAGAGAGTTCGAGTTCCAACCTTTAATCTCCCCAAGAGACCGACAACAACAAAAAGACGAACACTCAGAGAAAAACCAGAGGTGGAAAATAACAAAAAAAGAAAGAGAGGAAAAGAAGAATTTCAGAACAGAGAAGAGCGAAGACCCCTCCCCCAACCTTTACTGGCCGCGCGGCAGTGCGCCAAGCCGCCGGCCAGCCGGCCCGGCGGGGGCTGCCGGAGCCACAGAGACACAGGGGGCTGCTTGCAGATCACCAGGTACCGGATTGCAGAACAGCGGATCGCCAGGAACAGAGAAACCTACCAGCCGGGAGTCTCCAGGAGGATCCCACCCCACCCATCACTCTCCACCGGAGCGGAGAGGCTCCATCCCGCCAAAGCCGCCCGGCACCAGCAGCGCCACAAAGGGACCTGTCGCGATCGCAACGACCCGGCGGGGGGCCGCCCAACCCAGCCCGCAACCACCCCAACTGAACTCGGACTGCAACAACAACTGACGGACTGCAACAACAACTGACGACCTACAGGGTGAGTACCCATCAGGGGACAGGGAATCCATCAAGGGAGACCAGAGCTGGAGGGAATCCCCAGACCCTGACCTAGACTCCCTACCCCAACACCCGGACCACAGGACCCACTAAAACTGGGAACTGTTCGAGAGCCCCACCAGCCGGTGGAGCACACTCTGCTGGCCAGGCCAGAGCAAGAGCGCCCCGGGAAGGGAGCTTAAATGCTCAAGCCAGGAACAGTGCCCCTGGGTCAAGACTACCAACAGTAGAAGAAATTTGAACTGTGTCCTCCAGGCTGCATAACCAAGGTGGTATACACATTAGCACAGGCCTAACGAGCGCGCTCCAGGCTGGGGCCGGAACCAGGCCAGGGGACCGGCGCCTGAACAAAGCAAAAAGGGTCAGAAGTGGGGCTGTGGCTCAAATGGTAGGGTGCCAGCCCTGAGCTGAAGAGCTGAGGGACAGCACCCAAACCTAGAGTTCAAGCCCACAACCAGCCCAAAACAAACAAAAACACATCAGGAGCCCATAGCAGACTCCAGTATTTGGGAGAGTGCATCCAGAGCATCTGATCTTCCCAAGAGCACCCGCAGGAGCAAACACAAGCAGTCTAGGCTGCTCAACCCTTCCAAAGGCGGGAATTGCTACAGCAGAGAGCTGAGAATCCTAAGTGAATAGCAGCTGGAAATAGGCTCCCAACAGAATCCAGATCAGACACAGACTCTCTCTACCAATAGAGAATCAGCAACCAAGCAAAGACAGACACACCAAAACAAGATTGAAGAGCAGTCTCCTGAACCCCCATGCGAAAATCACAGAGAAAAATCACAAGGTTTACCACTACCCAGGACAGCAAGCTCACCTCAAAAGCCAGCAGCCACGCAGGGGAGAGCCCCAGTGGGAGCAAAGCAGGAATGGAAGACAAAAACTACATCCAAGGGTTGCTGGAGGCAATGACTCAAGAAATAAAGCGAGAAATGGATCAGAAATTGAAAGAGCACAAGGATGAACTATCAAAAGATATACAGGATATCAAACAAAAATTGGATGCAAAAATAGAAGCTGCACAAACCTCAGTAAGAAGTGAGATAAACGCCAAATTAGAGGTAATGCATACTGATATCACCTCATTGAGAGGTGAGATCAGTACTCTGAGAACCAACATTGAATCCATAAAGGGATCCATTTCCATCATGCAAACCACAATAGAAGCCACGGTCAACAGAGTGAATGAAATGGAAGGTAGAGTGTCAGATACAGAAGACAGAATACACCAACTGGACCAAAAAGTGACAGATATGGAAAAATCACTCAAATTAAACCAAAGGGAAATTCAAGAGCAAGCAGATAATGCTAAAAAATTTAACCTTCGCATAATCGGAGTGGACGAAGGTGAGGAATTCCAGAGCAAGGGAATGCAACACCTATTTAACAAGATAGTCAATGAAAATTTTCCCCACCTCAAAAACGACCATCTTAACTACATCACAAAAGCTTATCGAACACCCAACAAGCAAGATCCCAGGAGAAACACTTCTAGGCACATAATAGTAACAATGATGGATCTGAATAATAAGGAAACAATCCTGCATGCAGCAAAAATGAAGAAGGAGCTATACTACAACGGGAAAAAAATTAGAATCACTGCAGATCTCTCCACACAAACAATGAATGCAAGAAAAGCCTGGGAAAGCACCATACGAGCCCTGAGAGCCAATAACTGCCAACCCAGACTGATATACCCGGCAAAGCTAGCATTCACATTCGATGGAGAACTGAAAACTTTTAATAGCAAAGAAAAACTAAATGAATACATAAACATTAAGCCAGCATTACAAAGAATTCTAAGAGGGGGGACACAACCTGAAGAAAGCAACCAGGAACTGGGACCTGCCCCAAACAGGCATTACTCAAAGTCTAACTGAGCAAGCACAGGAGGAAAGGAAAGAAGAAAAACTTAGGAAAACGGAATGGCAGGGACAACAATGCATCTCTCTATACTTTCTCTTAATATAAATGGGCTGAATTCGCCAATTAAAAGAAAACGAACTGAGGACTGGATCAGAAAACAAGACCCATCCATCTGTTGCCTTCAGGAGACCCACCTCTCAGCCAAACATACAAACAAACTCAGAGTGAAGGGGTGGAAAAGGATCTACCAATCAAATTCCCCCAATAAGAAAGCAGGTGTAGCTATCCTGATATCTGACAAAATAAACTTTTCATTAAAATCAGTACAGAAAGACAAGGACGGACATTACATATTAATAAAGGGAACAATCCAAGAGGAGGATATAACCATCATCAACTTATATGCCCCAAATATCGGTGCACCCAGATATGTTAAACAAATGCTCTCAAACTTACAGAATAAAATAGATCCCAATACGATAATACTAGGAGACTTTAACACGCCACTCTCACCAAAGGACAGGTCTACCAACCAGAGGATTGGCAAAGAAGCTACCGAATTAAGTGAGGCCATACTTCAAGCGGAATTAACTGACATCTACCGAGTATTTCACCCTAAAACAACACAGTACACATTCTTCTCAGCAGCTCATGGAACTTTCTCCAAAATAGACCATATCATAGTTCATTCAAGGAACTTAAGCAAATACAAAGGGATCGACATAATCCCCTGTATCCTATCTGACCACAGTGGAATCAAGCTAGCTCTCAATAACAAAGCATACCGCAGAAATTTCTCTAATACATGGAAATTGAACAGCACACTCCTTAACAAGGCCTGGGTAACAGAAGAGATCAGAGAAGAAATAAAGCAGTTCCTAGAACTCAATGAAAATGAAAACACCTCACAAAGAAACTTGTGGGACACAGCAAAAGCAGTCCTGAGGGGCAAATTTATTGCCCTCAGTGCCCACATCAAGAGAATGGAGACAGACCAAGTAAATAATCTCATGTTGCAACTAAAACAGCTAGAAAAACAAGAAAAAATGGGACCTAAAGCTACTAGACGAAGCCAGATAACCAAATTGAGAGCAGAGATTAACCAATTAGAAAATCAGAAAACCATAACCAAAATAAACCAAACAAAAAGCTGGTTCTTTGAAAAAATAAACAAAATTGATGGCCTGTTGGCAAGATTAATTAAAAAAAGAAGAGAGGAAACCCATATTAATAGGATTAGGGATGCCACGGGAAACATCACAACACGTACCCAAGATATCCAAACAATTCTAACAGACTACTTTCAAAAGCTATACTCTCTAAAGGAAGAAAATCTGGCGGAAATGGATGCATTTTTAGAGAAATACAAGTTACCCAAACTGAGCAAAGAAGAAGTTAACCAATTAAATAAGCCAATATCCTATAATGAGATACAGGAAGCTATCAAAAGTCTTCCAACAAAAAAAAGCCCAGGACCAGATGGATTCACAGCAGAATTCTATAAGACCTTTAAAGAAGAACTAATACCCATACTCCTCAAGCTCTTCAGAGAAACAGAGAAGGAGGGAGCTATCCCAAACTCATTCTACGAAGCCAATATCACACTCATCCCCAAACCAGGCAAAGACCCAACCAAAAAGGAGAATTACAGGCCAATCTCCTTGATGAACACAGATGCAAAGATCCTTAACAAGATTCTAGCTAACAGAATCCAGAAACACATAAAAAAAATAATACACTATGATCAGGTAGGCTTCATCCCAGAGACACAGGGATGGTTTAACATACGTAAGTCAATAAATGTAATCCAGCATATCAACAGAGCCAAGGTCAAGAATCACATGATTATCGCCACAGATGCAGAAAAGGCCTTTGATAAAATTCAACATTCATTCATGCTAAAAGCTCTGGAGAAAATAGGAATAGAAGGAACATTTCTAAAAACAATAAAAGCCATTTATGACAGACCAATAGCCAATATTATACTTAATGGGGAAAAGCTACAACCAATCCTCCTAAAAACAGGAACAAGGCAAGGATGTCCACTGTCTCCACTCCTCTTCAACATAGTCCTAGAACCCTTAGCCAGGGCAATAAGGCAAGAAAAAGACATTAAAGGGATCCGCATAGGGAAAGAAGAAGTGAAACTATCCCTTTTTGCAGACGACATGATACTATACCTCCACGATCCCAAAAACTCCATCCCCAAACTTTTAGAAATCATAAGTCACTTCGGCAAAATAGCAGGATACAAAATAAACCCACAAAAATCAGTTGCCTTCCTATACACTGATAACGCACAGGAAGAGAGGGAAATAAAGGGAGCAACCCCATTCACAATAACCTCCCAAAAAATAAAATATTTAGGAATTAACCTAACCAAAGATGTAAAAGAACTATTTAATGAGAACTATAAAAAGTTAAAGAAAGAAATTGCAGAAGACACTAGGAAATGGAAAGACCTCCCATGCTCCTGGATAGGCCGACTTAATATAGTAAAGATGGTGATACTTCCAAAATTAATATACAAATTCAATGCAATTCCTATTAAAATCCCAATGACGTACATCACTGAAATACAGAAAACAGTCCAAAAATTTATATGGAACAACAAAAGACCTAGAATAGCCAAAACAATTCTAGGGGATAAAGACAATATGGGAGGGCTATCCATGCCGAACTTCAAACTCTACTACAGAGCTATAATCACAAAGACAGCATGGTACTGGCACAAAAACAGACCCGAAGACCAATGGAACAGAATAGAAGATCCAGATATAAATCCACAGGCCTACAGCCAGCTGATATTCGACAAAGGAGCCAAAGACATACAATGGAAGAAACACAGCCTCTTCAACCGCTGGTGCTGGGAAAACTGGGCAGCCACATGCAGAAAACTAAAAGTGGACCCCAGCCTATCACCATGCACCAACATCAACTCAAAATGGATTAAAGACCTTAACATTAAACCTGAATCTCTGAAACTACTGCAGGACAGAGTAGGAGAGACACTTGAACTAATAGGCACAGGAAGGAACTTCCTGAACAGAGTCCCAGGGTCACAACAAGTTGGAGAGAGACTCGACAAATGGGACTACCTTAAAATAAAAAGCTTCTGCACAGCTAAATCTATCGCAACTAAGCTAGAAAGACAACCAACTAATTGGGAAAAAATATTTACCAGCAATATATCAGACAAGGGGTTAACATCCTGTATATACAGGGAACTCAAGAAACTAATCCCTCCCAAACCTAACAAACCAATTACTAAATGGGCAAGGGAACTAAAGAGGGACTTCTCAAATGAAGAAATAAAAATGGCAAAGAAACACATGAGGAAATGTTCATCATCCCTGGTGGTGAAGGAAATGCAAATAAAGACAACCCTGAGATACCACCTTACCCCAGTCAGAATGTCCCACATCCACAAATCAGCCAACGACAAATGCTGGAGGGGATGTGGAGAAAGAGGAACCCTATTACACTGCTGGTGGGAATGTACACTTATACAACCACTTTGGAAAGCAGTCTGGAGGGTCCTTAGAAAGCTAAAGATTGACCTCACTTACGACCCAGTCATACCACTTCTAGGCATCTACCCTGAACAACAGGAACCAATATACAAGGACACGTGCACCTCCATGTTTATTGCAGCACTGTTCGCAATAGCTAGGATATGGAAACAACCTAGGTGCCCCACCACAGATGAATGGATCCAAAAATTGTGGTATCTATACACAATGGAATATTATGCAGCCATTAGAAATGACAAAATAATGGCATTTGCAGGGAAATGGATGGAGCTAGAAGGAATCATGTTGAGCGAGGTAAGCCAAGAACGAAGAGACAAACGGTACATGGTCTCCCTCATAAGTGGATGCTAAATCCAAAAGGTTAGTGATACGACAAAACTAACAGGACTTAAGAAACAAAGAACTCCCGCTCATCTGGTTGAACCACTACTAAATATCCTCATGCTGCTGATCACAAATATGGTATATAACATGTGAACACTGTTATATATTACAGACTGTGGTAGACAATTTGCTCCAGGGAAGTTAGAATGAACTTGTGACTTTGAAATTATGTAATCATTTAATCACAATCAAAAAAAAAAAAAAAAAAAAAGAACCTCGGGGAAGGGAGGGAGGGAGGGGATGGTAGGGGGAAAACAATGGAGGGGGGTAACAATGTTCAAGAGGAAGTGTACTCATAACCTCACTCATGTAACTGTGACCCTCTGTATAGTAGCTTTACAATTAAAAAAAAAAAAAAAAAAAAAATTAAATTAAAATCCAAGGGCTGGATTCTAAATACTTGTACACAATGAAACCAAAAGAGGATATTCTTAAGAGGGAAACATGTAAGCACAATGCCTATGTGCTTCTTAATGTTAATGTAAAACATGTTAACATAAAATATCAGAATGAACTCCAAGATATGGAAACAAGAGACCTCTCTTTGGGGCTGGGAAGGTGGCTCAGTGGTAGAGCGTTTGCCTTGCATGCACGAGGCCCTGAGTTCAATTTCTTAGCACCACATAACCAGAAAAAAAAAACCAGAAGTGGCACTGTGGCTCAAGTGGTAGAGTGCTAGCCTTGAGCTGAAGAGCTGAGGGACAGCGCTCAGGCCCAGAGTTCAGGCCCATGACCGGACCCCCCCCCCCCAAAAAAAGAGAGACCTCTCTTTTTATTTTTTTATATTTTTAAATTTTGATAAGTCTTTCTTCTTTTCCTTATGTGTATTCAAATGTATATCTTCAGGAGGGTTAGAGGGAGGGTACAGAACTCGAGGGAAAAAGGGTGAAAAGTGCAGCAGTGGAGCTGACTGGACACTGGTAAAAGGAAATGTATTCATTACCTGACTCATACAATTGTAATCCCTCTGTACATCACCTCTATAATAACAATAAATTAGGGGGGAAAATCCAAGGGCTAAGAATGTAGCTCTGTGTAGCACTCGTCTAGCATAAGCAAGCCATTAGAAAAAGAAAAAGAAAAGCAAGCAAGCACTATTATCAAGAAAACGCAAAGCCAGGTGCTGGTGGCTCATGCCTGTAATCCTAGCTACTCAGGAGGCTGAGAGCTGAGGATTGCAGTTCAAAGCCAGCCCTGGCATGAAAGTCTGTGAGATTCTTATCTCCAATTAACCACCAGAAAACCAGAAGTGGTGCTGTGGTTGAAGTGGTAGAGTACTTGCCTTGAGCTAAAGCATTCAAGGACAGAGCCCAGGCCCAGAGTTCAAGCCCTACCACTGATCCCCCCCCAAAAAAAAGAAAGAAAAAAAGAAAAAGAAAAAGGCAGACAAGTATTATTTAAGCTTCATTGCTGCTTTATCTCTTTAAACCCCTATCTAAAGCTGAGTGCAGTGGCTCAAGCCTACAATCCTAGTTACTTGGGTGGTAAAAATTAGAGGATCACAATTTAAGGTGCAAAAAGACATTCACAAGACTCATTCAACCAATGACTGGGCACAGTAGTACATGCCTGTCGTCTCATCTATATAAGGGAAAACACAATGGCTGGGCATAGAGGTACATGTTTATCATCCTCAGCAACACAGAAAAGCATAAGCAGTGTTAGCCAGAACATAAAAAGAGATCCCACTTTGAAAATATTAAATAAGGAAAAATAAGTACTGGAAGTATAGCTCAAGTGACAGAATGCCTGTCTAGAAAGTGTAAGGCCTTGATTTTCATCTCTAGTACTTTTGGAGAACCAAAAACAAAACCCCAGCTCTTTCCCATACTAAAAACACAATAACTGTACTCATTCCTATAGGTGAACATACCTTGCGCTTGGTACCAGTTTTGGTTGGTTTCCCAGGTTTTGTACGCAAAACCAAGTCCTGGACATTTTCCTTGAACTGCTGCAGGAGCAGTGCCATAACAGGACCATCTTCACGATCTGCAGTATTCACAGACATGAAGTAGTACTTGTATGACAGCTGTGTAGGTTCATTTGGAACCTCTAGTAGCTCCACCACCTAAAAAGACCCAAATCAGAAAAGAATCTCAGAGAATTAAAAAGCACCAGATATTCTCCTTGTATTAAGTGGTACTTAGAATTATAAGTCTGGTGTACATCTTTAAAAAAAAAAAAAGAAAACTTCAACCCATTGCAACAATGAGATGTACAAGTCGTTATGTCAAAAAATGAACTTTACAACTTTGACAGGGGTTGGGGGGGCAGGGGAGGGGAGATGGGAAGCGATGGGAAGGGGAAACAAAGGAGGAGGAAACAATGCTTGATAAGAAATGTACTCATTATCTTGCTCATGTAATTATAACCCCTCTGTATGGTATTTTCACAATAAAAAAGAAAAGAAAAGAAAACTTCAATTATGCTATCAAAAAAGTGGGATTGGAAGTATGGCTTAAGCGTCAATTAATGAGCAAAAGTGTCAGATACTGAGTTCAAGTCCCAGTTTCACACAAAAGCAGCATTCTTGGGGCAGGGGGAGGGGTAGAATACATTCAGCTGTGGGTTTATGGGACGGTGCCCCAGGCTCTGACTGGGCCCAAGCATATAACTGAAATAAATGGTACTTGTACTTTTGGTGGGGGGGGAAAGGCTTCCTTATTTACCTCAAAATCAAGTTAAGTCCCCAGGTGACAAAAATTAATGACATTAGAAAAGGTTTCTAACTGACACAGTTTCCTGTTTATCATCCTACCTCCCTTTCTACTCTTCTCCATTCTTTCTTCAAGAAATTATCACACTGCTAGGGCTGGGAAGGTGGCTCAGTGGTAGAGCGCTTGCCTCGCATGCCTGAGGCCCTGGGTTCGATTCCTCAGCACCACATTAGCAAAAAGAAAAAAGCCGGAAGTGGTGCTGTGGTTCAAGAGGGAAGCAAGGAGTAGGATGCAGCATAAGTGGGAAACAGAACAACACACAACAAAGGGGCCCATCAGCTGCACTGAACATAGAAGAAAAAGACCTAAGCAACCCAAAGACAGCGATGGGAAGGGAGGAATGAGAGGCAAAGAGGGAACAGCTTACACTAAGCTAAAAGAAAGAAATGTAAACATCACCTGATATAGAAGAAATAATTGTATTGTCAAAGCTCATAGAACGCATAAACTTTTTTTTTTTTTTGCCGGTTGTGGGGCCTGAACTCTGGGCCTGGTTGCTGTCCCTCAGTTCTTCAGCTCAAGGATAGTGCTCTACCACTTGAGCCACAGCGCCACTTCCAGCTTTTTCTGCTTATGTGGTGCTGAGGAATCGAATCCAGGGTCTCATGCATGCAAGGCAAGCACTCTACCACTGAGCCACCTTCCCCGCCCCAGAATGCATAAACTTTATAGACCATAAAATGACAATTTGCCTTGTGAAGGTTAAAATGTGTTTGTGACTTTAACTGAGTATCACTATTTCACAATATTGTAAAATATGTGAAATTTATGTAATCACTTAATCTCAATTAAAAAGAAAAAAGAAAAGAAAAGTGAGAGAAGGGATGGGTTAGGAGAGATGGGTGACATGTTGTCAGACACCTTGTATTCATATACTGTTTTGTAGAATGGGAACTTCTTTGTACAACTACTTAAAGACAATAATAATAAAGTTAAAAAATGGGGTTGTAGGCATGATTTAAATGGTAGAGTGCCAGCTAAGCAATCATGATTCCTTGAGTTCAACACCACCACTCAAAAAGAAAAGGGAAATAGACATTTAGCCAATGAATGCATATCAACTCAGCTTTTGGGAGGCTAAGGCAGGAAGATCTCAAGTTGAAAGCCAATCTGGACTGCACAGAAAGTTGCAGGCAAGCCTAGGCTACACAATAAGACCTAGTTTCAAAAAAAAACAAACAAGATAACAGACAAAAAAAACCTTAAACAAGTAACAAATCAGGGTTGTGGATATAGTTCAGTATTTGTCCAGAATGCTCAAGGGCCTGGGTTCAAACCCCAGCATCATTCCCTAAAAAGATCTCAACATGGTCAATCATTACGACACTGTAAATTAGTAAAAACATGATTAACTACCACTATCAGAATGGCTTTCTAAAAATTACAACATAAATTACAGGCAAGAGGAACAACTTGAACAATCAAGATAGTGCTGATAGGAGTATACCCACTTTGAAATCCTGTTTTGACAATTACTTATAAAGTACAACATACAAAGTGGGCACCAATGGCTCACACATGTATTATTAGCTACTCAGGAGGCTGAGATCTGAAGAGCACAGTTCAAAGCCAGCCTGGGCAGTAGCGTTAATGTGACTCTTATCTCCAATTAACTACCAAAAAGCTGAAAGTGGAGCTGTGACTTAAGTAGTAGAGTGCCAATTTTGAACAACAACAACAACAAAAAAACAACTATGGAACAGCTCCCAGGTCCTGAGTTAAAGCCCTAGTACCTGCTACAAAAGAAAAAAAGAGAGAACAACACATATCATGTAACAACCCAACATTCCTCTCTCAAACTCATCCAAAGAATTGAAAATTTATGTTTATGTCCACACAAAAGTGCATGTAAATATTTCTGACAGCTTAATCACAAGTACCCCAAATGGAAACCACCTAGATGTCTTTCAGTTGGTGACTATCCTGGCTCATCTACACCATGGAATACTAAGTGCTGTAATAAAAGAACTATTATATCTACAACAGCATGGATAAACATCAGGGACATTGTAAGAGTCTCACAGATTTTTCTGCCCAGGCTGGCTTTGAGCCATGACCCTCAGATCTCAGAATCCTAAGTAGCTAGGATTACAGGAGTGAGCCACCAGCACCCAGACTGGGAGGCTGATTGTTATAAAGGATTAACAAGGGAAATTTGGGAGTGAGTTCTGGTGAGCCTGTGGCTCAGACCGGTAATCCTAGCTACTCCAAAAGTATTGCATTTCAGTCAGAAACTAGGCTTCACTATAGGAATAAAGATTTTAGGGTGATAGATGGAGGCTATCCTCTTTCCCTCATCCTTACCATCTGGCTTGACATTGCTATATGAAGGTCAAACATTCAATCACAAATTAAATCATTTAAGACACCAACAGAATCACTAAACTTATCCACCCCATCATCCCTTTGTATACTTACGATGTAATATTGTGGAAGACGGGTAAGTTTAATAAACAGCTTATTCTTAGAAAGTTTTCCAATAGGATGAGTTGAGTAATTGGAAAGCTGCAATGTTTCAGTGCTTATTGTGGGTAAATGTTTTATAGATTGTTTACAACGTTGTTTTCCAAGCCAAAACCTAAATTTAAAACAGATAATCCATATCATATAGTCATATATTTTGTTACTGATTTATAAACACAATCAAGGCCACTAAAATTCAATTAATTGTAATATAATGAACTAACAAATACACAAATGACTATATCAATGAATCATTTCTGCCCAGTTTTATATTGGATTCTTAGTTCTAGGTGACTTTAACAAGTTTAAAATGGGAGCAGTGGTGCATACCTGTAATGCCATCTAATAGGAAGGCAAAAATTTGGAGGATTATAGTTAGAGGATAGCCCTATCTCAACAAGTAAACTGAGTATGGTGATTGTTTTATAATCCCAGCCATGCAAGATTACACAGTAAGTGTAAGATCCTGAGTTCAAATCCCAGTCAAAAATAAAAAGTTTAATCTGTAATGTGAATGATTTTGATTATTTGTAAAACAAAATTAACTCTAAGACTGGTTTAGTTTATGACAGGGAATGGTATATTTCCTATCTTTCAAAGACAGTACAAATTAGTCTCACCATCCTTTATAAAATGCCTAAAGTGGCCAGGCTCTGGTGGTACATACCTATAATCCTAGCTACTTTTAGGAAGCTGAGATCACAGTTCAAAGCCAGCTTAGACAGGAAAAGTCTATAAAGTTCTTACCTCCAATTAACACCCCAAAAAGCTGACAGTAGGGGCTGGGAAGGTGGCTTAGTGGTAGAGCGCTTGCCTTGCATGCATGAGGCCCTGGGTTCGATTCCTCAGCACCACATAAGCAAAAAGAAAAAAGCCAGAAGTGGCACTGTGGCTCAAGTGGTAGAGCACTAGCCTTGAGCTGAAGAGCTGAGGGACAGTGCCCAGGCCCAGAGTTCAGGCCCCACAACCAGACCCCCCCCCCAAAAAAAAGCTGACAGTAGAGCTGTGGTTCAAGTGAAAGAGCACTAGCCTCTAACTGAAAAAGCTCAGGGTGTTAGCACCCAGGCCCCGAACTGAAGCCCAGATCCAGCCAAAAAAAAGAAAATAGAAAAGACACTCTCCAAATATTGCCAGTCATTGTGGTTCATATCTGTGATCCTAACTACTTAGGAAAGAGGCAGGGAGAGTCTTGATTTGAGGCGAGTCTGACCAAGGGTATGAGATGCCATCTGAACCAATAAAAGCTGGCCATAGTAGTAGCTGCCTGTTATCCTAGCTTCATGAGTAGCATAAATAGAAGCATCAAAGTTCAAGTTGGCCCCAGCATAAATGCCAGATCCTATTCAAAAAGTAACTGAAGTTAAAAACGGTTGGGGGCACGGTCCACATGGCAAAGCACCTATCTGCAAGTGCTAGGCACTAAGTTCAAACCCTGATACCACCAAAAAAGGAAAAAACAAAACCCAAAGCCTCTGGATACATGAGGTGGTCTTTTCAAAGTATATATGGAATAGCTATTTTGCACTGGAATTTTTGTTTTGTTAAGATTTTGTGGAATAATAAATAGTGCCAGGCACTGGTGGCTCATGCTTATAATCTTAGCTACTCAGAAGGCTGAGATCTGAGGATCATGGTTCAAAGCCAGCCCAGGCAGGAAAGTCCGTGAGACTCTTATCTCCAATTAACCACCAGAAAACTGGAAGTGAAGCTGTGGCTCAAAGTGGTAGAGTGCTAGCCTTGAACTGAAGAGCTCAGGGAAATTGGCCAGTCCCAGAATTAAAGCTCCATGACCGACAAAAAAAAATTAATGTAAATAATTTTTCTTTTAAAAAGTAATTTGGGGCTGGGAAGTTGGCTCTGTGGGAGAGTGCTTGCCTTGTGTGCATGAGGCCCTGGGTTTGATTCCTCAGCACCACATAAGCAGAAAAAGCCGGAAGTGGCGCTGTGGCTCAAGTGGTAAGGTGCTAGCCTTGAGCTGAAGAGCTGAGGGACAGCACCCAGGCCCAGAGTTCAAGCCCCATGACCGACAAAAAAAAAAGCAATTTTCTGGCCAGTGCTGGTGTCTCAATCTGTAATCCTACCTATTCAGGAGGCTGAGATCTGAGGACTGCAGTTTGAAGCCAGCCAAGACAAGAAAGTCTATGAGACGCTACTCTACATAAGCACAAAAAAAAAAACCCAAAAATGAATCTATGGCTCAAGTACTATCCTTGAGCAAAAAAGCTCAGGAAGAACATGCAGACCCTGAGTTCAAGCCCCAGAACTAGCACAAGAAAAAAAGTAATTTTCTATCTTAATTGCTATATATGCACTTTTAGTGAAACATAGTTTTTGTTATTTTTCCCTGTATTATTATGTTCATTCTGATTTATTGAAGTGTATGTAGTATTATGTGTGTTGATCAATAATAATGAAGTTAGGGTTTAAATTTGTATGCTTTTCCCTAGAATTCATTTTTTGCATAACATAAAATATCACATGAATAGAAGCTCATTATCACTAGTCAGTAAGGAAATGTAAATCAAAATCACAGTGAGCTGGGTGCTGGTGGCTCATGCCTATAATTCTAGCTACTCAGAAGGCTAAGATCTAAGGGTTGTGGTTCAAAAAGAGTTTCAGTCTGGACAGACAAATCCAAGAGACTTTTCTTCCCAATTAAGGAGCAAAAAGCCAGATGTTGATATGTGACTCAAGTAGAAGAGTGCTAGCCTTGAGTAGAAAAGTCAACTCAAGTCTTCACTTAAGACGGGAGGCTCTGAGTTCAAATCTTAGTACCAGCAAAATAAAATAAAATCACAATAAGATATTTCTTTATACTAATGTGTCAAGATTAAAGATATTGACAGGGTTAACAAGGAGAGAAAACCAGAAACTTTCATATATCAAATACTTGGCAGTTTCTTTTAAAAAAAAATCAAACGTAAATTTACTTCATGTTTCAGCAATTTTACTGCTAGGTATCACCTAAGAGGAATATGAGCATATAAATTCACATATAGACTTTCATGAAAGTATCCAGAGTATCATCCACAATAAGCTAAAAGTGAAAACAATTCAACTAATTAACCGATGCATACATAAAACGCTATATATCCATCAGTGGACTATTATTCAGCCACAATAATGAAGTATTTATACATGTTCCAACATGAATTTTGAAAATATGCTAAGTGGGAACTGGAGCCATGACTCAACTAACAAAGCACCAGCCATGAAAGCATGGATCTCCAATGCTAGCACAAGAAAAAAGAAAAAGGTATACGAAGCCAATCACAAAAAGGCTATATGCCTTATGTTTCCATTTACACAAAATGTCCAGAATAGCCAATTTTCAGAAAGACAATGAAGATTTGTAGAGCTGCCTGGGGCTGGGAATGGGGACTGACAATATATAGGCATCTCTTTGGTGTGGCAAAATCTTCTACAACTGGATTTTAGTAATTTGTAGTGATTATTGAAAAACTTTGTAAATTTACTATAAATTATATGTTTAAATACACAGATTGTACGATATGTAAATTATATATCAATAAGTTGTTTTTTTAAAAAAAGCGCTGGTCACTGCTGGCCCACACCTATAATCCTAGCTACTCAGGAGGCTGAGATCTGAGGATCGTGGTTCAAAGCCAGCCCAGGCAGAAAAGTCCATGAGATTCATCTCCAATTAACGACCAGAAAGCCAGAAGTGGTGCTGTTGCTCAAGTGGTAGAGTGCTCGCCTTGAGCTGAAGAGCTCAAGGACAGTACCTAGTCCAGAGTTCAAGCCCCACAACTAACTAAAAAAAAAAAAAAAAAGCAACATCCCATGAAATATTAATGATAAACTGGCATCTACCAGATATCCCTTGAGAGGCATTATTATAAGTAACACTAGGACTTTCTTTTCAAGTAAATTATATGGGTTAATGTAAGGATGTATATTTGATAATTAACTTAGCAAATTTATCAAGGCTTTCAGGACTTGGCTTTCTGGGTTTAGGTTGCATTTCTGTGAACTAAAACTAAAAGATAAAGACAAGACAATATGTTAGGCAAGAAGGGAATTATTAAACTTTATTCAGTTAAAATGTAAAAAACTGCTGAAGCATGAAAAAATTTAGAAATTATCATTCAGATTAAAGACTATGATTTATTTTATATACAGGTAAACCAAATAGCCACTCACCTCCCAAAAATTTCACATATTATACACTCACATTAAAATTTATGACTTTGTTAATGAAAATATTACCTACTTACATTGAACTTGAATCTTCAAATATTTATGAAACCAAAGTTTGCAAAAGAAGAAGAGGGGCTAGAAGAACACAAAAACTACAGATGCCACTGACAAGTCCTTTGAAGGGGGGCTGCTGGTTCTTGGACTTTAACACTTGGCCTTGAGCTCTCAATTGGCTTTTTCGATCAAGGCTGGTACACTACCACTACCACTTGAGCCATACCTCCATTTCTGGCTTTTGTGGGGTGGTTAATTGAGATAGCAGTCCCACAGACTTTCCTGCCTGGGCTGGCTTCAAATCACGACCCTCAGAGTTCAGTCTCCTGAGTAGCTAGTTGCCAGGCTGCTGGCTTTTCATTTTTATTTTTTGTCTTTCAGTCACTGACTCTTTCACATTTGCCAGTTTTGGTTTTAATCTCTCTCTCTCTCTCTCTCTCTCTCTCTCTCTCTCTCTCTCTCTCTCTCTCTCTGTCTCTGTCATGGGGCTTGAACTCTGGGCCTGGATGCTGTCCCTTAGCTCTTCAGCGCAAGGCTAGTGCTCTACCACTTGAGCCACAGTGCCATTTCCAGTTTTCTGGTGGTTTATTGGAGATAAGTGTCTCATGGACTTTCCTGCCTACGCTGGCTTTGAATCATGATCCTGATCTCAGCTTCCTGAGTATCTAGGATTACAGGCGTGAGCCACCGGCACCTAGCTTGATTTTAATCACTTAAATTATATTTTTATTCCTTGGATTTTTTTTCTATTTTTTTCTATTATGCCAATACTGGGGCTTGAACTCAGGACTTCACACTCTCACTCTGCTTTTTGCTCAGTTGGTACTCTACCACTTGACACACCTCTACCTCTTTTTGTTGTTTAAAAAGAGATGAATCTCTTTTTAAAAAACCCAGGTTTTGTAACACAAGTCTCAGATTTCAGCCTCCTGAGTAGCTAGGATTACTGGCATGAGACACTGGTGTCTGGCTTTGGAATTTTTTTCATTCATTTAAAAAAAACCAGTATATTAGAGTTGCCATAATTGTGCCTTTGTGAACAATAGTGATAATGAAATTATCTCTAGCTTGATTTTCAATTTTATTTAATATGAGGCCTTCAGTGGATTTTGAGACTAATTAAATGATGGTATTAAAGCACCAGAAATGATTGCTCTTGACAGTGTCAGCTGGTGAAATTTATACTATGAAGATAATGCTGGATAAGGACAAATAAGACTTTATTACAGAGAACTTCTGATATAAAAAATTTATTGTGTAATTGATTTGTAAAGTGCTTGAACAGGAGAAATTATGGTAAGGAATAAAAGCTGAGTGTCATGCCCTTCATGCCTACATTTGAGCTGCAAGAGAATTTGATATGACACACTACCATTTTGGCTCTATTCCAAGAGAATTTAGAGACTAAAGGTACCAAAAGGTACTCAAGTTTCATGTCATAAACCTTAAGAAGAGTGACTCTCAAGAGCAATGATGGAGAAGAAAACATATCCAGTCAAGAGAGTCTTCCATTTTTAGCACTGAGCTAAATAAATAAGCTTACTTCAGTTGCTGGATCCAGGGAATAATCCGTTTGATGTCATCATTTACAGATTTCTCCATATCATCCAGTGTGGCCTGGTCTAAATAAAGCACTTCATTAGTTAATTACTTACATGAGAAATAAAATTTTCATCTACTTAGCCTAAAACCTAAAAGAAAATTACTATTTTAGACACAAAAAAATGTAATTTTTTGAGTCAGAGAAATACTAAATGTACCATTAGTTATAAACATGTTTTTCCTCTTTTTAATATCTCAGGAATCATAGGTAATAACTAATAGCAAATGCAAATAGCAAAAATTTTTTATTGTAATTTTATTGTCAAGATGATATACAGAGGGGTTACAGTTACATAAGTAAGGCAGTCAGTACATGTCTTGTCTAACTTGCTACCCCCTCCCTCATTTTTCTCCCTCTTTCTCTCTCCCCCAACTCCCCCACAAGTTGTACAGATCATTTCCAACATATTATCTTGTGAGTACCGCTGTTCCATAGGTGCAAATAGTAAATTCTAATTGGTATTTTCAACTTGTAACTATTTAAAGCTCATAGTTATTATTAGAGTTAGAACCTTAAAAATTATTTTTTAAAAAATCTCACTGAACCAAGTACCAGTGACCTATATCTGGAATCCCAGCTACTGGGGAGGCTGAGATCTGAGGATCGTGGTTCATAGCCAGCCCTGGCAGAAAAGTCCATAAGATTCCTATTTCCAATTAACCACCAAAAAAAGATAGTAGAGCTGTGGCTAAAGTGACAGAGCACTAGACTTGAGTAAAAAAAAACTCAGGCAAACCATGCCATGGTAGCTAATGCCTGTAATCCTAGCTACTCAGGAGGCTAAACTCTGAGGATTATGGTTCCAAGCCAGCCCAGGGAAGGAAAGACCATGAGACTTTTATCTCAAATTGATCACAGAAAAAGCCAGAAGTGGAGCTGTGACTCAAATGGTAGAGCGAGCACTAGCCTTGAACAAAAGGAACCCAGAGACAGTACCTAGGCCCAGAGTTCAAGCCCCAGGACTGGGGGAAGGTGGCAGGAGGGGGGAGGGGGGAAGCATATGCGTAGTGCCCAGGCCCTGAGTTCAAACCCCAGGACCAGTACATAGATTAAAAAAAAAATTCCACTGAAATGTTTATTTACCAAACATATCATCTCAGGAATAAGAGCTGTTGGCTGAAAACTGTCTTATTAAATAAATATGCCACATTAAATTTATTTTATTTATTTAGCCAATCCTGGGACTTTAACTCAGGGCCTGGACTCTGTCCCTGAGTCTCTTTGTACTCAAGGCTAGTACTCTACCAATTGAGCCACAGCATCACTTCTGGCCTTTTTGAGTAGTTTATTGGAAATAGGATTCTCATGGACTTTCCTGCCTGAGCTAGTTTTGAACCTCGATCCTCTGATCTCACCTTCCTGAAGTTAGGATTATAGGTATGAGCCACTAGTACCTGGCCCAGAATAAATTTTTAATTATATTAGATAATAAATAAAACCACTGAAAAGATAAAAAATAATTTCAACAAATAGGAAAAAGTATAGAAAAATTAGAAAATTAAAATACAAAAAGATTGCTATATAATGAATTACTTTCCCCCCTACCCCCTAGCCTTGTAAATTCTTACATTGAAGTCCTAATCTCCAACATGATATGTGGAGAGGGGTCTTTGTGAGGTAATTACATATAGAAGAGTTGATAAATACAGGGCCATCGTGGTGGTCTTAGAACACTTATAAGAAGGAACAAGGGAGGGAGGAACACTGTTCAAACAGAAATGTACTCATTATCTGACTCATGTAACTGTAACCTCTCTCTGTACATCATCTTTACAATAAAACTTAAATTAAAAAAAGACACTTATAAGAAAGGATAGATATGTGTGTATGTGAGAAAGAGAGAGAGAAACAGACAGACAGAGAGAGAGAGAGAGAGAGAGAGAGAGAGAGAGAGAGAGAGAGAGAGAGAGAGAGAGAGAGAAAGAGAGCACCCCTCTTGTGAAAACAGCCAGAAAAGGCAGTGGAGAACCCACCACACTGGCATCATGATTGTGAATTCCTAGCCTCCAGAACTGTGAGAAAATAAATTTTATTTTATTTTTTGTTGGTCCTGGGGCTTGAACTCAGGGCCTGGGAGCTGTCCCTGAGCTTTTGCTCAAGGCTGGTGTTCTACCACTTTGAGGCACAGCAAAACTTCCAGTTTTCTAGTGGTTAATTGGACACTACTGCCCAGGCTGGCTTCTAACCACAATCCTCAGATCTCAGCCTTCTGAGTACCTAGGATTACAGGCATGAGCCATCAGTACCCAGCTAAATTTTATTTTTTTATAAAATAAATTTATTTTTATTTCTTTAATAGTAGCCTGACCTAGAACAAGCACATATCCATAGAGATTTTGCTGCTGTTTCTCTCATTTTTTATTTTTTATTATCTTAAGTAGTTATACAAGGGTGTTTGAATTCTTTATGTTTCACCCATTTTTATATGTTTGGGGTTTTTATTTATGAGGAAATTATCAGGAAAACAAAGGAAAAGCTTTAGGAAGCAGGGCTGCAGTGGAATCCAGAGCTGGCCTCCTGCCTCAGGTAAGCAGGATAGAGGCCTCCAGACTAGCTGGCTTCTCACTATTTCTCTCCCAAGACTACTTAGGGGGAGATCCTTTGTCACTGCTTCAGTCCAAGGATCCCTACAAGTCACGTCTATGTGAAAAACATGAATGAGTGCAACTCCATCCACATGGGCCAGACTAATGTTCAGATTACAAAGCCTGCCAGGAGCTCTACTGCTTACAATATGGTATTCCTCAGGAGAGATGACGCCTTCAACACCTTCTTTAGTGTGAGGGATGTCCAGGACAGTGTTTATAGATTTGGATCCTACAATCATTGATGGAGTTTGTAATGGCATCTGCCACCAGGTCTTCTACACTGAACAGCTCATCACAGCAAGGAAGAAGCTTCCAATAACTATGCCAGTGAACACTACAACACTGGCAAATTCATTCACCTTGTTGAGAGACTAAATTTGCAAGCTGTCTAAGCAGTACACAGGTCTTCAGGGTTTCCTGGATTTCCATAGCTTTTATGAGGGAACTGGCTCAGTATTTACCTCCCCAATGATGGAACATCTCTCTGCAGATTACAGCAAGATTTTCAAGTTGCAATTCTCCATTTACCCAGCCCTCTCCACGTTTCTGTGGCTGTCATTGAGTCTTACAACTACATCCTCATCACCCCACTACCCTTGAATACATCATGGTAGACAATGAGGCCATCTACAGTATCTGCAGTTAATAATAACATTGAATACCCAACCTATATTAAACTAATCACATTAGCCAAATTGTATCTTTGATTACCCTCTCTCAGATTAGGTGAAGGTCTGAATGTTGATTAGACAGTATTCCAGAACTGGTACCTACTCCTAAATCCACTTCCCTATGGCCACATATATCCCTGTCATCTCTTCTGGGAAAGTCTCCCATGAGCAGCTTACTGTAGCAGGGGTCACCAGTGCTAGCTTTGGGCCAGCCAATCAGATGGTGAAATGTGACCCTTGCTATAGTAAATACATGACTTGCTACCTATTTTACCATGGTGATATGGTCCCCCACAGCTACCATCAAGACCAATTATATCATCTACTTTAAGGATTGGTACTCTCCTTATTGGCATAATTTCCAGTCTCCTACAATAGTACCAGGTAGAGATCTGGCCAATACAGTAAGCTACCTGCATTCTGAGACACACCATACTCACTGCTGCACTCTAGCTCCCATGCACCTCAAGTATCACCTGATGTATGCCAAGTATGCCACTGTCAATGGTGTGGGTGAAGGGACTGAAGGAAGATTTTTCTGAGGCTTGGGAGGGCATGGCCACCCTAGAGAAGGATTCTTAGCAGCAGACAGAGTCCAGGGAGAAGACATGGATGAAGAATATTAGCCAGTCTAATACAAGTTTACACTTTTCTTGAGATTGTCATACTGCTGCTTTGTAGAACTGTTGTAACCTTGATCTGTCAATAAAGGTGGTATTGATATTTTAAATGAAAAAGAAAGGAAGAGAGCAAAGGAGGAAAAGGAAGAAAAAAATTTTAAAGAATAATCACAGCCAGGTGCTGGTGGCTCATGCCTGTAATCCTAGTTACTCAGGAGGCTGAGATCTGAGGATCTGGGTTCAAAGCCAGCTGGGGCAGGAAAGCCTGTGAGACTCTTATCTCCAATTAACCACCAGAAAACCAGAAGTGGTGCTGTGGCTCAAGTGGTAGAGCACTAGCCTTGAGCTGAAGAACTAAGGAACAGCACTCAGGCCCAGAGTTCAAGCCCCATAACCGACAAAAAAAAAGAATAATCACCATTTTTTTGATTTAATACTAGTTAAAAGAATTCACTTTGCACAACTATGTGATAACAATAAAAAAAACTCATAAATAGGTCAGTCACTCATTTGTCATTTAGCCATCATAAATGTGATATGACTCAAGTTATGAATCCAGTTTTTATGTGAGGAGCTCACATAAAAATCATCTTCAGAGCTATATAACAAGAAGGTCCTTTATTTTCATCAATTTAGCTTGCATAATATTAATTTCAAATGGCAAAGGTGCTAATATATTCAAGAACACTGTTCCAGCAATAAAAAAAAAACACTAAGATCCCAGTATTTCATCATTTCAGAACACTACGTCATTGACAGAACAGCTACAAATCAAACTTTAATTTCTACCATGTTTAAGCCAGAAAAAAATACTTTTCTCCATGACTCTGAAACCAAAATCATCATAGATATTTATACTGTCATAAACTCACTCTCTCCCCATGAATGACATTAGGATCCTTTGTCATTTCCATGTCACTTAACTACTAGGAGTTTAACAGAAAATGAACTATTAGAGGGATAATTAGCTATTACCATTATTACTTTAATATAATAAATGGTATGAATACACTTTACTTTAGCAGTTTAATTAAAAAATAATCCAAGCCACTACTCAGGAGGCTGAGATCTGAGGATCATGGTTCAAAGCCAGCCTGGGCAAGAAAGTCCGTTAGACTCTTATCTCCAATTAACCACCAAAAAACTGGAAGTGGCACTGTGGCTCAAGCGGTAGAGTGCTCACCTTGAGGCTGAGAAGCTCAGGGACAGTGCCCAGGCCCAGAGTTCAAGCCCCATGGTCCAATCAAAATAATAATAATAATAATAATAATAATCCAAGCCAGGCACTGGTGGCTCATATCTGTAATCCTAGCTACTCAAGAGGCTGAACTGAGGATCATGGTTCAAAGCCATCCTGGGTAGAAAAGTATGTGATCACTACTCTTATCTCCAATAAACTACTCAGAAAAAGCAGTAAGTAGCATTGTGGCTCAAATGGTAGTGTGTTAGTCTTAAGGCTGAGAAACTCAGAGACAGTGCCCAGGCTTTGAGGTCAAGCCCCAGGACCTGCCAAAAAAAAAAAATTCAAAATTCAGTTAAAATAGGGCTCTAAAAAACAGATACCAGTTAATTATTTCTTCCATACCTACTTTAAATGCTAGATATACCATCCTTCCCAATACTAATGGCAGAAAAAATATATTTTTTGTTTTTGTTAAAAATATTTTTCTTACATTGAGTGACGAAATTGTTCAGTAACTTACCAAGTCCATAAAGCATAAATTGGAACATTCCAGAATGCAAATCTACAAAAATGTGTAGGCACTCCGAATTACTACAGGGCTCCAGGATGGGAACAACAATAGCTGGAAGTGCAGTCTCTATGGAAGCTGAACAGTTAAAAATCAAAAATTATTTTTGTATCTGAAAATTATCCAATAAATATACATATATCTCTCATGAATAGAAACAACTATTGGAAGAGCCTGAATGGTAGAGGAAAAATAAGATTCTGCAAAATTTGGCAAAAAATAATGAATTAATGGTAACTCAAAAGATACAATGTAATTTAAAGTTGATTTTTAACAGACTCATCTAAAATACTACAGAAAACAATTTCCTCAGAAAGGATTAAAATAGCTAAGGGAAAGTCAATCTCATCAGTTGAGTTCTAACTATTTTCATCCAGTGGTTGTTTTAATTTTTAGGGATTTTCTTCTTGATATTAGTTATTTGGTAAATAGAATAAGTTTTATCTATAGCCTAAAGATTTTCAACTTCATTCTTCATTTCATTTTTTAAAAATGCCCCCGGGGCAATTTGGGGCAGACGTTTTAAGAAATACTTAAAAACTAATAATCATTATTGAGTCTATAAAGAAAAAAATATTTAAATAATTTTGTACCTCATTTTCAAGACAGTCGAAACAAGGCTATAGGCAGTTGCTAAACACAAACCGATAATGCTAACAATATACTTGATCTAGAAAGTCATAGTATTTTCATCATGCTCAATTAAGTCTTGCCTGAATCCCAAAAGTTTGCAAAATGAAGTTCTGTAAATGAGCAAAGCACTGAAAGCACAGTAAGTGCAGATCAGATTGAGGGGTGAAAAAAATGTCTTCTTTTTGTTATCAAGTTCCTCTAACATTACAGCAAAGAAAGGCCTTTTACCAGGCATGACTGCTGTGTTAACTAGTTAAACTAGGACAATAATATTTTCCTCTTCACGAAAAAGATACCTAGTAAAAAGAATAACAAACTTGTGAAGTATTTTTAAAAAGAAAGCAAAAGCTGGAGGTATAGCTCAGTGGCAGAGCACATGCTTAGCAAGTTTAAGACACTGAAGTTAATGCCCAGGACCAGATAAAGAGCAATGTTCAATGAATGTTTCCAGGCACCAACGGCTCCAACTTGTAATCCTAGCAACTCAGGAGGCTGAGATCTGAGCCAGCCTGGGCAAAAAAGTATGTGAGACACTTATCTCCAATAAACTAACCAAAAAAAAGGCCTGCGGTGGAGATGTTGCTCAATGGTTGCACTAACTTTGAACAAAAGAAGATTAGGAACAGTGCCCAGGCCCCGAGTTCAAGCCCCAGTACTGGCACACAAAAAAACATGCATTGTCTGTATTCCTTTATGAAATCAAAGAAGTATCATTAAATCTTATGAATTTGTAGTATTTCAAATGAGTGAAGTTATCACTGGTACTAGCTATACAAACAAATTATCAAATTAATAAGGTAAAGATTGCAGGAGACATTTACTTAGATGAACATAAATTGCTTTCAAGTATATCTAATATATATTTGTATATGAATATTTAACATTCAGGTCCAGTAGAAGTTTCACCTGAAAAACAAAAACATCCAACAGAACAAAAAAAGCACAATTTCTTTTATACTATTTTGTAATTCAAGATCAGTATGACAAATTAGATAAAAATCAATGTTTTACTAAGCTCACTACATTAAATAATAAAATAAAAAGTACTTACAGATTTGAAGTAGGGGTGCTGATTTTTGAAACATTTCTATACACCAAAAATTCCTACCTGTGTACAAATGTATTCTTTAAAGCAAAGAAATGTAGCAATAGGGTAGTAATTATAATTAGTTATTACAATTCCAATCTAAAGCAAGGCATCAGAAGATAATGTCCTAAGAAAATATTTTTATTTCTTTTTCTATGAATATATATTATGACAGTCAATGTCTCTTTTTCTTTACAGAAATGGAGAGGCAACTAAGCCGAATTAGTGATTGTTGTATGGGTCACAACTTCCAAATTGACCTTTTCCAGATTCTGGTGCTAGCAGGTGGAATTCAATATTAAGGAGCACACTCTGGCTCCTCTAAGAGTTAGACAACATGGTGAATTGAGCCATATCGATATGTTACCTCTAGTGCCTTGCACTGTCTATTTTGATCTCTCCAAAATGCTGTGCTTCCTCTCCCCTGAGCCATTTCCACCCACATAAAACCATACAGCTATCTAGGCTTCCAAAACCTGCAGCTATGCATTCTCCCAGCCATCTCTTGAAATGCTCCAACCTCTAAGTTACTCATTCCTCGGGTTATTCTGGTTATGAGGTAGGAGAAATACCCCTCATTTAAGGGCAATCACATTAAGGGATTCTACAAACAAACTATATATAGTCCCTGGTCTCAGGAAAAGATGTTTTGGGGGTTTTGGGTTTTTGTTTGTTTGTTTGTTTGCTGGTACCAGGACTTGAACTGAGGACCTTGAGCTCTTGCTCAGCTTTTGTGCTCAAGGCTGGTATTCTACCACTTAAGCTGTATCTCCAATCCAGCTTAATTGGAGATAGTCTTAGACTTTTCTGCCCCCTCTGGCTTTTGAACTTTGACTCTCAGGTCTCAGCCTCCTGAGTAGCTAAGATTACAGGTGTGAGACACTAGTGCCTAGCTTCAGGAAAGGATCTTACTAAAGCATACTTTGCCACCACAAAAGGCTTCAAATACGACTACCTGAAGAGTAAAGATTCACAAATATAAAATTTAAGAACAAACAATACCGTAAAATGGTGAATAACAGACTATTTTATCAGTCCTTATTTTCTGGAATGCTTCAATTAAGGTAGGACTGGGGACCAACTCTACATGAAAGCTTCTCCTTTACTTCCTAATTAATCAAAGTCCCCCAAACACATTGCTCAACAACCCAAGGCTTGATACCATTGCTATAGCACACTGGTATAGAATTAAGAGATGAAGGGGCTCAAAGCATATAAATAAGTTTTACATGCATTGAAAAGTACATAGCTGAACTCAGGATTCTCTGGCCACTCAGGCAACAATATCGTTACAAAATGCTGCTAAAGCTGGGTGCCAGTAGCTCACGCCTATAATCCTAGCTACTCAGGAGGCTGAGATCTAAGGCTTGTGATTCAAAGCCAGCCCAGGAAGGAAAGTCCAATAAGACTCAAGTAAACTAGAACCTATCAAAAGATCATAAACCTCTTTTTGTCTGGAATCTCAACAAATTAAGTTTTAGAATTTTGATATTTGAAGAATTAAAAATACAAAACATCAAGCTAGGCACCGGTGGCTCACGTCTGTAATCCTAGATCATGGTTCAAAGCCAGCCCGGGCAGGAAAGTCCTTGAAGACTCATCTCCAATTAACCACCAGAAAACCAGAAGTGGCGTTGTGGCTCAAGTGCTAGAGCACTTGCCTTGAGCTGAAGAGCTCAGGGACAGCACCCAAACCGAGAGTTCAAGCCTCACAACTGACCCCCCCCCAAAAAAAAAATCAGAAAAATTGGGGCTGGGAAGTTGGCTCAGTGGCAGAGCGCTTGCCTTGCATGCATGAGGCCCTGGGTTCGATTCCTCAGCACCACATAAGCAAAAAGAAAAAAAGCCGGAAGTGGCGCTGTGGCTCAAGTGGTAGAGCGCTAGCCTTGAGCTGAAGAGCTGAGGGACAGCACCCAGGCCCAGAGTTCAGGCCCCACGACCGGACCCAAAAAAATAAAATAAAAAAAGATCAGAAAAATTAAGACTGAAAAATGTTTCAAGGCTTTAGAACAAAAGGGGAGTTTTGCAACAAGAGTGACAAAATAAAAATGGGGGAAATGATCTTTCACAAATGTTCCTGGGACAACTCCATATTTCCTTCAAAAGAATGCTGTTGGACTCTTATCTCAGACCATACACAAAAATTAATTCCAAAACTGAGCTAAATGAAACTCCTAAGACATAGGTCTGCATGACCTCAGGTTTAGTATATAATTTTTAATAGTATGTATTAGCTGTACAAGGGTTTCATTGTGACATTTCCATACATATACAAATGTATTAAATCAATCTCCTGCCCTCAACATCTTTTCTTACTTTCTTCCTCCTTTCTTGAAACAGTTTCAACAAGTTTCATTGTTCTATTTTCATACATGGGAACACAAACTACCTCAACCAAATTCATTCTCTTTTGTATCCTTTGTTAGTGCAACAGAGTCTGATTCCTTATTAATTTTCTTTTAAATGTGTGGCAAAATTGCACCAAGGATGAGGAAAATGATGCAACTTGTGGGCAAGGATAAGAAGGGGAATCTGGGGAAAAGTGAAGGAAGGGGCATCATTGTCCATAAAGAATTGTACTCATTACCTGACTTATGAAGTGGTAACCCCTTTGTACATATTAATAACAGCAATAAGATTATATTTTTTAAAAGTTGCACTAAGAGCCGGGCACTGGTGGCTCATGCCAGTAATTCTAACTATACAGGAGACTGAGATCTGAGGATTGCAGTTTGAAGCCAGCCCAGGCAGAAAAGTCCCCTTGAGACTCTTAATCTTCAATAAACTACTCAAAAAAGCTGGAAGTGGTGCTATGGCTCAAGTGGTAGAGTGCTAGCCTTGAGCACAAAGAGGCTCAGGGACAGCACCCAAGCCAACTTCAAGCTCCAGGACAGGCCAAAAAAAAAAAAATTGCACTATGGGCCTAGGAAATAAATTCTAAAGTATGCTACCAAATGTACATGCAACAATAAAAAATAGATTAAGCTGATCAACATTATAACAAAAAAATGTCTATCTGCAAATGATACCATAAAATGAAAAGACAATTGAAAAGAAAGGAAAGCAAGCAAGCAAGCAAGCAAGCAAGCTAGCTCGGTGCCAGTGGCTCATAGCAGAGTGTGATCTGAGGATCAATGTTCCAAGCTGGCAGGGGCAAGAATGTCTGTGAGACTTCTCTCCACTAAACTACCAAAAATGCCCAAAGTGGAGCTTTGGTCAAGTAGTAGAATGCTAGCCTTGAGCAAAGAAAGCTCAGGGACAGCACCTAGGCTCTGAGTTCAAGCCCCAGGACCAGCACCAAAAAAAAAGGGAGGGTGGAATTCTTGCAAATCATGACATGTCGAGAGATTTTTATCCAGAACACATAAAGAACTCTTACAATTCACACACACAAAAAAACAAAAAACAATTAAGTCAGGCACTGGTGGTTCATGCCTATAATCCTATCTTTGCAGGAAGCTGAGATCTAGGATCCAGGTTCAGAGCCAGCCTAAGTAGGAAAGTCTGTGAGACTCTTATCTCCAGTTAACTACCAAAAAGCTAGAAGTGTAGCTGTGGCTAAAGTGGCAGAGTGCTAGTCTTTGGCAAAAAAGCCCAGAGACAGTGCCCAGGCCCTGAGTTCAAGCCCCAGGATCTGCACCAATAAATAAATAAATAAATAAATAAATAAATAAATAAATAAATAAATAAATAAGATTACTAAATGCTGACAATTAGTGGAAATTTCTCCACCAAAAAATAGACTTACATAATAATACATTCACCGTATTTCTAGCAAAAATTTATTTTAAGGCTCAAGACTCATATTTGCATTTTTATTAAACTATTCTTCCTTTTAATCTCTTTAAAAACTTCAGTTAATCCTCTGGCTTGTCTTAGACCCTCTTTTTCATCTCCTTTTCACTTTCCTTGAATGAACATGTATTTTTTGACACAAAATAATGTATGATGTGACATTTTGATACACTGTATAATGAGCAAGTCAGGATCAAACATTTTACCTTCTTCCTGATAAGAACATTCAAAAACCTCTTAGCTTTTTTTTTTTTTTTGCTTTAGCTGACTAGAGGTAACTACAATGTATCAGTTCCTGAGGTACAATACGTCTACAATGTATCATAGCTAGAAATTTATAATACATTGTAGTTAACTCTAGTTGGTTTACTTTGTAACAGAACAGAACTTATCTGAATGAAAATACATTGTAAATTTTTCTGAATTCCTGCCTTTTCTTCAGTGTTTTTATCTACTTTTCTCAAAGTAGCTTTAATCCAGGGTTACTAGTATATACCTAAGAAGCTGCTTTTCTTTAAGAATAATGGAGTGGGGGTATGTAATGATGACAAGCAGTATATTATGCTACTAGCATCCTATTTTTAAGGCACTTCACCTACTGCATCTCTATTAAACTCTGCACTTTGGATACCAGGTATGGTCAAAAGCAAGTGTAAGAACTGACTGTGTTGATACACAATGTGTATTCCTAGCACAGGGGTGGCTGAGGTAGGAGAATCACAAGTTTGAGTCCAGCCTTGGCTACACAGTAAAACCCCCATATTCAAGAGGGAAAAAAAAAGAAATTAGAGATAGTAAATATATTTGTCACATAGAATTAAAGGGTTTGCTTTTAAATGAGTCTTAAAGCTCTTTGACTGGGTAATTATACTTGGAAGAATTTTCACTATGTATTGATATCTATGTATCTTATTTTGAAACTTAATACATTAACATTCCAAATTTCATTTTTAAAGACAAGAAATGAATTTTGCTTTGCTCAGTCATATTTTATAAACATAAATATTTGCAATGTTGCTTTATCACTACAAAAAGGTTAAAAGAATATGACTCATGTTAAAATATTTCCATTTCGATACGAACAAAGTTTTAAGGAGAGATGATAGGCAAACATTTAAAAAATGAGGCAAAGCTAAATAAAAAATAATAATGGAAATATTAACACAAATGTGGTAGATTACAAATTAAAATTCAGAAATGTTCATCCTCCACAATAAGTATATCAAGAACAAAAAGTGATATTAAAAAAGACACTTGAAGTAATGTCAATTTGAAACACCTACAGTTTTCATTCCCATTGAAGCCTCTAAGAATAGTCTTCAGTTCTTGGAGTTTCTGGTGAGCTCTTGCATGGACACTGTCAATCAGAAGTTTTTCTATTGATAAGTGGTCAATCTGCAAAAACAAAAACAACAAAATCATATGTATAACTGAAATGTTTCTTTAAAAGCCTGAGAGCAGGTAGTACTATTCTTTCAGAATTTCCTCTCTGAATCACACTGGTTAGCGTAAGTAAATTTAGATAAAGTTAAAATTGAACTTATACTTAGTTTAAAAATACTTTGTATGATGCTAAAAGCTCAACACATACACACACACACACACACACATATATATACATACAAATATTTTCAGACATGATGGGTTTTTTCTTGTTTTGTTTTTTGTTTTTTAACTCAGGGCAGTCAACCTACCACTGAGCCATGCCTCCAGCCCTTTTCTACACTGGTTCTTTTTGAGATAAGATTCTAGCTTCCTGCCTAGGCCTATACCTAGTCCATGACTTATTTTAAGCCTCCCTTCTATATCTGGACTGACAGATACATGTTACCTGACCAGCTTTTTCTGTTGAGAAAGTCTCATGGACTCTTCTGCCCAGGCTGGCCTTGAACCATGATCTTCCTATTCTCAGCCTTGGGGCTGGGAAGGTGGCTCAGTGGTAGAGCGCTTGCCTTGCATGCAAGAGGCCCTGGGTTCGATTCCTCAGCACCACATAAGCAGGAAAAAAAAAACCCAGAAGTGGCGCTGTGGCTCAAGTGGTAGAGTGCTAGCCTTGAGCTGAAGAGCTGAGGAACAGCGCCCAGGCCCAGAGTTCAGGCCCCACGACCAAACCCCCCCCCCCAAAAAAAAAGCCTATTCTCAGCCTTCTAAGTAACTCCAATTACAGTTGTAAGGCACTGGAACCAAGCTTATTATTTTCATAATTGTAATTAATGTATTAGGTATTACAGTATTCAAATTCCAGACCTTAAGAATGAAATGGCGGGGGGGCTGGGAAGGTGGCTCAGTGGTATAGCACTTGCCTTGCATGCATGAGGTTCTGGGTTCAATTCCTCAGCACCACATAAGCAAAAAGAAAAAAGCCGAAAGTGGCGCTGTGGCTCAAGTGGTAGAGCACTAGCCTTGAGCTAAAGAGCTGAGGGACAACACCCAGGCCCAGAGTTCAGGCCCCACTATTGGACCCAAAAAAAAAAAAAGAATGAGGGTCTGGGAAGGTGGCTCAGTGGTAGAGTGCTTGCCTTGCATGCATGAGGCCCTAGGTTCGATTCCTCAGCACCACATAAGCAAAAAGAAAAAAGTCAGAAGTGGTGCTGTGGCTCAAGTGGTAGAGCGCTATCCTTGAGCTGAAGAGCTCAGGGAGAGCGCCCAGGCCCAGAGTTCAGGCCCCACGACCGGACCCAAAAACAAAACAAAACAAAACAAAACAAAACAATGAGACGGTAGCTATGTGCCAGTGGTTCATGCCGGTAATCCTAGCAACTCAGGATGCTGAGATATAAGGATAGCAGTTCGAAGCCAGCCCAGTCAGGAAAGTCTTTCAGACTCTTATCTCGAATTAACCACCAAAAAAAAAGCCAGAAGTGGAGCTGTGGCTCAAATGGTAGAAACTTATGAATACAAGCTCAGGGACAGTGCCTAGGCCCTGAATTCAAGACCTAGGATTGGTACAAAAAAAAAACCAACAACATGGCAGTCTGAAATAAACTACAAACTATGAAATGAGTTTGGGGCATAGCTCAGTGGAAGAGTACATGCTGAGCATGTATAAGAACTTAAATTCAATTCTCAGTACTACTCCACTCTAACTGAAGAACACCTTAGAAACTGGAGGCATGGTTCAAGTGGTAGAGCATCAGCAGAGTAAAAAGGCCTAAAGAGAGTGTAAAGCCCTCCAGTTCAAGCCCCTTTACTGGCATTTTAAAAAAGAAAAAGAGCTACACACCAGTGGCTGATAGCTGTAATCCTAGCTACTCAGAAGGATGAGATTGGAGGGTTGCAGTTTGAAGCCAGCCTGCACAGAAAAGTCTGTAAGACTTTTTTGAAAATCCACAACTAAAATTTATTAACTGAACCAAATTAATTAGTTCAGTAATTTTTGCTACATTTTTAGTAAATTATTGATCCTTTTTTTGTTAGTTATGGGGCTTGAACTCAGGGCCTAGGTGATGTCACTGAAATTTTTTAAATATGTTTTTTATTGTAAAAATAGTGTACAGAGGGGTTAGTTACATGAGTAAAGTAATAAGTACATTTCCTATCAAAGTAATAAGTACATTTCCTATGGAGCACTGTTACCTCCTCCTTTGTTTATCCCCTACCATCCCTTCCTGCCCTATCTCCCCAACTCCTCCCTCCCCCCCCAAGTTGTAAAAATCATTTTCAACTCATATGACCATATAAGATGATGTTAAGTGAAATGAACCCCAAGATAGGGACATAACTGTTTGTTTTCTTTCTTGCTATTGTTTTTAACGTATTTAAAATGTACTATGTGATTTTTTTTGTTTCTTTTGTATGTTCTTCCCCCACAGTATAACCTCTGTTTTCACTGTGTTTGATGTCAATGCCCTGCATCTTGTATATATACATTTCTCTAATTTGGGGAGGGGAAGGGAAATAACAAAATGCTGAAATAAGGATATATGTTTACCCATTGTAACAAGATGTACAAGACACTATGTTGAAAAAGTCTGTAAGACTCTTATCTCCAATTAACTAACAAAAGAAATTCCACAAGTGCAGCTGTTGTTCAAGTGGTAGAGCAAGGAAACTCAGAGATAGCACCCAGGCCCAGAGGTCAAGCCCTGGGACCTGCGTACACATGCACACACGTGCACACACACACATACACAATATCTTAAAAAATATGTGACAGTATTTTAGGTGTTAAAAAATTAGAAGTAGCCAGGTGCTGGTGGCTCACACCTGTAAGTAATCCTAGGTACTCAGGAGGCTGAGATCTGAGGATCACAGTTCTAAGGCAGCCCAGGCAAGAAAGTTCACATGAGACTCTTATTTCCAATTAACCACCAGAAAACCAGAAGTGGCACAGTGGCTCAGGTGATAGAATGCTCACCTTGAGCTGAAGAGCTCAGGGACAGCACCCAGGCCCAGAGTTCAAGCTCCACAACTGACCAAAAACAAAAACAAACAAACAAACAAAAAACCAGAAGTATAACAGTGACTTAAAACAAGTTTCACAAAGAGTTTCAGAAATTATGTATTTTAAGAAAGATGCTAGCCAGACACTGGTGGCTCATGCCTATAGTCCTAGCTACTCAAGAGGCTGAGATCTGAGGATCGTGGTTCAAAGCCAGCCAGGACAGGAAAGTCCATGAGACTCTTATTTCCAATAAACCACCAGAAAACTGGAAGTGGCACTGTAGCTCAAGTGGTAGACTACTTGCCTTGAGCTGAAGAGCTAAGGGACAGGTCCAAGCCCAGAGCTCAAGCCCCACAACCAACAACAATAACAAAAAGAAAGAAACCTGCTAAGTTTAAATATAAATGTTAAGTTATATTCATTTAATCAAACCAAAATTAAAAAATATTGAGATCTTTTACCTTCATGGCTCTTTCTACTAATTTGGAATCCGAAGCTGGCAAAGGAGGATCATGAAAAATCTGTAAAGGCTTGGAGACATCATTCTCATCAATTTTAATTATAACTTTGTGAACGGATGCTATTCCTATTTTTTTCCCAAGAACCTGTTGACTAAAGAGAAAAAGATCTATTAGCAATGTTTTTCAATACAACCTGTTAACTTTTGCAATAAAGACAATCTATTGTGATTTTTAGCTGAAGTCTGGAGCATGGCAGGCTTTCAATGTTCTGTAATCCAATTATTCTGTAATCCAATACAAAACGTGATTTGTATATTTTTAAAGATGCAATTTAAAGAACTCTTAGGGCTGGGAAGGTGGCTCAGTGGTAGAGTGCTTGCCTTGCATGCATGAGGCCCTGGGTTCAATTCTTCAGCACCACATAAGCAGAAAAAGCCAGAAGTGGCGCTGTGGCTTAAGTGGTCAAGTGCTAGCCTTGAGCTGAAGAGCTGAGGGACAGCACCCAGGCCCAGAGTTCAGGCCCCACGACTGACCAAAAAAAAAAAAAAAAAGAACTCTTAAACCTGTCTTCTAAGTGGTACCTATTCATCTGATTTACAAAAATTAGGAATCGGGGCTGGGAAGGTGGCTCAGTGGTAGAGTGCTTGCTTGCATGCCTGAGGCCCTGGGTTCGATTCCTCAGCACCACATAAGCAAAAAGAAAAAAGCCAGAAGTGGCGCTGTGGCTCAAGTGATAGAGCTAGCCTTGAGCTGAAGAGCTGAGAGGGACAACGCCCAGGCCCAGAGTTCAAGCCCTATGACCGGACCCCCCCCCCCAAAAAAATTAGGAATCAAGTTCAAACATTCAAGCATTCTCTAATGCAGAGTCTGATTTTGATTTTCTTAAAAACAAAGTTTTGTTTATAATGGAATTAGGGTTTGAATTTGGGACCTCAATATTTCTGGGCTGGCCTTCTACCACTTGAGCCTCACTTCCAGCTCTGCTTTTTGCTGTTGTGGGTTTTTTTTGGGGGGGGGGTCAGTTGTGGGGCCTGAACTCTGAGTCTGGGCGCTGTCCCTCAGCTCTTCAGCTCAAGGCTAGCGCTCTACCACTTGAGCCATAGCGCCACTTCTGGTTTTCTGGTTTTTTTTTGTTTTGTTTTGTTTTTTCTGAAGATAGAGTCTCAAGGACTTTCTTGCCCAGGCTGGCTTTGAACCACGATCCTTAGATCTCAGCCTCCTGAGTAGCTAGGATTATAGGTGTGAGCCACTAGTGCCAGCCAATACTAAGTTTTAAAAGGTATAATTCACTCCTGTAATCCTAGCTACTCAGGAGGTTGAGATCTGTGGATTGCCAGTTCAAAGCCAGCCCGGGCAGGAAAAGACCATGAGACTCTTATTACCAATAAACTACCAAAAAAGCTGGAAATGGAATTGTAGCTCAAGTGGAGGAAAGCTAGCCTTTAGCAAAAGAAGCTCAGGGATAGCACCTAGGCCATGAGTTGAAACCTCTGGACTACCACAAAAGGAAAAAGTATAATTCAAAATGGAAAACTATCATTGTTAGTCCAATGAGCTCCCTTCCCATAACTTAGCACTCTCCTTCCCCTTTCCACAGCTTGGCATGCTCTCTTCCTCTCAGGGATAGCACCTAGGCCATGAGTTCAAACCCCTGTATTACCACAAAAGAAAAAAGTATAATTCAAAATGGAAAACTATCATTGTTAGCCCAATGAGCTCCCTTCCCACAACTTAGCACTCTCCTTCCCCTTTCCACAGCTTGGCATGCTCTCCTCCTAGACAACACTAGGCCCATGTAATAAAGGCAGTAAACAATCGGCCTCCAACCCCCTTTACCTTGGGATGGCACCTCTCTCAGGCAGCTGCCACCAAATAGGACAGTAAGAACCCCTTAGAGTGACCTTCAGGTCTGGGCAGCTGCAGGGCCCCTTATCTACTGTTTGCAAGCAGCCATAAATCCTAGTCCATCATGATGAAGCCCCTGGCCCTCACGTCCACACCAGGGTCTCCATCTCCTCGTCCCTTCTAGCCCCTCTTAAACCTCCTAGGTTATAAAGGTCACCTCAGACAATAGCTGGCACTTATTCTCCCTTCTCCCTTGTGAGAAGGGGTCTTGTCAGCCCCTTTCCTGGCAATAAACCCTTTTTTGTTCTCTGTACTTGGATGCCTGTATGGTTTCCTAGCGAAGTCTAACAATCATAAACAAGCATATTTTAAATATGATACTCTAAAATATGATACTAAAATGATACTCTAAAATACTACCCTGAATATACTCAGTCTCATCTGATCTTGGAAGCTAAATAGAATCCAGTCCAGTCTGATTAGTACTTGGATGGGAGACCACCTGGAAGTACTAGATACTATAGGGTTTTGGCCCAATTTCCTCCTTCACTGCCTGTTCTTTGCTCCATGCCAACCTCTAGCCCTGCCCTCTTGAACTCTGAGCAACATCTCTCCTTTCCTCTCACCCCTTCCACCATTCCTTCAGTCCTCCACAAGATGGTGGAGCAAAACTTTAAAAACAATCAGTACAAACAGATTAAATATCTACAAAAGTAAAACACATAACACACTAAGAAGCATGTTAATTATGGATGTTCTATGTAGTTGGTTACATATAAGTATATTACCACAGGCATGTAGCTACTGATATATATTAAATCAGATGTATAAGAAAACAAAGACAGGAAGTGGCGCTGTGGCTCAAGTGGTAGAGCGATAGCCTTGAGCTGAAAAGCTCAGGGACAGCACCCAGGCCCAGAGTTCAAGCCCCACGACCAAAGGGGAAAAAAAGAAAACAAAGATATAATGTGAACCTACCAGAACCAATTTTACTTACTTCCAAACTGAGAGGGAAAGGCATTTTCCAGCATGATACCTTTCTACCTGTACAAGGTCTCCCCATCGTTCTCGGATTAACATTAGACTCTGAGAATGTAACACTTCTAATTGAAGTGACAAGCAGAAAGAATCTAATTGATCTTGTTAAGCAAATCTAATAAAATATGTTGTTTCAACAGCCAAACAAGTATAGGCAAACTTCACTTAACAAAGGATATATTTGCAAAATGCTGGCTATAGGGGAATTTTCTCAAATACTACTCTAATGACCCATCCTAAAAAAGGTAAATTTTGTGGTTTTATTGAATCATATTTCTCCAGTGACTCACCATAAAAAGTTGTAACACTTGTGGTATAATTTCAGAGAAAAAGGTTTATATTTAATCTTGAACCAATGTAAACAAAACATAAGGCCTAAGTCGGTAGTTTAGAAAACATATTTTGACCACCTAGTAGTTTTCCCAAAATAGTAGTTTATGGGGGAGACAGGGTCTCACTATGTAGCCCAAGCTGACCTGAAATTCATGATCCTTCCCCTCAGCTTCCTGAGTTTTGGAATTATAGGTATGTGCCACTTCACCCGGCAAACCATTTCTAACTAATATCTTGGGGGTGTGCCTACAAAGTCAATGGGAAAATTGTAAATATTTCTTATTACAAATCTATCACTGCTCATCACTCTGGTGGTTCCCCAAACCTACTTCTACTGAAAATTGAGTAGAGATCACCACAAAGGATAAATGGAAAATAAAGTGAGAGGAAGATAAAATCCGTACAATACACATGTCAAATTTCAGAAGGATACGTAGGCAATTGTACATGTCCTGAAGAGGTTTCTCATCAGCAAAGAGCCGAGACTGCACTAGCTGATGGATAAAGTTGATTTGCATACTATGAACCAGAGCTCGCCCATCTTCCATTGGCAGGAGAAAAGAAGACAATTAATTAGAAAGGTGTACAGGTTGTGCCAACTAGGCAAGTATAGATTAATAAAGAATTTAAAATAAGAACTAAAATTACATACAAAGTCTAGAGAAACACATGCTGAGGAAAATAAGACTTTTATAGTGAGTAGATGGTTATCATTATAAAAATTTGGATGCATTTATAATAAATAGCTGCACAAATTTATTATTTGAAGAATGTTTCAGTATCAAACATTCCATCAATACTGCTGATTTAAATCAGTATTTATGATTTACCTCCTGTTTCCTTATCTTCAACTAGAATTTCTAGCTTGAGAAGACGCCATGGTACATCTGGATCATCTCCCATCACTGTCAAGGTAGCTTCAAATTCTCCTTCAACTCGAAATTTCACACGGCCATTTGCTTTTAGAAGAAGAAATATGTTTACTTTGCTAAAAATTAAGCAGTTTCCTGCTAATCTAGGACCCTGAGACTTGCTTATAAGAAATTTTAAATAGACTTAAAGTTCTTTCAGAAGTATCCAAACAAGGCAGTGGCTCCTGAATAAATAGTAACCAGTATCCAGGTTATTAAGAAACCAAAGATAACTCTTATAACACAAACAGTATTTTCATCAGTCTCTACTCCAAGACACCTTTTCTCCTCCACCCTCAGCTGAACCCACCTACTCTCCAGCTTCAAATACAAGTATTGTATTTTTTGGTACTGAAAAGAGGCTAATTAAGTCACAAATTCAAGCAATGCCAAAATAGGGGAAGAGAGGATCAAAATTTTCATGTTTCTTTGAATAAAATCCCAAAACATTCTTTTTTTTCTTTTTTTCTTTGCCAGTCCTGGAGCTTGAACTCAGGCCTGAGTGCTTTTCTTGAGCTTTTGTGCTCAAAGCTAGCACACTACCACTGCAGCCACAACTCCACTTCTGGCTTTTTTTTGGTCGATTATTGGAGCTAAGAGTCTCATGGACTTTCCTGCTTGAACTGGCTTTGAACTGTGATCTTCAGATCTCAGCCTCCTGTATAGCTAGGATTGCATGCATCAGCCACTGGCTGTCAGCTTTAAGAAAATATTCTTTTAAAAATAAATAAAAAATAAAAAAAATACAAAGAAAATATTCTTTTGCTGTATGTTTTTTATTGTAAAAATACTGTACAAAGGAGTTACAGTTACATGAGTAAGGTAATGAGTACATTTCTTATCAAGCATTGTTACCTCCTCCTTTGTTTTTCCCTACCATCCCTCCCCGCCTAAGTTGTAAAGTTCATTTCAACATAGTGTCTTGTACATCTCATTGTTACAATGGGTCAACTTGTATCCTTATTTCAGCATTTTGTTATTTCCCCTCCCTTCCCCAAATTAGAAAAATGTATATACAAGATGCAAGGCACTGACATCAAATACAGTGAAAACAGGGGTTATATGGTAGGGGAAAAAAATACAAGAGAAACAAAAAAATCACATAGTACATTTTAAATATGTTAAAAACAATTGCAAGAAAGAAAAAAACCACGTGTGTCCCTATGCAAATCAAAACAACATTGAGATTCCACCTCACCCCAGTTAGAATAGCTATAATCAAGAAATCTAATAACAGGCTGGGAAGGTGGCTCAGTGGTAGAGCACTTGCCTTGCATGCATGAGGCCCTGGGTTCGATTCCTCAGCACCACATAAGCAAAAAGAAAAAAAAAGCCAGAAGTGGCACTGTGGCTCAAGTGGTAGCCTTGAGCTGAAGAGCTGAGGGACAGCGCCCAGGCCCAGAGTTCAGACCTCACGACTAGACCCAAAACAAAAACAAAAAAGAAATCTAATAACAACAGATCCTGGAGGGGATGTGGCCAAAAGGGAACCCTACTGCATTGTTGGTAGGAGTGTAAACTTGTTCAACCACTTTGGAAAGTAGTATGGAGGTTCCTCAAAAGACTCCACATAGATCTCCCCTATGGCCCAGCAATCCCACTTTTGGGTATTTACCCAAATGATCACAAACAAGGCTATACTAAAGCTACCAGCACAACTATGTATATCGCAGCATTATTTACCATAGCTAAGATATAGAACCAACCCAGATGCCCCTCAGTAGATGAATGGATTAAGAAAATGTGGTATATATACACAATGGAATTCTATGCCTCCATCAGAAAGAATGACATTGCCCCATTTGTTAGGAAATGGAAAAACTTGGAAAAAATTATATTAAGTGAAGTAAGCCAGGCCCAAAGAAACATAGGTCCCATGGTTTCCCTTATTTGTAATATCTAGTATATGTATGAGTCAAGCAGAAAAGGTCAGATAATGTGATGTCAGGAAAATGAACCCTTAGATGTGTATTTTAATGTTTTTTTCTTTCATGCATGTGTTTCTAACACATTTATAAGATTATCTCTTTGTTGCTTTGTATGTCCCTCCCCCACAGTATAACCCCTGCTTTCACTATATTTGATGTCAGTATAACTTGTGGAGGAGATGGGGAAAAACCAGTCGTTCAAGGATACAGGTGGACCTGTTGCAACAATGAGAAGTACAAGTTGTCATGTCCAAAACGAGCTTTACAACGTTGGCGCGGAGGGGGGGGGGGGGCGGGGGGGGGGGGAAGAAGAAGGATTGGGATTAGGGGGGGAGGGGGGAGGCTGGGAAGGGATGTGAAGGGTAAACAAAGGAGGAGGCTGCAATGCTTGGTAAGAAATGTACGCATTATCCTGCCCATGTAACTGTAACTCCTCTGTACAGTATGTTCACAAATAAAATTAAATTAAATTAAAAAAAAAAAAAAAAAAAAAGAAAATATTCTTTAAAAAAAAACTAGCGTTAGGTACATACCCACAGTAAGATTTGCTAGCTGAGGAGGAAGATCTGTAGTTACAAGTCGATGTCTAAGAATCTGATTAAGCTGATGAAGTGTGGCTTGTTTCTCAATTTTGGTAATTGGGTCTGGAGGAATAATTTTATCCTACAGGAAAATTTAAGTGATGTTTAAATAATGTACAAAGAAGCCTAATTGTCTGTGTTTGTCTTTATATAACATGTTCTTACTCTACCCAACAGTGTCTCAACATTAGAGTGTTTTACAGATTACATCCAACAGTGACCATGCATTATAGTGTCAATAATTCTCTAGTCACCCAGCTCAGACCATGAAACTACTCACTATCTACAACACAATTTCCTTCATGCTCCACTTATAAAATCAATTTAATATCACTAGATGACTTCCCTACTTCTCTTTTTTTTTTTTAAGTACTGGTCCTGGGGTCTGAATGCAGGGCCTGGGCACTGTCCCTGAGCTTTTTTGCTCAAGGCTAGTGTTCTACCACTTGAACCATAGCTCCAAGTCCAGCTTTTTTTTTGGTAGTTAATTGGAGATAAGAGTCTCATGGTCTTTCCTGCCTGGGCTGGCTTAAAACTGTGATCTTTAGATCTCAGCCTCTTACGTAGCTAGAATTATTTCCCTATTTCTTAATAGTACCTCTAATAATTTTGTGGATGTGTGCTAGTATGAACTCAGGACCTGAGCACTAGCTCAACTTTCTTACTCATGGCTAGCACTCTACCACTTGAACCACACCTTCATTTCTGGTTTTTCTGGTGTTTAATTGGAGAAAACAGTTTCATGCACTTTCCTGCCTGAGCTGGCTTCAAACCTCAATCCTCAGATCTCAGCCTCCTGAGTAGCTAATATTACAGACATGAGCCACTGGCACCTGGCCCCAATAAATTTTTAAACACTTCCAAAAAGTAGCTAGTGTGTAGTTAGTTATTTTCACCCTTGAAATGTTAAATTACATTTGTACATGTGCTTCTTCCTACAAAATGGAAAACAAAGATTCATCCATCTTCATACCTATTCACATCTGGTACCAATTTATTTCAAAGAATCATAAATTTATTTGTAGAGAAAAAAGTTATACATGAAGTATTTGTTTTAAAAATACATTTTTCACTAGGTTCCTTAATCCATACCCAAAGTCTTCAAATTTTATGAACACAGGGACAAAGTACTTACCCTAATGCAGGTTGGTAGGCGTGGATAAGAACCAGTAGTAAGTACATCAATGGCATATGGGATGGCAAAACTAGGCAGACGTGCATGGACCAGAGCATCTCTAGCTAATGATGCCAGGCGATCAGCCGTGTCCACAAACAAGATGGCTTGCTGATCTAAAAAGCTTGAGATCATCTTTAAAGTAAAAGATAAATGTATTAAATTACTTGAAAACCATCTTCTTTCTGCATTAAATATAGTTCACTCCATAGTAAATTAATAAAGGTTTTACACAATCATTTAAAAAAACTACAACAAATGCAGCAATGGTACTCACTGGACACTATGTGGAAAATGAACTACACAACTTGTGGGTGGAGGTGGGAGGGAAAAACTGGGACAGAGTGAGGGAAGGGGTGACACTGTCCAAAAGCAAATGTACTCTTTACCTGACTTACATAAGTATAATACCTCTGTATATCACTTTTATAATAACTATTAAAAATAAAAATTAAATTTTAAAAAAGGAAAAAAAACTTGACAGTAACTTGAGGAAATATACTTAATGCACGTATATTTGACATTAAAATAACAATTTTCTTCCACTTTAATGAAAAGTTTTTCAAGTCATTTCTCTATCCTTAACATTACATACATACTCCAGGAAATGGAAACAAGGTTTTTTTTCTTTGTTGCTGTTTTTGTTTTCTTTTCTTTTTGTCTTGTTTGTTCATTTATCTGTCTTTGGGAGGGTAAGAGGAGGCACAGAAATGGAGGGACAAAGTGTGAACAAATGCAGCAGTGGTACTCACTAGAAAAATGAATGATACAACTTGTGGGTGGGGATGGAAGGGAAAAGCTGGGAGAGAGTGAAGGAAGGGGTGACATTGTCCAAAAAGAAATTCACTCATTACCTGACTCATGTAACTGTAACCCCTCTGTATATCATCTTTATAATGAAAATAAAAATTGCAAAAAAATTACATACATAATATCAAAGGTTTCCAACTATAAAAGAGACAACTCCCAATCTCATAAAGTTGTTCTGAATAATAGGAATTGATGCATATAAAATGTTTAGAACAATGCCTAGAACCTAAGAAACAAACATTGCCCACTATGAGATACAAGTGAACATGCTCAATACAAAATTCTTCTGATCCTGTAGTCAATGAGCAAACTAGCCCCTCTGAAACCTTTATCTTCTTTTTTAACTGTATTTTCATTATCTTTAAACTGTTTACAAAGAAGTTGCCATTCAAAAAAGCAGTTTATGAATACAATGCATCTTGATCAATGTTACTCTTTCTAACATTCTTGGCTTCCCCCTCAACCTCCTCAACCCTCCCTTTTCTTAAGAAACTTTTATCTTCTAATCCTATTCTAAGATAATAGGTAGTTTCCTCTCCCACGTCCTTCAATTAGGCTGTTAGTGTCCAACTTAGTGAACACCGCATTGCTCTACATTTTCTTTGTACTTCCAGTTATTTTTTATCTGATTTTCACAACTCTAGTAACTGGATAATTACTATCATCTTCGAGATGGCATAGGTGAAGATACTTGTCTGAAGAAAAACAGCCAATTATGTTTTTTCTCTTAGAGCCAGTATGCAGCTTAGATCAGGAGAAATGCTACTACTTATCATAAGTACACTGGAGCTCTACCCACACTACCAACACTTAATCTCATTAGTAGCCATGACACTACTAACATATTCTCAACTTCTAAACTGTTGTTACTCAAATTCAAGCCATTCTAAGACTTTCATCACTTATGTCACTGAGAAAATGTCAGAACAAAAATCAAGCTCAAAGAGTATCAGGGACCTCCCACCAGTAGGAGGGATATCAAGTCAATTGGAGAGCCAGTTTACTCAATCTTTATTGCTCCACCTTAAACAAGGGTAATTAAATGAGACACTTGCTAAACCTGAAAAACAGTAGCTTCAGCTACATTCCTCTTATTCAGAAGTCTAAAGGATATTTTCTTTTTGAGGTGATAAAAATATTCTAAAATTGATGGTACTGATGAATGTACAAATTTGTGAATATAATAAAAACACTAAGACATTTTAAATAGATGACTTGTATGGTATGTGAATTGTATCAAACTAAAGGTCAGATGAGAGATTATGATCAGACAGTGACCTGATAAAAAAAATGTTTTTTTTTTTTTAAATGTAGCAGGTGTGGTGGCTCACACCTATAATCCTAGCTACTCAGGAGACTGAGTTCTGAGGATCACAGTTGAAAGCCAGTCCAGGCAGGAAAGCCTATGAGATTCTTATCTCCAATTTATTACCAGAAAAACTGGAAGTAGACCTGTGACTCAAAGTGGTAGAGCGCTAGCCTTGAGCAGAAAAGCTCAGGGACAGTGGCCAGGCCCTGAGCTTAAGCCCTAAAAACAACAACAACAAAAATATTTTTTAGTGTGAGCATTACTGTCAAACTTAGACAATGTCTTCACTTCCTGAATTCAACTGACATTTGTTAGAAGTTTTACTTGGCCTTATAGAGTTTAGCCTGGAAAGCTGACCTTAATCCAAGTGGGTAAATAAATGCTTTCATGATTTCAGGACTTTGTTCTTGTTATGATAATTATTCTTTCCAACAGGAATTCCATTCTCATTAGGAATGACTGAACTAAAAGAAGAACCACTCTCTGTGTCTCATGTTTTCATACTATATCACCCTTCCAAAGTTGTGAACTCAATGAGTTGACACAAGTTGCCTATTCATGGTCCAGAGGCACACATCCTTCATCCTAGCTACCTGAGAGGCTGTGATTGGAAAGATCATAGTTCCAGCCCAGCCCAGGCATTGAAGTCCAAGAGACTCCCATCTCCATGAAGTGAAGCTGAAGGAGATGGCAAGAACCTCTCATTCCAGCAAAGTAAAGTCTATAAAGTAGGCAGATGGCAGCTCAGACACAGCTAGGAAGAAAATGGATCTCTACCCTAAAATAACCTGTGAAAAACGGGGCTAGAAGCATACATCAAGTGGTTGAATACCAGCCTATCAAATGTGAGGCCCTGAATTCAAAATTCCAGTACTTCCCCACACCAAAATAAAGAATATGCAAAATTTAAGTGAGTCTTACAAATTTTAAACAATACAGTTTTAAAGACAAACATTTCCTTCCTTTAGTTTCAATCCCATATTTGAAGTATTCTCATGTAATGTCTCCAGATGCTGCCTAATCTCCCTTTTGATCAAACATTCATAAATAAATACTAGGTTTCCACAAAAATAAGCTATAGATTATCATTCAGAAATATAGTTACTACATGTCATAACTTAAATCGGTCAATAAATGTTAAAGCTAAAACTAATAACTACCATTCAAACAGTTATTTTATATAAATTAAAATAAAAAATTAACTCACCGCACATTTTTCCACTTTGCCAGCATCATTAGCCCATTTTACTAAAGCTAATAATCGAACGAAGAGTTGGCGTGTTCGACTAGCAAACTGTACTATTTCTATTTTCCTATAAAATAAAACAATTCTTATTGAACCACTGTATTAGAAAGAATAATTCATAATTTATTCCATGTGAGCTAGAAAAATCAATCTTTACAACTAGAAAAAATAATCTAAAATATCAAGTATAACATTTTGTAAGTCATCTGCATATGCCTTATATTTTATTTCAGACTAATAAATTTAATAGGATGGTTTAGCAATGAATCACATTTTTAAGTTAAGTTTGTACTGTAGTAAAAATTATTCTTAATAAAACACACTAAATTCACGGATATATGGCACTATAGGTTAATGAGTCATAGAGGGGACCATGTGAGGAGTTATAAAATAAAACTGCAGCCGTGCACTGGTGGCTCACACCTGTAATCCTAGCTACTCAGGAGGCTGAGATCTGAGGATCTCAGCCAAGGCAGCCAAGGCAGGAAAGTCCATGAGACTCTTATCTCCAATTAACCACCAGAAAACCAAGAAATGGTGCTGTGGCTCAAGTGTAGAGGGCATGCCTTGAGCTGAAGAGCCCAGGGACAGCACCCAGGCCCAGAGTTCAAGCCCCACAAACAGCAAAAACAAATACCTTCTTTTCTTTTGAGACATATTCTCACTGTATAGCCCAGACTAGCCTTGACAATCCTCCTACCTCAGCTTCTCAAGGATTGAGATTATAGGTATGCAGTACCATGCCTCATTAAAGTATGAATTTCATAGCTGGCATAGTAAGTAACCAATAACTCTTTCAATAAGAGGAATTGAAATATACCTTTACCAAAGCTTGAAACTATGTTCTTTCTACAAAAGCACCCATTTCCCATCTTGCAAAACAGCAAATTTTTAAAAAGTGAATAAATAACTTAACTGTGCAATACTTTTTCATTTAAGCCGCAAGGGTCATGGCTCAAGTAGTGTACTTGTCTAGAAAGCATGAAGCACTGGGTTCAATCCCCAGTATGGCAAAAAAAAAATAAATAAATGATGTAAGTTAGGCTAAAGAAAGCATGTTGAATACCAAAAATAAAAGGTAAAGTAATCTGGGAGATGGTGGCTCACGCTTGTAATCCTAACTACTCAGGAGGTTGAGATGTGAAGATCTCAGTTCAAAGCCAGCCAGGCAGGGCAGGAAAGTTCATTCCTATAATCCTAGCTACTCAGGAGGCTAAGATCTGAGAATCACGATTCAAAGCCAGCCCAGGCAGGATAGTCCATGAGACTCTTAGCTCCAGTTAACCACCAGAAAACCAGAAGTGGCACTGGGCTCAAGTGGTAAAGCACTAACCTTGATCAAAAAAGCTCAGGGACAGGGTGCTGAGTTCAAGCCCCATGACCACCAAAAATCGAAAACAAAAAAAGGTAACACAAAGAGACTGAAGCAGTCGGATTGGTAGTTCAATCTTGTCCCCCAAAATTCAAAAATATCGTAAGATAAAACAATTAAAATGCAAGGTAGAAAATCTATCCAATTCTATGCTATACCCACTTCTATGCTTTTTCTTTCAATACTCATCAGTTGTTTTTTGTTTGTTTGTTTTAGTCTCCTCATAAAGCTTTCAAAATTTGGCTGAAAGAACTCAACTTCCTTGTAGCTACACAACTGATAATTTTATCTTTCAGTGTTTACTTCAAGACACTAGAAAAAAATATAGATAGAACCATGATAGAACTAATAACAAGACTTGGCAGAATACCAATGTCCCTCCAAGTGGAACCTAATCCAATAATTTCAATATGACTTGTCAATGACCCACAGATCCAACCCATATCTCTGCATCTGGCTAATATCACCATGATGCAATACACCAAAGTAAGTTTTTTGCTAAAGTGCATCCTAACTGAAGCCTGCAAACTTAAGCTGCTATCAAGAAAATATGAGGCTCATACACAAACAAAAAGATTTCCTTAAGATTAGCCAACAACATGATTAATGATACTATAAAGAGAAAAATCAAGGGTACAATTACGATTCTTTGCCAATGTCTGTAAATGGTTATGAGAAAACATGCAAAGCATTAAGACTAGACACAGTAGAAATGTTTCATGTATATTAAGATCTGGCAAGCTGGGGTTATAGCTCAGTAGTACAACACTACCAACACCACCCCACACACAAAGGGCAGCCACCTCAGGACTACTACTGAGCCTCAGCACTGTTGCTCTAACTCAACAATAGATTACCAAGGTGAGAAGTCTCCAGTCTTCTACCAAAGCAAGTAAGTCTGTATACGGTTACTTTTGTTTTACAAAATAACTCTACTAAATGAATGGTCTTCTCTGCAAACTATTGCATAACATTGTTTTCAGACATCATATTGTTTGATACAGAAGTCCTAATGTTCCTACCTACCACAGAGAGGACAAAACAAACCTGACTTACATTTCCTTATTTTAAAACCAGCCAGTCAGACCATAACAAGTAAGTTTCAAATGTCTTTTCTACCTCTATCTTTTTGATCTATGTCTAATTCTATCAAAAAGGGAATTTGGGGGTTGGCAGTGGAATATAGTCACTAATGAATGCTATAAACCTCCTTAGTAACTTGGTATTTAAACAAAATAAAGCAACCACAAAGTGTGTGGTCAAAGATATAGTTAAGTAGCTATACTCTCATCATAATTTAAATTTAAACCTCCATCACATGATGTTTGAAATCTAAACTTATCTTATTCCTTTTGTCTATAAAAATATATTAGTGTGTTGTGTTAAGCCCCAAACTCCAACTAAATCAAAATTTTCTCAACTATAAAAACAACAATAGTTAGCTGGGTGCTGATGGCTCACACCTGTAATCCTAGCTACTCAGGAGGCTGAGCTCTGATACTCAGCAGGATAGTCCTTGAGGATAGTCTTATCTACCAAAGAGCCAGAAGTGAGGCTGTAATCTATAGAGCTCTAGCCCTGAGCAAAAAAACTCAGGACAATGCCCTGACTTTTGAGTTCAAACCTCAGAACATGCATCATAAATAAATAAATAAATAAATAGCAGGAGGCAAGTTTCTATTCTCTAAAGATATTAAATAGCATCATTATAACAAGGTAATCAGGCAGCCAATTTTCTAAAGCCAGTCTGCCCTCAATTTCATCCATTATGGGCTTTCCTTTCTACATCTTCCTATCCCTCTCCCAGACTTGACCTGGTCAAGTCTCAATAAAGATTTATAAAATAAAACATCTAGAACTGGTATCATACTCAATTATTGTCAAGGAGGAGAAGACTACATTTCTCTACACTCCTTAAGCACATAATCCTAGTTATTTTTTGGTGGCTGGGGCTAGGCTCCAAACTCAAAGACATACTATTAGTATCCACACCCCATTGTCATACATGGACCTATAAAGAGACAAATTAAGGTTCTGTCTGTCATACTCACCTTTCCACATCAGATTTCCTTGGCAATCTAAAAAGATAAAAAAATTGATTAAACACATATATACGTTCATCAAACTGTGATGTCTTTACTTTGACTCTATAATACCTTTAATGTTTCAGAAAAACTGAGTTAACAGCTAATACAGATTCAAGTTGCTAGCAAGTCTTTGTACTTACAAATGATCAGAAATATGGCTGCAAAGGAAAAACCAAAAAGCATTTCTTTCCATTCAAAATGCTTCAAAAGGTATTACATGAACCTCAAACATTTAAAAAGCCCCAATCTTACATCAGCATGCTATATCATAGAGTAAAAAAAAAAAACATTCTTTAAGATCAAATTGGCCACAGACGTCAGAGTAGTGCTTAGGTGCCAGTTTCCCAGTATCTAATGGATACTCTGGTTGTAGGCAATAATCCTTCCATGTTTTGTTATGGTAGGTCAAACTGGAAGCTAAGCATACACTCAAGGGTTTTATAGTAATTATAATGAGGTTGCATAGTAGCTAAATGAAAGACCTGCATCACTTTAAAGCATTTTGGTTTTTAATTAAACCAGCAAGGTATTGATTTTTTTGTTAGTTCTGTAGTACTGATCTCAGACAACCAATCTCAGCTTCTTTCTTGATAAATTACCCCACCTAACACTCTTGCATGTACTGATGCTCAGAAAGAGCCTAAACTGGGGCTGGGAAGGTGGCTCAGTGGTAGAGCACTTGACTTGCATGCCTGAGGCCCTGGGTTGATTCCCGAGCACCACATAAGCAAAAAGAAAGAAAGCCGGAAGTGGTGCTGTGGCTCAAGTGATAGAGCACTAGCCTTGAGCTGAAAAGCTGAGGGACAGCAGCCAGGCCCAGAGTTCAGGCCCCATGACCGGACCCCAAAAAAAAAAAAAAAGAAAGAGCCTAAACTGCCTACTGAACTGCCACATTCTGTTCATCTCTACCCAGCCAACTACATACTCTTCTCCCACCCATTATGTCACAAGAACAGATGAACTGAAACCATTTCTAATGTAATAGGAGCCGGGCAACAGTGGCTCACACCTGTAATCCTAGCTACTCAGGAAGCTGAGATCTGAGAACCACCATTCAAAGCCAGCCTGGGCAGGAAAGTCTGTGAGACTCTCATCTCCAATTAACCACCAGAAAACCGGAAGTGGTGCTATGACTCAAGTGGTAGAGAGCTCGCCTTTAGCTGAAGAGCTGCAGGACAGTGCCCAGGCCAAGAGTTCAAGCCCCATGACTGAAAAAATAAAGGTATAAGGAAGGGAAACTATTAAAACGTGTCTCATAGTTACTTGCTATTCTCAGAGAAGACAACAGATGGAAATAGATAAAGGCTGGAAGGACCAGCAGACCACAGGGATAAAGCAGAAATTAAGGCCCTATTTTTTTCAATCACAAATAAGGCTGAGCAACAGTGGCTCACAACTGTAACTGTAGCTCCTCAGGAGGCTGAGATCAGAGGCTCATGGTTCAAAGCCAGCCCAGGGAGGAGAGTCCATGAGATTCCATTCTCTAATTAACTACTAAAAAGCTAGAAATAAAGCTGTGGCTCAAAGTGGTATAGCACTATATTAACCTTGAGCACAAAAGCTCCAGGACAGTGTCCAGGCTCTGAGTTCAAGACCCAGGACCAGCATAAAAAACAAAAATCACAAAAAAATAGCCACTTGTACATTCCTCTACATGTAAACATCCTGAGAATACTTGAAAAGGCACATTTTTTGTCCTCCAAGGGAAAGAGGAGAGGTGCAGGGATCCTAGCTAGTCACAAAGCTGCGATCTGAGGAAGTAGTTCAAAGCCAGCCAAGGTAGGAAAGTCCATGAGATGCTTATTTCCAATTAGCTACCAAAATAGCCAGAAATAGAGCTGTGGCTCAAATGGCAGAGCATGAGTTTTGAACACAAAAGGTCAGGACAGCCCTCAAGTCCTGTGTTCAAGCCCCAGGATCCGCACAAATAATAATAATAATAAATAAAGTTCCTAAAATGTTTTAAGATGTGAGCATAGCATAAGGGGGGAAAAAGTCCAAAAGTCTGGGGCCAAAACCAAACCCTGTAAATTACCAAAGCTGTCCTTTCTACCTTCAGTTGTTTGGGGAAAACATCAAATGATGCAGAAAGAAGTACCATGTATCTAAAAACTCTTATAAAGCATACCTAAAACACTGACTCTACATGAATACATTAATTTGGATAGTTTCTGGCTACAGCAAGAAAAAACATAGTAGCCAGGTGCATTGATACTGTGTAATCCCAGCATTTGGGAGATGGAAGGAAGTTGCAGGCTACCTGGCACTATAAAGGAAGAACTTGTCTCATAAAAAAGAGCAGAGAAGGGGCTGGTGGCTCAGTGGTACAGTGCTTGCCTTGAATGCATGAGGCCCTGGGTTCGATTCCTCAGCACCACATAAGCAAAAAGAAAAAAGCCGGAAGTGGCGCTGTGGCTCAAGTGGTAGAGCGCTAGCCTTGAGCTGAAGAGCTGAGGGACAGCCCAGGCCAAGAGTTCAGGCCCCACGATCGGACCCAAAAAAAAAAAAAAAAAAAAGAGCAGAGAAGCCAGGCCCAGGTTGATCTTGGTTCAAAGCCAGCCCAGGCAGGAAAGTCCATGAAACTTTTATCTCCAATTAACCACCAAAAAACCAGAAGTGGCACTGTGGTTCAAGGAGTAGAGCACTCATCTTGAGCTGAAGAGCTGAGGGACAGCGCCCAGGCCCAGAGTTCAATCCTCATGGCCAACCAAAAACCAAAAAAAAAAGCAATTAGAAACAAGTGACTTTTTTCTCCTCAAATTATCCATGGTTGGCTCAGTGGTAGAGTGCTTGCCTTGCATGCATGAGGCCCTGGGTTCAATTCCTCAGTACCACATAAGCAGAAAAAGCCGGAAGTGGAGCTATGGCTCATGTCGTAGAGCACTAGCCTTGAGCTGAAGAGCTGAGGGACAGCACTCAGCTGTTCAGGTTCACGACAGACAGAAACAATATTATTCATGGTTTAGGGGCTGGAAGTGTGTGTCAAGTGGCTATGGTGTTTGCCTAGAAAGTATATGGTTCAAGGGCTGGGAAGTTGGCTCAGTGGTAGAGCGCTTGCCTTGCATGCCTGAGGCCCTGGGTTCGATTCCTCAGCACTACATAAGCAAAAAGAAAAAAGCCGGAAGTGGCGCTGTGGCTCAAGTGGTAGGGCACTAGCCTTGAGCTGAAGAGCTGAGGGACAGTGCGCAGGCCCAGAGTTCAGGCCCCACAACCGGACCAAAAAAACAAAAAAAGTATATGGTTCAGAGTTCAAACTCCAGTACCATCAAATTCTCTGTGGCCTCCTCATGTCTGTAATCCTAGCTACTCAAGAGGCTGAGATCTGAGGATCGTGGTTCCAAGCCAGCCTGGGCAGGAAAGTCCATGAGACTCTTTTTTTTTTGGGGGGGGGGGTCAGTCATGGGGTTGAACTCTGGGCTTGGGTGCTGTCCCTTAGCTCTTCAGCTCAAAGCAAGCGCTCTACCTCTTGAGCCACAGTGCCACTTCCAGTTTTCTAGTGGTTTATTGGAGATAAGAGTCTCAGGGACTTTACTGCCCGGGCTGACTTTGAACTTCAATCCTCAGATCTCAGCCTTCTTAGTAGCTAGGATTATAGGTGTGAGCAACAAGTGCCCATGAGATCCTTATCTCCAATAAACTACTCAAAAAAGCCGGAAGTAGCACTGTGGCTCAAGTGATAGAGTACTTGCCTTGAGCAAAATATGCTCAGGGACAGCACCCCGGCCCAGAGTTCAAGCCCCAGGACTGGCATGGTTTATTATGAGAATTTTCAAAATTCACTCACCTGTGTAGTAAATTCACTAAATACTTAGTTAAGCCCTGAGTATGTGCCAGGCACTGTTTCAAGCCATGGGGAAAGCAGCAAACAAATCAAATTCCCTGTCCTTATGGAGTTAATATCAGGTAAGTGTTACAGAGAAAAACAAAGCACTAAGAAGAAGCATAAAGGGGCAGAGTGCTATTATACAGGTGGTTAGGGAAAGTCTTTCTGCTAAGTTTTATATGGACTAAGACTTAAAAGAAGTGAGATTTCTGGGGTAAGAGCAAAGGCTCCAATTTGGGAGTGTATGGGGAAATATTAAGATGGCTAGTTTAGCTGGAACAAAACAAGCAAGAAACAAGCATTAATTAGGACATCAATTAAAGAGGCAATCGTGAGAAGACAGCACATATAAGCCCTTGAAAGTAAAAGTGCCCACATCCTGGTTTGCACAAAATAGTACTGTTTTATCCTTGTTGTTCTGACATTTTTTTTTGGGGGGGGGGGTCCGGTCGTGGGGCCTGAACTCTTGGCCTGGGCACTGTCCTTCAGCTCTTCAGCTCAAGGCTAGCGCTCTACCACTTGAGCCACAGCGCCACTTCCGGCTTTTTTCTTTTTGCTTATGTAGTGCTGAGGAATCGAACCCAGGGCCTCATGCATGCAAGGCAAGTGCTCTACCACTGAGCCACCTTCCCAGCCCATGTTCTGACATTGTTTTGTGTGTGTGTGTGTGTGTGTGTGTGTGTGTGTGTGTGTGTGTGTGTGTGTGTGTGTAGAGTTGAGGATGGATGCACCCACCCAGGTACATGCTAGACAATTGCTTTACTACTGAGCTACATCCCCAGTTCACTGGTCATTATTATTAATAGCAAGAGTCCTGGGTTGGATGATAAATTTTATGGTCATTCTATATATAGGTGATTATAAAGACTAAATGCCAGACATCAGTGGCTCAAGCCTGTAATTCTAAGCTACTGAGGTCTGAGGATCAAGATTCGAAGCCAACTCCAGCAGGAAAGCCTAGGAATCTCTTATCTCCAATTAAGCACCAAAAAGCTGGAATTGGAGCTGTTGCTCAAGTGGTAAGCACTGAGGAAAAAAAAAAAAGCTCAGGGACAGGGCCCCAGCCCTCAGTTCAAGCTCCAGGACTGGCACTAAAATAAAGACTTTTAGTAAGATAGAGAATGACTGAAAGGTTCTGAGCAGAAAAGTTTTAAAAGGCTCACCCTGGTTCTTTCATGGGCAAGAAAGCGTAGTGGAGCAACAAGCAAGGTCAGTAAAAATACAGATGAGCAGAATATTCCAAAACACAGGTTAAGGACAAAGTGGCTTGGACCAACACTTGATAGAAATGTTGAGAAGTGGTAATAATCTAAAGTCAGATATGACAGGACTTGTGGTAAGAATCTAAAGGCAGATATGACAGGACTTGTGGTAAGAATCTAAAGTCAGATATGACAGGACTTGCTGAAGTACACTGGTTGTAGAATTTGAAGAAAGAGAAGCCAGGAATTACTCTAAAATTTTTGGCCTGAACAACAAGAAGAATGAAGATAGTTAGTATTCAGTGATAGAAAAGGGGCTTTGTTGTTGTTGTTGTTGTTTTTTGGTGGGGGGAGGGAGATAGAAGGAGTCAAACAGAATTAGGAGTTTGGACTGGACTTGATATTACTGAAATATCCATTTAATGTTTGCTGTCTTTTGAGACAAGATCTTACTATGTAGCTCCAGCTGGGCTTGAACTTGCTATGTAGGCCATGCTGGCATCATGATCTTCCTGCCTCAATTGAGTGCTAAGATTGTGTCACCATACCAGGTTACCTTTTTACTGAAATTGGAGAATATATTTATGAATTTTCATCTTACAAGGGTGTGGGACTCTTAACTATATACTTATTCTACAGCAATAAAAGATAAACCAACCCCTTAAAACAGTAAAACACAATTCAAGAATTTCTACAATCCTATATGGAAAAACAAATCCAGGAACTATACATTAGGCCAGGACCTTCCCCTATGTGAAACTTCCTCAAGAATGCTTTTTTTAAAAAAATAAAATCTTCCAATAAGCAGTGCAGACAAATATATTAGCAAAATAATATCTAACCATGAAACCTATTTTAAACACCTTTAACTCTACCTCTATCCTTTTCAACGAAGTCACAGGACAACAAAACTAAGTGGCAAGGTTTTACAAATGGAACCTACTGTAATTCTTTTAGTCATGTGCAAGCACGTATTTTAAGTCTCTAGGAACAAATTACCACGCAGTATTTCAGCTTACTATGTGAATACTGATGTTCTTCATTTGAAAGCTATGACCTGAAATCTTACAACAAAGAAAAACTAACCTAGACAAAAACTAATCGTGACTTTTTGTAAACCTGGGCTAAAAGATTGAAAACAGAGCTCCAAAATTTTCGTGTACCTATCCTTTGGGCACCCAGTCATTAGTGTATTCTAAGTCTATTCCGTAGGGATTAACACCCTAATGGTGCCCTAAGGCATTTCTAGATAACTATGTGCTTGAAATAACAACTGCAGACTAGATACAAAAATATTTTACTTTCACTAAATCCGTGAGAACTTCACTTTCAAACGTTTCAGGAAAAAAAATATATATACTTGGCATCTAAACCGTTGGATTATTTTAAACAATCTCCTGCGTTCGAATCATCAGAAACCATTAGAACCTATCTTTAAACTGTATCGTCAAGAGACTGTTAAATTTCCCGTCTTTGGGATTTTTCCCCCGCAGTTCCATATTATGTATTCCCAAATTCCGAGCTCTATTCTTGAACTCAGCCAAGAGTCAAGAGTTGTGTGGGAACTCGGGACAAAAATCCGAAAGACAATCTTCAATGAAAGTGTATTAAGAAGCAAATTAGCGGGTCTGTCAGAGAGACCCACCCTCAATACAAAGCTTCCCTTCCATGTCCCCTGAACCCCATCTCAAATGCTAGGCTTAGCAGCGGAGCGGAGAAAACGACGGGTGAGGGAGGAGCAAGCACCCGTCTTACCCGGTTGGGCGGGAAGGTGGGGGAGGCTGGGGACCAGGCATGGGTTCGCGGCACTTACAAGTCTGTCAACACCATGAGCTCCGAGTAGGCCCGGTGCAGCAGAAATTCGATCAGAGTGCTCAGTCGGTAGCCAGGGCTAGCCGCAGCCGCAGCTGCCGCCGCCACAGCAGCTCCTGGAGGAGGTGGTGCTGGGGCAGAAGCGGGGCCGCCACTGCCACCGCCGCCGCCTCCAGGCGGGACCAGCTGGTGGTTCTCCAGTTGCACAGGGGCCATGGCAGGGCAGGGCCAGGCTTGGCGCAACGACCCACGATGCGGCCCTGGAGCCTCTGGGGTACTCGGTCACCGCGCCGGAGCGGGCGCGGGCAACGGTGGCCTCTGCCTACCGCCGAGCCACCGGCGAACAGGAAACAGTACTCGGACCGTGGAGGCCCGCCCCCATGTAGTGAGAAGCCCGCCGGCCTTAGGGACGCGAGCGGGAGGGGTGAGGGGGGTGGGGGAGGGGATGAGGGGCGGGGGAAAGGCAAAGAGGGCGGGGTGGCAGGGCGGCCACTGCAGACAATCTGCAACTCCGGAGACTGCTCAGTAACAATTTCACCAGGCAGCTGCAGCATCCATGTTGACGGCTCAAAACGGAAGTTGTCAGGAAAGAACGGAAGAGGAACGTGCGAGCAGCCTGCCGAAAGTAACCGGCAATGGCTACCCCCGCAGCCCTGCGTCGAAGCCTTTACAAGGAAGGCGGGCGCGTGGGAGTAGGGCGGAGCTGGAACGTGGGCGGGAAAACGGAAAAGGGGAGCCGGTAGAGCCGGAAGCGGGGGTGACGGCAGAATAGGCCGCGTCTTGACGGACGTAAGCATTTGCCTGGCGCCTTAGGCTCGCCCCCCCTCCCTCTAACCTCTAACGTCTCAAAGACCACCAATATCCTGTGGAGAGACAGTCTTCGCTTCCTAAGTGAGTCCCTTAGACGGCTGAAGAGGCTCTCCCTAGAAGTTCGTGAGTTGTGTTTCTACTAGCGTGAAGAAATTGCACCGGCCTCGCGCTCGTACTGGCCACGCCCCGGTCACGCCCCTTGGCCCGCCCACCGGCGTTCGTGGCGTGCTGCGTCTCGAATGTGGCCTTGCCCTTTCTTTTTCTTTCTTTTTTTTTTTTTTTTGCAGCTGTGGGAAAATGTTTGAGCTTATAAGACTGGGGATGGGGACGGCGCCGCTTAGCAAAATAATCTAATTTTCACAGAGTAGAACCTACGCTGAGCTCGTTAATGTCACTCAAATCCTATCTGGCCAGCCCTTAAATCCTCTGCCACGAGCTCTAGGGTTTTGTCCCTGCCCTGCCTTTCAAAGCCAGGGCTTTCAGTTCAGCTATTGCCACTCCCTTCCCACTCCCTCCTTCCTTCCCTTGCTTCAAAATTCACGCTTAGTATTTTGCGGCTGTTTTTCAGCCTTGGTTGCGCTTTGGAATCACCTAGTGGCCTTTTTTTTTTTTAACAAAAAATTCTTCAGCCTGATGGGTACCATCCCCTGAACATCCTGATGTAATCATTGGTCTGGTGTGAGGTCTGGGCTTGGGGATTTTTGAAAGTTTCCCAAGTGATTCTAACGTGCAACTCACGTAAAAATTTACTGTTTAGTGCAATCGCGACCCTTTCCCTTTTTTAGCATCAACGATTTGTACAAAGGATTTCGCTTTGACATATCTAGATTTTGCATATTGATCACTCTCCTCGGTCTGCCACTGGGCCTTTATTCTCTCCCACCTCTTCTCAAACCAACCCAAACAAGCTTCATTGTTACAATTTTAATCATCTCTTTGAAGTCTCATCTAAAGTGGAAGATCTATTCTATTTTACCCTTAATGTTGCAAAATACTACTCTGGTTCAGTTAGAGCCAAGGTTAGGAATGTCCTGCCAACGAAATCTTTTGATACATGACAGACAGACAGATATGGCTGTTTCTCCTGGGCTGCCTTCAGCCATCTGGCTGTATTGGTAATTTTTTATAGGCAGGAAATAATGTTATAAATATCCAAATGTTCGTTAACAGAAAAAGAAACTTCCCCCAGGCAGGCGCCAGTGGCTCACGCCTGTAATCCTAGCTATTCAGGAGCCTCACGTCTGAGGAAAGCAGTTCAATGCCAGCCCAGACAGGAAAGTCCCCTTGAGACTCTTATCTCCAATTAACCACCAGAAAACCGGAAGTGGTTCTGTGGCTCAAAGTGGTAGAGGGCTAGCCTTGAGTGGAAAAAGCTCAGGGACAACGCCCAGACCCTGAGTTCAAGCCCCACAAAAAATTCCACTGACCAGAATAATAACTCACGGTTACCGATGTATCAAACCTGTATTCCTAGCTACTGAAGAAGCTGAGATCTGAGGACCACAGTTTGAAGCCAGCCTTGGCAGGAAAGTAAATCTATGAGAGTCTTAATCTCCAATTAACCACCAAAAAGCCAATGGAGAGCCCTGCCTCTAGTAGTAGAGCATTAAGTCTTTAGGGGGTGGGGGGAAGCTCAGGGATGGTACCCAGGCCGGCGTGCATGCACCCGCACTAATAATAATAATGATAATAATAATAATAGCTTTTACTTGTTTCTTTTCGACACAAGTGTTCTCCTTATGTTGGAACATAAGGTCTGGAACTTATGTTCCAGAGAAACATGTATGTGCCATGTCTGGCCAGGGAACTTACACAGTTTCAGTATCCTGGCAATTGTCAATATTGTTACAAATAGGAGTGCAGACATCTCTGGCACACTGATTTCTTTTCCATACATATCCAGATGTCCCTTTAGAGACTTCCATTTCTGTTTTGCCAAAGTTGTACTAATCTACATTATCACCATCCATGCTTGAGAGTTTGTTTTATCCTACATCTTCATCAATATTTATTTTTGTTTTTCCTTCTGACATACCCATTTGAACAGTTATATATGATATCTACTAGTACTGCTTCTATTATCATCATCATTATCATTATTTTAGTGTTGGTTTTGAGACAGGATATTAATGTGTAGCCTAGGCTCATGTAGAACTTGCTGTGTAACCTGGGATGGCCTCAGATTTCAGTCTTCCAGCCTCTCTGAATGATAGAGATACAGGCATGAGTCACCACACCTGATTTCATTGTAGCTTTAATTTACATAGAGATCAAAAGTTTTATATTAGGTGGAATTGGGCTATTTCTTTTGTATTTGTGACATGTTTCATTGAAGTTTATTTTCATTCTGAGTCTATCACATCTCAGTTTCAGCAGAACTGCTGTAATATTTCCTTAGCTCTTAAATTGACCTAAATACCTCCAATCTTTCATTAAGTCAGTCATACTTTAACAAAAGTAACAGCAAGTTGCAAAACATGAATGAGGAGGGGGAAAGGAGGCATTTCCTTTTTCTATGGAAAATGAAATTGGGCTACATATTATTTTCATTTTGAATATATTACTGCTGCTCAGACATAAAAAGGTAAAAAAGGAATTGAAAAGTGTTCTTTTTTTCTTTTTGTAACATATTACAATCATTTCCTCCAAAATGGGGTAAGAAGTACATTATATTCATACTGAAGTTGAGGGAAAGAACTCACAATATTGTGGGCACAGTCTGCCCATCCTAGAAAAAAAAACACTTTAATAGTTTGCATTTGGAATGAAATCCATACTTTCTACTGTGGTCTCTAAAGCAATAAGCAGAATGGCCTTTATCTACTTTTCCATTTACCCCAGTCTCCTGACATTTCCCCCTCACTACACTGGATCTAATATGTGTCATTCTCTCTCCCCTGTCCTTTGTGTCAGATGAGACAGAGTTGGTGACTCTCTCCCTAGTTCACTGAAGCATAAGTGGCGTACAGTTAAGCATTGCTAAATACTATTAAGTACTGTTAAATACTATTAGAATTATTGATTCTGTATTGAACTCTTCTTAAATCTTTAATGTATATAATCCTTTTAATGTTTTCTGGGAATGATTTAAACTATCAAGAACAAGCCTTTTGCCTGTCTTTCCCTTCTGGTGGGCTGCCTTGAGAGGAGGACTGTCAGCCAAGCAGCCCCCCCCTTTTTGGCAGCCCCCATACTGTCCTCATTGCAGTTGCTTTGAATATTCTATGAGTGCCTTGAGGAAACTGTACTGCTACCGCAGCTACTTGCTGCTGAAGCACAACTCTGGCTCCAGAAGGCACTATTTCAGCTGAGACTATTTCAATGCTTGTTGTTGTTGTTGTTGTGGGGACCTGAACTCTGGGCCTGGGCACTGTTCTTCAGCTCTTCAGCTCAAGGATAGCGCCCTACCACTTGAGCCAAAGCGCCACTTCTGGCTTTTTCTGCCTATGTGGTGCTGAAGAATATAACCCAGGGCCTCATGCATGTGAGGCAAGCACTCTACCACTGAGCCACCTTCCCAGCCCCAGAGAATCTCACAGACTTTTTTTTTGCCAGTCATGGGAATTTCAGCTATAACTATTTTAAACATCTTGTGCAGGTCTTTTTACCATCATAAGCCTCGGTGAACTCTAGTGCTCATTTTTACTCAGGCCTGGCTATGGGGACAACTTCTGGTAGCCAAGCAGAATCCTTTGCGTTAAGGCCTATGCCATGATTGGTACAAACACATTTCCTCATTTGTGTGGAGAGCTGAGCCTTGATTAATGAAAATATCCCTTATTTGCATGGAGAACTACACCATGACTGGTCCAAGCAGTATGCCTCATTTGCATGAAGGACTGGGCCATGATTGACACATTTTCTCATTTGCACAAAGGGCTGTGTCATAATTGGTACCAACAAAATCTCTCATTTGCAGGAAGATGTCTTTATGAAATATAAGTAGGATGGGATTTTGTCTAAGTCAGGTTATTCCTGATGGAATCTTGTGTTTTATGAATAAATGGTAAATTATTTCTAAAGCTATGACAGTGAACGAGAGGATAAGATGAAAGGCACTCCAAATTAATTCTCCTAAATTTGAACCAATATAGGGGAGAACTGAGAGATTAGTAATAACCCTAGCACCTCAGAATGAGATTTTTTTCCTCATGCAAATGCATAGCCTATGAAGGCAAGATAGATAGACAGATAGATAGATAGATAGATAGATAGATATTCCATTAGCTAGAATTAGTCATACAACTGGGAAGAAAAGTATTTCTTTTGTGCTTAGAAAGGAAATGAAATAGTTTGAGCATATTACATTATTACCACCATATTAAACTTTTTTCCTTAGAGCACAGCCTATGAAATCAGAATGCTTACATTCAAATCTTTCCTCTACCACCTACTGTCGCTCTCCAGCAAATTACTTCACTTCTCTGGGTCTCAGTTTCCTCAAGTGTTACAGCTATGGATTATTACAGATTTACTTCAGAGAATAATCATGAAGAATAAAAGAACTAGCATTTGAGAAAGACTTAAGACTATAATTTGTAAATGTTAACTCTTTTATGAGTGTATGCCATTCCTGGAGCTTGAACTCAAGGCTTGGGTACTGTCCTTGA